TAGTAGTAGTAGTAGTAGTAGTAGTAGTAGTAGAATCGCGATAATGCTAGAGAAAAAGACGCAGAGAAGAGTGTTATCGTACGTATCTTGCTAATGGCCGCTAGTCATAATACTTTAAAGTAGTTATAATTAATCTATCCTTATAGGGAGAGATCTCTATTAGCCTTAGATCTATATTTCATTACTTCTATAATCAAGTAAATCTAGGTAGGTGTATTGAAATTCTTTCCTCTATCTAAGTGCCTCTAGGACCTCTAATAGCTAGCGTTTAATGATATCTAGTAGTCAATAACATATAGCAAATCAACCTCTTGCGTTGTAAGAAGTTTTGCATCTATCAAATTTTCAAGATGTCGTTCGTAAACTCTAACATGCCCCTATTGAGACTCTAAAACTACGTACTCTACATCTCTCTGTACCAGTACGCTACATTAGTTAGTCTAGTATACGCGTACGGAGCCATTTCTTCGTGTGCGAATGTGAGAATGGTTAATATAAGGATACAAACACAACGCTAAGATACATATAGATACACACAAGCGCATTACTTGCATCAAATTATCCCTGCAGGAATATTGCTATTCATGATGCAACTCCGCAGGGACGTCTGTGTATTGGATATATGTGGATGTATATTCTGTATGTGTTGCTCGTTAGGCTATGCTACCGACTGATGGAAGTTCATACTAGAATAATGATCATAGTAGAAGTGGTAGGTCTACGTAGGCCATCGGCGATCGCCGACATCATGTATTGCGCGTATACCTTGTAAAATGTACACTGTACACTCTCACCTCACCTCTTCCAAACAACCAACGGCGAGATTACCGCAAGACGACGAGACGGAATCATGACGGACTGGGGGATTGTAAGCTTGAGACTGGTCGCATACCTTCTTTCCTTCCTTCCTTCCTTCTGCGTTACCACCTCTGTATGTCCTATCTTCCGTTTTTCCGGTCTGCCTTCCTTCCTGCCTTGCTACTCATCTATCTACTTACCTCGGTCCATAGCAAAAGTCAATAGAATAGAATAGTATGATATACCATCACCGGTCAAAGCCGCGAGGGTGCTCTAATCACGACCCAAGACAATGGGAGTTGGGGTCTGGTAGAAAGCGGGAGGAAACATTTCCTTGGGACGATGTCTTAGCAGGGGGCGCTATATATGTTTGTATGTGTATGCGTATGTGTGTGTGTGTGTGTGTCCCCCCACGCCGCGAAACCATGTATAAGCATTACGTGTATCAGTTTGTGAGCATGTATGCCATGCTACCGAGGTACATAGGGGCGCCAGGATGTGGGCAGAAGATGGACCCGTTTTAGAACAGACAGTGTTCTAGTGAATATGAGACGTCATGCAGTCGCGTTGTATTGAAAGATGAAACTCTCCAGGGGTTTCGTCGAGTGTGGAGTTCGCGTGGGACGGCTGACGGAAATGGCGGAGAGAGTGGGGAGGCGGGAGGGAAAAGGGGACGAAGAAGTGGAGCAGCAAACGGTCGGTTCGATAGATCAAGGAGATGCAAGAACCAGATGGAAGTGTATGTGAGATCACAAAGAACGAGATGAATAAGGGTCCCGGAGATCCACGGAGCGGGTAAAGTCTTTGGTATCGCGTGCTGGGTTTAGAGGACGCTTCAGGAAGAAATCAAGAAGATGCTGGGTTAAGTCAGATGAATGACTGGCTCGAGGTAGGAATAGGCGATATGGGTATGCTGGACATGACGAAAGGAGGGTAGTGCAAGGATGAAGAGACGTTACTGAATGAGAATGGCGATATGTCGGATTTTGATAGTGTGCGACAACTTGAAGGTCAGAGTATATTCTATGGAGATGTATAATTTTGGTGAAAATGGTTTTGGAAACCGCGGGCTATCATTCCGTGATGTAACATGCGGTACTGAGGAAGAAAATATCAACTTACCTGATACTCATCGACTCTGAAGACGTAGATATAGACTATTGCTGCATCAACACAGCACATGGCTGTCTACAGATCTCAATATTGCCACCACTCGAAGTCATGCTTCAGGCCCCTGTGCTCCCGCCGTGGTGGTGAGCAAGTGTTCACGCGATCCCCATTGAGAGATGGACAGACAATTGGTCTTAGCTCAATATCTAGACGTCGGCGAACGCACAGTTGTCGACCGGTGCATGTAGGACAGCTCAAGTATGTTTCCTTTTTCTGCACTTTCAAGTGTTTGGTGTGTTCCTGTATGTGTTTCAAGTTGGTGAGACGGTAAACTGTCGCACGCGATGCGTTCGCGCAAGCAGAATGTCGACTGGGATGAGGGCCGTTGATGAGTCGCGACAGGCGCCAGTTCTTTCGAGGGAAGAATGCGTACGACCCAGTGCACATCACTTCGTGTCTCCAGGGACAAGGTGCATGCATATGGCTGGATCTGCACCTTTGCAAGGACAAGCATCTTGAAAAGAGACAACTAGGTGTGATCTACAAAAACCTGGAAGCTCATTAAGCTTGAATCTTAGCGCTTTCTAGCGTGATTGAATCCTGAAACCTTCCAGAAGGCACACTCTGTGATCGAATTAGTACAAGCGTAACGTCGGTGGAGCCGATGCTAGGGGGAGGTAATTGTAGATGTAGGCAGAACTCGAGGATGTATGTTACTAGCGGTCAGTGCCGGGCCACATAACACTACATGCTAGAATTCGGCAGTGACGATACAGATGCTTCGGGTTAAGCGTGCTTCATTCGAACCATACGGTCTACATATGTGATATGCGCCGAGGCAGCATTGATCGAGAGCATGTGGTAATCGAAGCCCTGTGTATCGAGATGGCGGTCGCTAACATCTCCAAGAATATGTTCTTACCATGAGGTCGGGGTGATTGACATACCGAAAGGTTCAAGATACACCGACGCTCCACGATACATACATGTCACAGTGTAGATGCCAGCCCAAAAACATCGCTGTCATAATGCTGTTGCGGGACGCGGGTCATACGAGCGTGTAGGGCCCGACTGGACGTCCTGGACAGCCCTACAGACCCCTTTTAGAACATGTGGGGACGTTCAACGGTCCTTATAGACGTGTTGAAGGGATGACCATCCTCCTATCACGAAACATGATACAACAACAACACCATTCAGCGTGCTAACCGAGCAGACTGCTCCACTCGTCACCGTGCACTGGGTCAAGGTTGAGCCTTCGTCAACTATGCATGTCTCGAGAAGGGTCTGGCAAGCGGATGGATTTGACAGACATTCAGAACACTCGGAGACGAATCAGTGTAGTTCAAGCTAGAGGTCACACCTGATTCGAGTACTGGTCGCTGATCAGAAATTCGATATGTCGTGGGACATGACTTGGGACACAAAATCATATCAGGCGACTCACCATCGTCAAGAGTGGCATCAGGTAGCGACGACTAGCATTCAGGGTCCCAGCCACACCTTTTGAAGACCAAGAATTCTTGGATTCAATACAATGGCAGTGAGGAATCACGATATTCAGTCACTGTCTAGTAGTGGCTGAACACTAGACTGGGAAGGCATTAATCCCTCAATCGATGCCTAGGCTCCAACATATGTCTGCGTGAGCGAGCAGATCGTCGTTCAGGATCCACCCTGGGGCGATTCCGTGGAGATCGCAAATTGAATAGCATATAGTAAATATTGAAACAGAATTCCTGGCCTGCCCAAACGCTATAAATATGATCCAAGTCTGGTGGTACTGACAGCAAGGTTCATAGCCAGAGTCAAGATGAACTATGGTTCGACTGGAGAGGTCCAAGTGGACACGCATGCTGAAGCTGCAAGCAAGATTATGCGGTGCGACAACTCTACTGCAGCTGAGTGCTTTCGCGGTAAGAAATGGTGTGCATTCCCACAGTATCGGGTTGCATTTCACAGACCGTGAATCGAGGAAAAGAACGTGACTGTGGTTCCATAGATCGAGTCAGGTCTGTGGAAGGCCCATAGACATTCAATAATAATGGTCTCACACACGAACCCTAGGCATAGTGGTGCAAAGTGGTTCACCGGATGCTTCGGCGAGAAGATGCGCCTGGGGTAGACGAGTATGCAGACGAGCCAACGTGTCATGTTGTCGTCCAAACTACGTTGGATGCGATTCAACCAGGCGTCATTGTCATTGTCTCTTCCCGTCTTCCTCTGCGCGATATCCGGGCTTCTCCTCTTCCTCACTTTCAAAAGAGATCTTTGCCCCTCGACGTCTCGTGCCGGGGTACTATTCCGCGGTCAAGGGATTGATGGAGTGTCGGCATCGAGCGACTTATTCTCGTTTGCATCTTTGTCTTGCGTTGAGAACGAGGCAGAGTAACCCGTAGATTGCATGAATGCAGCCGCATCGATAGGTCAAGCTGCTGGATGAAGCATTAATAGCGGCACAAGTGCAGCTTGACCGTCGCAGACTTCTTCGCAGTGCAATGGCGTGACAGCGCAAACCAACAGTGGCAGGGCAAAATTTCAGGTAAGGCTGCGCAGATTGAAGGTTGCTGGCATCTGCTGCGCCTTGCTGTGCCGCAGGCATACTTCGAGGCTGGACGGCTCTGTTTGTCTCTACTAGTTGCAATGCGAAAACGATTGTGCCTCAATAGTTAGCCATACAAATCATTAAGAAAAAGGTGTGGGAGTGTACGGCGTACTGAGACTAGGATGTAATCTGATAGAGATCCCTGTTGGAGCGGCCAAGCACCGCGCGGCTCTGACGGAATCTGACTCGAGCAGACGCGAGAAGCGCCCTAAAATGGAACCTAGCAGTTAACCAACATCTTTCCCGGGTCATTATACCCTAGTCTAATATGTGTTGTACTGTGATGTGAAATGAATAGCGTGTATAGCGGGGGAATAAGGGGGGGGGGGAGGAGGGGCAGATCACAAGTCGCGTCTAAACGGGCATCACCATGCCTAGACCACGTTTTAGAATGCTCTCCAAGTCATGTCAATACTATGTATAAATGTGGGCAGTGTTACGGCCGCACTGTGGCTAACCCCACAGTGCGTGAATGAGGTTCGGCTTGGTCTTTGCCAGGACTGTATGCTTGGCTCCGGGTGAGATCCACCCAAAGTCTGAGACCAACAGTCTAATTGTCTAATTGTCTAATTGTCGCCGCCTGTTAATTTCTAGTGCCAACAAGCGGGGTCAACTTATGTGGGCAAGGCACAGAGGGTTTGCTATGTCGTACCAGGGGGGTTGGGAGGCCCTGTGCCAACGTAGAACGGCGAAGAGACATCGACATTGTGAGGCTAGAAACTAGTTTTTGGTGGGAAAAAAATTAGAATTACGCCTAGGAGCCACAAGCGGGAGTAGGCTCTTACCGACCGTCCACTTGTCGCCGTTGAAAGTCTAAACGGTTGCTATGCTTCCGGCCTGTACCAAACTTGCTGTATAGTAGGGCGCAGTGACTCAACGAATCGGGAAATCCAAGCAGTAAAAGCCTCCCCCACCACCTTTACAGATCATCAGGACGTTCAGGATAGGTATATCTGTGGTATCTGGATTGCCATGCGAACGGTCAGACCGCATCGTGTGATTGGTTTAATAGTCGCCCATAAGTCACTACGACCTTGTGGGACGCTGAGCGCGGGTGTTTTACACTTCTAGCGCGGCTTGATCAGCCGAATTGACATACCCAGCAGTTCCATAATTAGTGCCAGGAATGGATTATGTCTCGTGCCACATTCCTGCTGGTCATTCCGACTACCCTAGCGGATCGTTTCTCCGTCCTGATCGCCGCAATAGTAAGATCGAGGTTCCAGAAGACTTAGCTCGATATAGGCGGCGGCAATTGAGATGCAGTAAGGAACATCATGTTAGGAACATCATGATGTTGGTGGGGGGCTTTGCCAACGGTAGTTTCAAGGGGTCATTGCTTAACGTCCTGACCGCTATCGCGACCAGGTCTCATGTAAGATCAAGATTCCGACTCATGGGCAAGAACAGCGGATAGAGCCCATGGGTGTAGCTTGTAGGCAGTGCTCTGACTTGGAAGTGCCGCAAGCACCAAGTATCCTCGACCCTGGTGGTCCCGTGCGGTGGCCCTCCAGTTCTGCGCTGACAACAGCTTCTCTACGCGATACCGGATTAGCGACTTTCTAATTTCGTTGCAAAGTTTTGTCCTATACCACCCTCACGGGTTGAATCATTCATGGTGTGCAAGGCTAAACGACTTTTGGACTTGGGCATAAGAAGCTCCACTTACTCCCTCAACTTCACCTCTCGGTTACTTGTTTGGTACCCATCAACACGAAGACCACCAGCACCTCCACTCTAATCACTCAGGGCAGACCGTTCCTGCATCTCCTCCCTCGACAATTTATCCCTTGTAGAGACTAGGTCTTGCTGTCTCGTTTCGGAAAGCTTCGAAGCTCGTTCGTCTCGACTGTCATCTGTGGAGATCTGATCAGCGTTGGTGGTTGTATAAGATTCACTGCGCAGTCGTCCGAAGAGCATTCCTTTCTCCAGCCCACATCGAGGTTCAGCAGCCGACTTACAAGATCAGCTAGCATTCCGATCCACTAATTTGCAATTATCACATTGCCACTCAGACCTGATAGGTCCAGCGAAGGTAGTCACCGTTTGCTCTTCATTTCCGAAAAAATTCCTGGACATTCCTTTCGTGTGTTGTTTCGTCCGAGAAGAGTTAGAAACAGGTGCCTCATATTGTTGCTGCGGTGCTCACCTCCAACACAACTCAATTCACCACGCTCCCATTGTTCTCTACCCTTTCAAAGCACCATGTAAGTAAGAGAAAAATCAATCACATTACCCTTTCCCCAGACTCACCTCCACCACGCTTACCGAACCTACCACGAGACATGTTTGGACAAGACTGATCCATGCGATAGACGAGACATTGTTACGCATTCCTCCGTGCCGCGGGATAAGCAAGAATGGACTTTTCTGTTGGCGCTGGATATCTTACACCATCATCGCCCGCATACGACAGTCGACGAGATTCCACAATGTCAGAACAGTCTTCATCGTCGTATGGACATAGTTTTGGTAGTGTTCACTCCGGAACATCTTCTTATTGCTCCCCACACCTCCCACAAACACCTACCCAGATGAGGAATCTCAAACTCAACGAAAGCGTCATCGTCGAAACGCCGCAGCATAATCATGACACCAAAGAGTACACCGACTATTATTCCGATCGACAATGCACTCGTACAGTTCCAAACCTTCAAGTTGCGAGTCACAATTGGTCACCACACGCGCAAAGCCGTCGCAATGTCCCACTTCCGCCTCTGCGATCTTCAGCGTATGATCAAAGGATCTTGACATCAGACACCACTGATTACAATTCTGGGTTTGGCATCGTAGGCCCGCAAAAATCACAGCCACAGCCACTAATGCCGACACCGGAGATGTGTTCATCGTCAGATGGATGGTTGACTCCACCACCTGCGACATATCCTATGGCTCAAGGTATCCAATACTACCCGCACTATCCAGAAGGCGTTGTAGAGAGTCGATCAATCACGCCCTATACGTGGCCAACCACCCTTCCAACAGTCGAACAATTTGTAACGAACACCTTCGACAATAGCATGGTACCGTCCACATCGAGCTTCTCAAGCGATGGCTCCGTGTACGCTCGGATGCCATCTGAAGGCTATGAAGCTGATCGTGAGGGTTATTTCTGTCGTCCAATGTATTCTGCCTCGCCAATCTCACCTAATATGCCTTCCTCAACGGACAGACAGCACCAGTTCTTAGGCCATGGCCAGGTAGAGCTACCTTCCGGGACTCGCATAGGCCACCGACCCGTAAGAACACCTGTCGGGGTTAGAGGAATACGGAAAGAAAGAAACGATGTGTCCTCGAGTAGACGCAAAGCGAAGAGCTTCAAGACCGACGTCGGATATATTCATGCACCAGATGGCTCTCATATTCCCGTGCAGATACAAGGCGACTTCAAGAAAGACTCAACGGGACGATGGACAACCGGCAGCATCGACTCCCAGAAACATCGTTGCAATATGCACAAAGGAGGGGAGAAGTGTTCCCGGACCTTTAAGAGGATCGAGCACTTGCGACGCCACATGAGAACCCACACGTTGGAGCAACCCTTTGCTTGTGAATTCCCAACGGAGAAGCTCGAGGACGGAGTGGTCCAGCTGGAAAGATGCAGCAAACAATTCCAGCGCAATGATAACTGCGTTGCTCATTTCAAGACACATGTGAGCCAAGACAAAAACGGGCTGTACTTTCCAGCATTCCGACCAACAAAGGAGAAGATCGAGAGCGCATCCAACGACTCTCTGGTGGAACTGGCTCAGGGCATGAGGTCTCGAATACATTCAGATGATCGCAAAAAGGGATCGAGGAACCCTCGCGTGACATGGGAAGAGTTTCTTGTCCGCATCAAGGAAATCAAGACACCGGAAGATTCTGCCAAGATCATAGCGAGTGTATTCAAGTCCTGCCTGAAGGACGACGAGAAGACACGAACAGGAGGAAGGTGAGAAATAGGACGACATGCCGACTAGAAGCAAGTTTGCACTTCGAAGGAGTCGACGTATACCATTTGCTACCTTAATTAATTCGCACTCGGGGTTTCTTTGTAGACTATTACCTATTACGCGATACGTAGATTTTCATGCCGGCGTCGGGCGCCATACATAGCACTTATTTACCCAAACAATGATATCCATATGACTTAAAGGCACACCATGCGCACAACGTGACGGCGCTTAAGTCAGTGAGTGGATCGCGACTATGTCAACCAGCCGCGTCATTTTCGGCTGTCCATGTAATTAATGGTGCCTCGGTGTTGAAAGTGGTGTGACGAACATGAGTCACTGCGAGATTGGGTGTACGAAGCAAACGCGCGAGCCGTGGAAGAAAAGTTACGTGTATCATGATAACAATTAAGGTTGCGTTGTTTCTAGTATCTGATGTGCGCTAGAACAAGAAGCACGCTAACTAGATTAGTAACGATTGAGGCTTCGTTCCAGATATCTGCATCTCCCTTCTACATCGATAGCCACGTCGTCTCACAATGCACTTCACTGTTGCGGCTATAGAATACCTCTTGTCCAAATGCATTCCCGAGGAGCAACAGCAGCACAGCGACAGAAGCATACACATCTGTTACACCAAAGACCCTTGACCTCTCGACCAGGATTCTGACCTGATTCCGCCCTACATTCACTCCACAACTACGTCATCGCGATACTGCTCATACATGCCCTCATGACTACATATTAGTTGTCCATACGTTCCTGGGCTACGACAGCGAACACTTTGCAGTCAAGAACTATCATTGTCTCGGTAATTACAAATAAGCAGAATGACAGGCACACAAGAGCATGAGCCTAGGCCAAGCGACAGCCAGGAAGGCAATGAACATATTCCTCAAACGCAAGGACAGGAAGGGGACAAGACGAGAGATACCGGCACAGGAGGTACGATCGTCATTCCACGCCTCCCCCTCACCACTCGTCACCAACTCGCAACCCTCTTGTAGACACTGGCACAATCACTGACCCACTGAACAGGCCTCCTTGCGCCTGTCCTCGATCCTGTCGGCAAAGGTCTCGGTACAGTCCTACGTCCCGTTGGATATGGAGTTGAGACTCTGACGAAGCCCATCGCGAGTGGTGTGGGCGGCATTACGCGACCCGCATTGGGTCCACTGATGGGTGAGCAGGAAGAGAAGAGCGAGGTGCTGGGGGGCGACAACAAAGACAGTTACGTGCATGGCAAGGACAGTCTGGGTAAGAGAGAGCAGACCGGTGAGAATCCTCTCGGACTTGATCAGACAGGCAAGTTTGGATTCAGGGACGAGTAGGTTTGGTCCGTACGAATTTCACAGATATTACAGTTCCCGTCTTTGAGCTGGGCTGCTCGCCGAGTATGAGCATCAACCTGACGTGCATGTCGAATTGCTTTCTTGAGGACCTGTCGCTGGAGAAATTACGATTGCCCTACCGGGTATACTACAGACTGCTTGGTTGGCTGGCACTAGCACTCAGTTGTTGGCGATTCTGAACCCCCGATCTCATCTTGATTCCATCACTATACATACCTGTGTAACCGCGATATCTTTTGTGCCTCGCGCTCTCGGTCCCGCTGAGCCTCAACGCCGCACTTGTATTGTGCCCAAACAGTCTATAGCCATTCCTAAATCAGCCTGCACTAGAGACATCAATCACGAGCTCAGCATTGGCACATCCAAATCCCCGCAATCGCTAGAGTCACCTTGAAACACAATACAATCCACTCGCTGCAGCAAACGTCCAACAACGACCCTTTCTAACCAAGACAAGCAAATAAACAACCTCCTTTCGGACATGCACGGCTCATTACGCCTCAGGCCTACAGCCCATGCCGCACAGCACATCACTGGCACATCGCAGCCCTATGACATTACCGGGCGTGTCGATCATGCACGCTAGATAATTAAGCAAACAATCCGCCTTGTTGCCTTCTTGCCAATTAGCCGAGAGTCACCCAGCACGCGAAACTCAAGCCTAGCAAGCTCGCGCCAGCAGCCATGTTTCCACGCCGCGCAACGCAACAGTGAAAATTTCATATTGCATCCGCCTCTTGCAGCAGGATTCACCGTACCGCTGCCTATTAGCCGGAGTGTGATTAGATACACGTAGAACGCTACTATTGACGAGAGGCGGCGAGTGTTTGTCATTTCTCATCATCTTAAAAAACAAAGCGCCAGGATTCATCGCTGGGATTGATGTTGGATGAAGATGGACTACGTCACGATTAGGCCACACGCCACCATAAATTTACGCGCCCTGGATATGAGCAAAGGCACGGTAAATTTTGTGGCATACGCGCCTGCGCGCCGTGCCGCTGAACCTTGATATTTTGTGCCGAGCTCGCTAGGGTAAATACAAATTTCACCAGAATACTAATTCGGTAGGATACAAACTCGCCAATATACCGAACAAGACACCACCAGGATTACGCACCATGATAACGCACCAGGATAACGCACCAAGACACTACCAAGACATTATCAAGACACTCACACTCAAACAAACATTCTCCCACCCCCTCCCCCAGTAACTCCCTCCCAAACAACCCATTCCAGAAAAACACCCCCCTGCAAAATCCCACAAGAAACACAGCCGCAACAGAAGCGCCTTGTATATCCCGACCAGATCGCCTATATGTGCTTCTACAGCAGGTGCTTAGCTGTGAGACATGGTATGAGCATGGATATAAGCATGGGTATGAGCACGAGCATGGTATCATAACCAGATAAGCGCGCGTGTGTTTCGAGATCATGGACTGGGGACTAGGGGGCTTAGTTCATTGTGGGGTTCGATGGAAGGAAGGATTGTTGTAAGGCTGAGAGGCTGGCTTGGTACTTGTATACTTGTATGCGGGGGCCGTAGGGCTGTAAGGCTGTCTGCATGGGCAAGGTACGGTAGGTACGTACTGGGTACAGAAATGAGCCTGTGAGGCTGTAAGGCTGTTATGGTGTGCTGTGTGAGAGTGGAGCTGTAGGGCTGTAAGGCTGTGTGGGTGAGGTACGTGCTGGTTAGGTATCCGGATGTACTGGGTACGGACGGATATGAGCCTGCGAGGCTGTACGACTGTGTTGTATGTTGTATGGTGCGATGTGGTGTGGAGCTGTAGGGCTGGCTGTGCGATAGCGGAGTGTAGGGCTTATGTGCATACATGTACACATGTGCATGTACATGCATAGACATGTGCAAATGCAAAGTACACGCGCACTGGCTGGTACATCTGCAACCCAAGCGCATAGAGAAATGCAGTACTAACGATCACATATTGCCAGCAAACACATCTTATCTATCAGACAGCTTCCTAAATGCATACCATATACACATAGTATACAGAAATAAACATGAAGCCAGACAAAAGCAAGACGTAAGACGCACGGTAGCACGTACATATACATATACACACATAATCCTCCTCCTACCAGAACCCACCACCCACCTAGGTACTAAATACACACAAAACCGACAACATGAAAACACAGTTTACATCACTGACGATCAGAGCTATAGGTCTATTTAGCCCATGTATGTATGTATGTATGTATGTATGTATGTATGTATGTATGTATGTATGTATGTATGTATCTATCTATCTATCTATACATATACTATACCGGGGACCATCCTACGGTCTTACTATCCTACGCACTCACAGCCACTCCCACAGCCATACGGTGATACGTGACAATGATAGTGCTCATGGTAGGCACGTACTCGCACGCACGCATGCCCGGAACTATGTATTATACGTGGGTATATGCTGTACGTAGGTACATGTTGTTGACAGGTGACGAGTCGATCGATGAGTCGATGAGCCAATGAATGAACAAGTTACCTGGTCAGTGAATGAGTGAAAGAATGAATGACATGCATTCATGCATGGGTCCGTACGTATACATAACAGTTCTAGCTCGCCAGTTACACAGATATTATACAGAGACATTTCGAGGTGTATGCAGTGTTTTAATGGAGTGCATGAAGTTGGGCATATAAAAACGACACCAGGAACGAAAAGGCGGACAAGTCACGATACAAGGAGAAAAAAGATAGTGTGTGTCAATAGAATGAGCAGAGTATTTTCCATATCTACACAAGCAACAAATCTATACTTCCATCAAAATCCGGTCGAGTCCAGTCCCAGTCACAGCGTTTTATTTGCCAGGCAGACAGACAAACAGGTAGTCAGGAACCCTCTCCCCCCATTCCAACCATTTAATTCAATCCATCCAGCTCTCTGACCGGTCCTACCTCCTTATTCTTCTTCCTCTTATCCTTCTTAGGTTTCGCCTCCGTCTCCAGCACGTCCTCCTCGGGCCCCGAGAACAAGCGGATCAGTGCGGGGGTGTAGTACTTCAGGTGCGCAAACTCGCCTAGTTTGACGCGCATGTAGTCGAATGCAATGCCCACCTTCAGGTCCGGGTCGCTGACCTTGAACACGGCTGCCGAGGGCGCGCGGTTGACGTCGGCTGGTCCCGTGGATTTGTCGCCGCTAGTGAGGCGGGCGTCGTTGAGTGTGTTGTCGAAGTTGTCGTCGTCGCCGTCGAATCTGGCTTTGAGGTCATCCTCGAGATCAGGCCCGAGGTCGCTGACTCCGGTCGGCTGAGGCAGGGTATCGCCACGGATGGAAGGAGCGACTTGGTCATCGAGGACTGATCCCGTCGCGGGTGGCTTGGCCGGCTTCGGAGCCTCGCTGTCGGCCTCGACAATGGGGATCTTGCTGTATCGCTGGCTGAAATGCGTGAGCAATACACACTTCGCGCCCATCATCTGGCCAATCTCGAGTGCTTCCCCGGTGGTACTGTGCTTCTTTGCCTCCGCATCGCCGCGAAGGTCGTCGTCAAAGGTGGCCTCGTGGATGAGAAGGGTAGAGTCTTTGCCAATTCTAGCGAACGCGGGTGAGGGCCGGCAATCGCCAGAGTAGCTGATCTTGAGACCAGATGGGAAGGCGATGGACACGGCCCGGGCACCATGACAATGGTGGACAGTAACGGCGCGGATTCCAGAGAGATGGGTGTGACGCATCAATTCAGCGACTTTGAAAGGGACAGGGTCGGAAGTGGAGGCAGGGTCACTGGGATGAAGATGTAGGTTGCTGCGCGAGACGGCGGACAAGGATTTCATGTCTTGTTCGGCAGTAATAGCAAGAGGAAGAATATGTGAATAGCCGTAGTCTTCGATTTCAGAATACTCGCGGAGCCAGTCGATCATGTAAACGGCGGAGATGACGGCCAGGCGCTGTTTGGACGAGGCAGTTCCTTCTGTCCCGGGCTTGCCATGGACGGTGTCTCGCCATGCGCGGATCACAGACGTGACGCCAAGATGGTGGTCGGCGTGCATATGACTTATCCAGATCATGCGTAATTCTTTCATGACTTCGCGTGCCCCTTCCGGTCCAAATACTCGTTGTATTTGTCCCCATGTACCCTCGCCAGCGTCAAAGAGATAGGCACCTTTCCCGGGTACTCTTACGAGAGTTGCAGATACATTTCGATAATTCGAGGGCACTGCCGAACCTGTTCCAAGGGAAAAGACCTCCGTATCTGGTTCTGGTATCTTTTTCTTCCACAAGTCCAAGGCTTCTGCGTCGTCTTTGATCCTCTGAGCAGCTTCTTCGGACAGCTTCAGAATTGAGGGGTCGAGAACCTTGAGCTCCTCTTCCATGTCCAGCTGCACCTGTTGGTTGTACACAGACTGTTCAAATTTAGATCCTGTAGCCATCTCAATACCTGCGGCAGGCGGATGGAGGGTAGGGATATCTTTCAATTCGTGACCTGAGATATTCGTGCCTGCAGAAAGCGACTGTATGATGGTAGTGTCATCAAAAGAAAGCGCTGGAAACCTGCAGGGATCGATCTTGTTGAGTCTCGCATGCTGACCAGCAGCACTTATGAACGGCGCACGATCTGGATGAGTGTCTGTCGAGGAGACTATGTGATGCACACCAAGATCGTCGCTCAGTTTTCGCATGAAGTCTTGCAGTGGCCTATGTTCCAATACGCCCGGAGCGAGTATCCACACAATGTGCTGCATGTTCTCTAAGAGTTGTGGTGTTTTCCACTCCGCTCTGGCAATTAGCGGTTCGACGTATTCGACGCCTGGTAACTCAATAATCGCGAAAGCTTCTCCAGAGCTGCCTTTGCCAAGAACCTGATCTGGCTGTATCATTTCTCCTTTGTCATTCTCCACTGGCTCACCTTTGGCAATGTCCTTGTACTTGGTCTTATCCCTGAGACCAAGCTCTAGTGCCTTTTTAGGGTCAAACTTCCCTCGTATTGGGTGAGTACGTGCGATATACGATACAGCAACGGATGATGGCTTCGTTGGAGGTAGTCTGCCAACCAGGGCTGCTGGCCATGCCTTGCGCACCAGTACAGTTATGTCAGGGAGCTGGTGATATGGCAGGTCTCCTGGCACTGGCCCTTCATACCTTTTGATCTCCTTTGTATCGGGGTCGCGAATGAAGATCTCTGCTGGCAGCTCCACATTGCGGAGATTTGTGTCATATAGAGCATCCATGCGCCAATTCGAGTTGAACATGTCGCCGACAATGGACTCTCGTAACTGATTGTACTGTTTTTCTTGTTGCTCACTGGTCAAATCACTGGCCCAGCCCATGGCTTGATCAAAGCTTCGCTTCCGAGGGTTTTCAGGGGCAGAAACATTATGGTTGTGGTGTGATGGCTCTATGGCCATCGCCCAAGCCTTGACAATATCATCCTGCCAGGTGGGATGTTCAGCTATGTTGCCTGCCTTTGGCACGTTTGGCGTATGCTCAAATGCGTACACAGGAATCCCTTTCCGAAAGACAAACCGTCTGCAAGTCGCCAAAGCTTGCTTCAGATTTGGCGGCCCATGTACAATCATATCACGAGTTCCAAGATCAAATTTCACCCCTCGGTCCTCACTTCTTGCTTCGGCGACAGTAAGAAGTGTTCCTACCAGGCCTCCGATCGAATGCCAGTCGAGCTTGCCAGTCATGAAGATGGTATGGACATGTTTGAAGCTGCCTTGAATCCCTATTGCGGCTCTTTGGGTGCCCTCGGACATGTTGCCAAATAAATATTTCCTCTTATCATGATCAAATCGAAGAGCTACCGCTGTGCCTGGCGTGTCCAGAGTCGGCGCCGTAAGGAATTTGATATACGTCTTCATCCTTGATTCATATAACCTTCGACTAGCCTGGATGTAGGCAGCAACCATGTATTGTGACTGATCGGCCTCCTTTCTATAATTTGAACGACTCTTCCGATGATATAGTATGCATTCCTTTCCAAATCGTTGCTCTCCAGATCGGTGAGAGACGGCTTTGTGGGGGGACAGGGGATCTCCGTGGGAGATGAAAGAGGCTGCGTAGGAGTTGCAAGAAGGATCTCGGGTGCCGCGAAATTCAAGAACTGGTTCAACCGTATTCGATACACCGTACCATTCCTCCCAGGGACTGAGGGCACGCTTAATTGAACCGTCTGCACTGCTGAACCTTTCGAAGTTTGTACCAGACCCTACACCTCTCTCTACGGAAAGTGAACTGGTAGGCTGAGCAACTCCGTGCTGCGCTTCCCAAACTCTTTGTCTCGCTGCCTTGCCGCCTTCTGCTCGTCGGCGCTTGTATTCCGCCTCTTTCCACGAGAGCTTTGGTTCCGACGGGTCAGTAGTCCCACGGGCGAAATGCAGATTTCGGCGCGTAAGGCGCGGAAGACACAATCGTGGCAATATGATGGGCAACCTTGGCGATTAATGTATATTATGTGGGCGAGGACAGCTCGGAGAAGCGTTAATGTTCACACATTGGGACCAAACTCGGGAATGTCAACTACGAAGCTCTTCAGCGTCGAGTTTTTTAGTGGTCCGTGCGCAGTACCGTAGGATTCAGAACTCGACGTCACATCGGCCTTGCGGGAGAAAAGCACGAGGAACAGTCACTGATTATAGTGTTGGTGATGTTTGCAACAGTGTTCATTTGTTCGATTTATGATCCAATTGCTATATTTGCACAGCCTTGTGTAGACTAAAGGGAAAACGCTCCAGCGACGTCGGTGAGCCATGTATGGTCTCTAACCTTGCTACATTCCAACGCCATGTTTTCTACAATGTGCCAATGTACGCCATCAAATGAAATCCGTGTCTTCGTAATAGCTATAAAATATAATGCCGCGGGGCTGTCAGGAGTAGACACGTGGGCATGGCCGATAATAAAACGACAACAAGTTAAGACGGCGCCTATCATGACGTCATGGCACGTAGTCTTTGGTAGACAGGCTCCATGGACGCGCAAATGCGCTCAACCCGTTCCATGGCGAGATCGGACGAGGTTGAGGGAACGACGAGTTCGAACTGGGAGGACTTTTCGATGGTGACACCTTCGAAAGAAAGGTTATCAAAGGTTGGAGTAGATGTGACAGGTGCAGAGGGTGAGGTAGGATGATATAGGGCGAATTCAGGATTGTTGTCGAAGGCGCGCTCCTCCTCGGTCTCAGCCGGTTTAGCTGTAACTAGGGTGGTAGAATCGGAATAGGTCGTTCCGACGACAGGGAAATCCTGCTTAACGTCATCAACAGGCTCGACGGTCTCGGTTTCGTCGAATGCTTCATATTCCTTCCCAGACAGCATCTCAGCGTTGAGAATTGGCCCCTCGGGCACCTCCATCACGGAAAAAACTTGAGGTTGTTGGAATGGGAAGCCGAGATTCTGGTTACCCCAGGTGTTGTTAATGCTCAACATGCTGAGATCGAGCGGCGTCTCAGGGACAAGTGCCATGCCGATCTGGAGGTCGTCCTGACGAGAAGACTCGAATTGCTGAGGAGCCTGGTAGGCGTTGGCATCTTTACGGGCCGGCTGAGCAGTTTGCTGTTGCTGGATGGGGAGCCTAGGTTGCAGAGCCTCGTCACGGGAAAGATCCTCGAGGAATGGTGCGAATGCCTGATGACGAAGAAGGTTCTCGATGAAGGCACGAGATCGTGCATTTTCCTCCATGAGAGCCCTGTTTTGGATTCGAAGTTCATTGCACTCGTTCGCCTTTTGGTTTACTTCCCCTTCGAGCTGGCCAATATATTCTGCAAATCGTTAGCTATTGCGTTCATGCATTGATGTTGTTCTGATCTTACCCTTTCTGCGAGAGCGGAAAGCACGAGCTGAGACCTTATTACGAAGTTGACGACGCTCCTTGCTGGTGAGCTTTTTTCCCTCTTCACTGGCAAGGAGGCGTTCGTCTTCATCCATGTCCTCTTCGTCCTTCTTCATGCGGATGATGTGGGGGAGATGAGCATGAGGATCATCATTCTGGGAAGACATTTGACTATTCTGGCGGATTTGATTGACTACACGGGCGATAGTCTCTTCGGTGCGAGCATCGGTGGGTTGGTGCGAAGCTGAGCGTTTCGATGGCGCGGTGCGGGATTGTTGCTGCGGTCGGGAGGTCTGCTTTTGTTGTTGTTGTAGCATTTGCTGTTGTCGTTGCTGTTGGGCCTGTGCCTGTGCTTTGGCAAGCGCTTGCTGTTGATGCACACCAGGCCAAACACGAACATTGGCAGGCTCTTCGGGTTGAGTGAGAGTAGATGGATCGACAAAGTCGTCTTGGTGGGACGACTCTGTGTTAGGGTAGAAGAAAGCAGGCAGGCCGTGTGTTAATTCGGTATCCATGTTCATGTCAGAGTCGAGCCCCCCGAGGCCGGTCGACCACATGCTCATGTCATCAAGGCCGGTGTTTGAAAATCCCTGGAATTGGGAATTCTGTAGTCCTGGGACCGAGCCAGATGGTAGACCAGTCTGTTGCTTGAAGCGATCATACTCGTATGATGGTTTCGCAGGTGCCTGGAAGTCGTCGCCATCGAGAGGGGCGATGGTGGTAGCAGGACTGGTTAAGGCTGAAGGGGCAGAGGATGCGGGCATCTGGGAGGATGAGGCGCCGTTATTTGAGGATTGCAGGTCGCTGAAGTTGAACCATTCTTCGACGTCGGGTTCGCACGAGTTTGAGTTGTTGAAGGGAGTCGAACTCATGGGATAAACAGCAGTGGCCATTTGGAAGTCGATGTTGCCTTGGAAGGCAGGATATCAGAGATGAGATGGAAGTCCAAGTCGGAGCTGTGTCGGTGAATTGAAGCCTTGGGCAGACAGTCGGAGTGTTTTGTTTAGGAGAGTGAGTTCGTAGGATGGGACAGCGAAGAGCGGCAGGCCTGAAAGAGACGCGCGTACACCTGGTTCGACGTAGGGAGCTAGTACGTTTTGGGCTGGGACAGACGGAAATGCCGTGTGTCAAACCAACGCACCGAAGACTTCTCAAACAGGAGCGTAGACAGCGAGGACAATTGTTGGAATTATTGTAAAAGGTGTAGAAGTGGTTGAGAGGAAATTGAAAGAGATGTCAGAAGTTTGTAGAAATGGAGGGAGGAATTGGAGGCAATGGAACAGTTGACTGGGGTCATGAGAGTTTTAGGGGGAAGATGGAGATGCAAATTCAATGCACAGCCCCTCGAGGCTCGGTCTCGATGCGAGCCATGTGCGAGCCAATCAGAGACGCTCTAGCCGCCACCAAAACCAGGGCTTGGCCGCTTGGCCGTGCTCGGTGCCGAAAGCCCGGCAGCTGCACCGCATCTGCTGGGCGTATGTGATGCAATATGCGCATCCCATGCTACTATATACCGTCGTGTACGTTCCCCCTTCGATACCGTGGGGCCTAATACCTATGTATCATCCACCAGGGCAGTAGGTCTTTCGTCTTATACATACTACAGATATGGAGTATGCTCCGGAACCCCTTACTGTCCAACTGCCTCCAAGTATCTGCCTCATATCCAACAGCTACAGCTTAACTATGTTGCTCTATGATGAGTAACTCTGCATGCTGGTGTGAGCTGCCTATGTCGAATGTCCAGATGATAACAAGCACAAGCTCAAGCCAAGGTTGAAGCCACCGCTGAACCGTATACGTGACGTATTCGGCTTTTAACTTTGTGTCCGAAGCGGGTACCAGGGTCAGTCAGCCCGGTGTTTAACCGTATCCGGACGTACTTACTTTAACCATATCCGACCAGACTTTAACCGCATCCGTCTTGAGTTGCGAGCTTCATCCTGCCTACTATATTTAGTCATCCCTACAGTACTACTTAGTTACCTACTCTTCCAATCTACTCCCTACCTAACATAAGTAGCTGGGCGCCTGGCCATCACATGAATCCGCCTGACCTCGTCCAAGGAAGAGTATTTAGTATTCACATGAGATGTATCGCCGGTGTCTCTTATAATGTCTTGCTGTTTCCCAAATAACTCATACTCTGACCTGCACGTCTAATCTCGTCTTCTAGGAACTGCTTTTCCGTTAGAGACCACTTTTCGGCCGGCAAATTACAGCTTTTTTGTCCGGCCATCCACTTCATACGGCCTTAAAAAGCAATAAGCACTCTAACAGTCACAGAATCTTCCAGTGAACCGGCCTACTAAGAAATGCACCGCTAAACCTGAAACTTTCTGGTCCATAGTGGTTAACCAGTGCGGCATTACCCTTGGTGGTCTCGTGTCAATCGTACTCGGCATTTCCCGCTGGTCGGGCGAACACGAGACGCAGATACGCAAAGCCGCGTATTTTGTTTCTATATCTCGGATTGGTTCGACGATGGGACCTCTGCAATTCGCATTTTTTCAGCTTCTGTACAAGCTGCAGTATCAGTAGCATGTAAGCACTGGCTAGATTAAGAACCCCAGATACGCGTATAACCTATAATGGGATGTGAGCGGAAGAGACGGTACATCATCACATCATAGGTATACTACTGTATATGCTTCCATTTCTAGGACAAGTCCCCGTACTTTCAAACGGGAATCTTCTACTCCGTTGGTATACCGTGATTTTCCGTGACTAGCTCTGACTTGGCTGAGGGGAGGAGGTAGTTTACCATAACTCATGCCTCAGGCACCACACGTCTTCCAGCAACTATTGACTTTTCAGGCATTCAGGCATATACAGATAGCTGATCTCTCTAAACCAACTACTCCGCACTTTGTAATGGACTCGGGAGTATGCAAGTCAGCATGCGTCACCACAACAAATAGTAACAGCTTCTCAGTCACTCCTTTGGACTCAGGCGATGGCGAACATCTCACAGATGCCTTCATAGGAGCATTTCACCATCATGGACCGGCTCATATTGTCCAGACCCAGACACGGTGCGTTGCGCTGCGTACAACGGATTGCTCGATGCAGTGGCAAAGAACATACTTCTGTACTTCGGGGATACAAACACTCGGCCAAGAGCATATCTACTGCGGCAGCTTCCGAGACATACAATGACTCTAGAGCTGATCCCTTGGAATCTGGCGGTTCGTCTGCTCGAAACGTCGCCTCCAGCGGTCGAAGAGACGCGATCAAAAACGCGAAACCCTTTTCTGATTTCTTAACTGATACCTTTAATCGACAACACGACTATTTGCGAATCAGTCTCACAGAACGTTGCAATCTGCGATGTCTATATTGTATGCCTGAAGGTCTGTCGCCATCACCATTTGCCCGAATATGTTAAAATGCTAACTTATGCAGAGGGTGTACCGTTGTCTCCCCAATCGCATCTTCTCACCACCCCGGAAATATATTATCTATCCTCTCTTTTCGTCTCTCAGGGTGTTACCAAAATTCGATTGACCGGCGGCGAACCTACTATTCGGCGAGATATACTTCCTTTAATGCAACAGATTGGTTCTTTGCGACCAAATGGTCTGAAAGAATTGGCCATTACCACCAACGGAATATCTTTACATCGCAAACTGGATAGCATGGCGGAATCAGGTCTGACTGGTGTCAACCTAAGCTTGGATACTCTCGACCCATTCCAGTTCCAAATCATGACTCGCCGAAAGGGTTTCGATGCTGTGATGAAGAGTATTGAACGCATCCTCGAAATGAACAAGCTTGGAGCGGGCATAAAGCTAAAGGTCAATTGTGTCGTGATGCGTGGGTTGAACGAGCGCGAAATCGTACCATTTGTAGAGATGGGCCGTGAGAAAGACATTGAGGTCCGTTTCATCGAGTACATGCCATTCGATGGCAACAAATGGAGTCGAGGTAAAATGCTCCCGTATCAAGAGATGCTTGATATGATTCGCGAGAAATATCCAGGTCTCCGCAAAGTACAAGATCATAAGAATGACACCAGTAAAACCTTCGAGGTCCCTGGGTTTGTGGGAAAGGTTGGCTTTATCACGAGCATGACACACAACTTTTGTGGCACATGTAATAGACTCAGAATCACCAGCGATGGAAGTCTCAAGGTCTGCCTCTTTGGAAATACAGAAGTCTCTCTCCGGGATCTTCTTCGAAAGGGCAATAAAGACCAACCGATTGACGAAGCCTCGTTCGAAGCCTTGAAGCAAATCGAAATGGATCGGCACCAAGGCTTGCTTCCGAGAGGAACGGCACTCGGTTGGAGTGGGCGTGAGCAGGAACTTCTCAACGTTATTGGAGCCGCTGTGAAACGAAAGAAGGCCGGTCACGCTGAGCTTGGCGAGTTGGAAAACATGAAGAATCGACCCATGATACTTATTGGTGGGTGATTAGGCTCCTTATCTACCTAAAGCCGCATTTCTTGATTGTCATAATGACACAAACATCCATACGCACAATGTACACCCTCCTGCCCTCGTCAGTACCTCTCGTGATCGGAAGCTGATTACCTATGACAGATCGCTCAGCCCGCATGAACAAGCTAGGTACTTCTCATCCCAGTCGGTCAGCCCGATCATCCGCACTAGCTGCGCCATGGTCTCATATACCCTTCCATATGTTGGGGGGCATTCCGCAAGGCCCCACTCTGATGCATCGTGCTTCGCTCCATACCGAAAGCAAACGAAAGTCGAGAATCCAAGTCGTCCCAGGCTTTGCTGGGACTAAGCAGATACCTGCTCAGTCTTGGCTGTTCAGCAAGAAAGCCAAAATCGTACCAGCACAAAATACTAAATTAGAGACCAAACCCCTCGACGACCCTTTCCTTTTTGATGAGATAGGGACCTCGAGTACGCCTACTGCGGATCATACTGGAGACTCCCTCGAGCAATCTAATCATGGCAAGCACATTGGCAAATATGGACAGATTCAATTCCCTACGACCCCACAACGAATGTTCCCTACAGTGATCCACTACCATGCAGAGAAGAAGTGGTATACACTAGTGCCGTCGGTCACATTCTTGGACGAACAACGTCAGCAAATTCGCGAGCAAGTCATTGCTGGTACCCTGGCAGAAGACGAGGGATACATCTATGAGACCACAACTAGTGATTTTTTCCCGTTCAGCAAAATGCCTCATCGTCCTGCCGTGTATCGCAAATTGTGTCAGAGACTGCAGGAGAACAAGTCGCCCAGATATGCGGAGGGATTTGGTCAGGATTTTGTGAACGCGATCGCCCGCAAGCACTTTTACGAGTCTGATGAACGACCCGAGGAAGGCACTAGGAATTATAGACCAAAATTCCTCCTCCGTGACCTTGGTCCTGAAGTTCCGGAGGGGTCACTCCGCCTGCCACCTGACACTTTCCGCAGAATATGCAAGACGCAGAGTATTGATCGTTCCGAGGGCCTTCGTCCAAGCCTCTGGACAGAGCCTCGCCGTCTTGACTCTGCAGTGTCCAATATCTTCAAACCGGCGGACCTGCAGGCCTCCTCTGGCATTTCAGTGCGTACCCAAAAGGCTCGACTGCATTCGACTCCAAACCGCTCATCAACACCGCCTGTTGAGTCCTCCTCGCTCTCAGAGCCATCCTTGACTCATCTTGACGCCTCCGGCGCCGCAAAGATGGTGTCCATTTCCGAAAAGCCACACACCGTCCGCCGCGCCATCGCCATTGGCCGCATTGCTTTCTCCAATCCCGACCCCGCGAGTCTCATTGCGCGTAACGCTATCAAGAAGGGTGATGTCCTGAGCATCGCGCGTATTGCTGGTATCACTGCCGCCAAAAAGACGCCCGAATTCATTCCTCTGTGCCACCCGATCCCGCTCACCAGCGTCGTGATCGACCTTGACCTCGTCCAGCCGGGAGATGATGCAGAGATCATGTATGGCTGCATCAATGTGCATGCCACTGTTGAATGTACCGGTGCCACAGGTGTCGAGATGGAGGCGTTGATGGGTGTGTGGGGCGCCGTAAGCACTGTTTACGACATGTGCAAGGCAGTAGACAAAGGCATGAGTATCTCATCAGTCAAAGTCGTCCTTAAAGAAGGTGGCCGCAGCGGCATGCTCGTCGATCCGACGTGGCATTCCGAAAACTTGCGTGCCCTACAGCAAGAACAATCAAACCTCTCATCCCAGACCTCGCCTTCAAAACCTACTACCCCTTTACCCGAGCACCCGCAGCCAACGACCGAAAAACATGATCCCTTCGCCCCCGCCGTCACCGGCCCCGGAACAGCGTTCATCTCACTAGCCGATCGTCCTCCCGCCGGAGACGCGAAGCAACAACCACCAAACTCCGTCGTTTCCAACCCTGCATCTCGCAGCGAGGACAATTCTCTCAAACTCGTCCTTCCAGCCGTCCTCATGATCATGATCCTCTTCGCCGGTGTCGAGGTCGTGCGGAGCAAGCGTACACCCTCGCCGCCCAAGCCCATCGGTCCCCCGTCAACATCATCATCACCACCATATCCAGCTCGGTCATCTTCCTCGCAGATCGCAGAGAGCCACCGAGCTGCCAATGCCGACGCCGCGGAACCTGCCATTAGCGAAGCTGAGATCGAGGCCCGTGCCACCGCCGTCAAGGCACAACGGGACCGAGACGCAAAGCATAAAATCGACGACCGCACGCTGCAGAATATTCTGAAGCGCAAGAATCGCGGCGTTGGCATGCCGAGTGCGAGTGATGCTGCTGCGAGTGCGGCCGGGATCACGAAGATTCCGGATGAGGATGTCGCGGCTAGGAGGGAGGTGGCTGGGCAAAAGGGGTCGCCTAGCGTGAGTGACGGTGGTGTGCCGGAGCGAAGTAATCTGGACAAAGCGGTGATTGTGGGCATGTTGATTGTGTGGCCGGTGGCGCATATTGCATGGTATCTGAGTCATAGAAATTAGAAGAACGAGTCAGGAACTGGGGCATTGTAGGATTACGGGAAAAGATGGACTGATAGACTTCGGATTGTAGGGGTAGAATATGTATAGCTTTTCTACCCTATCTTTCAGTTCTATTGTATAGCCCTATCGTAGTTGCCGAAATCTATGGTATATATGTATGTATATATGATATGCGTCTTGGTGGTGTACGTGCGTGCATGCTATGTGCTATGTATGCTTCTTGATACCCATATCCATCTATCACCACTTTTTTCCTCAATTTTTTCCCATCCAGAATGCAATCGAGTCGCGCATCCTCATTCATTCATCCAGCCATTGATTCATTCTTTCATCACATCCATCACGTTCATCTTCCCACACAACACTCTCAAAACCCAGCCCGCTCCTCCGCCTCGGGAAACACAGCCTTATCCAGATTCTGCCGACACGCGCCCTTCCAGCTCCGCGGCGTAAACGCATCGACAACGCCCTTAAATGCCGCGAGCGTGCACAGCGTCGTATCGTCTTCGAAATGCTTGCCCGGCTGCGCACACGCCGGCACCTGCATGACCTTGTCGTTGTAGCGCACGCGCACGAAGAAGCCATCTAGGGCGGATTTTTGGGTAGTTGAGAGGGTGGATGTGGGGGTGCGGTTGATTCTGGGTGTAGTGGATGGGGAGGGGCCGAAGAGGGTGGTCCACCAGTTTGGTTTGGAGGGTGGTGATGATGATGCAGTTAAGGAGGTGGGTGTGGGTGTAGTGGGGGTATTCTTGCGGAATAGTTCGATTGCGACGTGCGATGTGAACGGCGGCCAGGACTCGCCGTCGAAGGCACCTAGACTCGTCAGCAGGGCTGCCAGCGTGGTGTCGTGGCAGCCCGAGAGTGCAAGCTTGATCTGCTTCTCGTTTCCGGGGTCAGTTGTCGCGTCACGGACGTTCTTAATGACATCTGTGCCCTGTGTCGCCGCCACCGTCTCGACGGATCCGACCATGCGGGCTACGATGTCGCCTGCTAGCGCGCCGATGCCGACGGTTCGATATTCTGCCGATTCCTTGTATCCCGAGTACCATTCCTCGACGGCGATTTTGTCGATGATGGCGCGGGCCTTTGGGTCGTAGAATTCAGAAGGTAAACGGGTGTCTGAGCCGTGGGCGAGAGTTGCGTTGAGCGTGTCCATGATGCCGGATAGGCGTGGGTGGGAGTCGACGGCGACTCTGGGTGAGGCGGCGGGCATGTGTTTGCCGATGACTTTGTTGAGGTATGCCATGTCATCACTGTCGTTCCAGCGTTCGGCGGTGCGTTGGGCAAAGGCGCGGCTCAGTTGGGCGAAGCGTCTGCAGCTTCCTTCGTTGGGGAATAGGGTCTCCTCGGAGGGCGTGCGCGTGAGGATCGTAGGGGGTGGGAAGTCAGCGGTGCGTGCGGATGGCGGATACATGCCCCAAAAGGCTTGCTGAACCGATTCGAGGGCTCTAGGAATAGGGGTAGCACGAAGATAGATCATGTCGGAGTCTGCTATCAGCTTAGGCATGAAATTTAGTTGATCCACGTAGAGAGAACGGAGTCGTTTGCCGAGCGCGAGCGTGGTTTCCCGACCTTTGTCGGTCAATTCACCGGGTTGACTACATGCTCGTCAGATTTGCTTGCAGAATCTATCATAGTCTGCACCGGAGACGTACCATACTGCGTCCAGCTCTCCTTTTGGTCCAACGGCCACGATTGGGCTGTCATCTGTCCCAAAGGTCTCCAATCGTCGTCTATACTTTAGCAAATCGAAGTCTTTCCAGTCTGTGGTAGCCATGACTGTGCTCGTAAGCTGTTTGGCAGCCCGACAGTATGGCCAGTACACTGGTAGACCGGTCTACATATAGGTACATGAGCTTTGGTAATTACTTTGTACAGTGTGAACAAACGTACGTGCTGAAAGCGTGGGGACACGGGAGTTCGTTCGCCTGTACCATGTCAATCTATTCCTAAGCAGATGAGACTGGTGAGCTGACCATGTCGTAGAAGCTACAGGCTTATGATCAGTGATAGCTGTGAAGGAAATGATTGCGAAGTTCATACGACTTGGACAAGCTGTAGCTGGAGGTCTTGTGGATAGAGGTGCTTGAGCTCTTCAGTGCTGTACGGCTGCCGGGGCTGTAGAGTGGTCATATCGGTAATAGACGAATGGTCGGATTTCTGTCATATATATTAACCAGAATTGATGCGTTGTCAGCTTCGAGAGGAGTCGCAATTAATATTTTTAGGACACTCTACAGTCGAACTGCAGCCTCGGCCGGCCGATGGACCAGATGACGTTGAAGCTTGGACCAACGGGACTTAACAAGACTGACACTGCTCATGCTCAACATCTCGACCTCACGCATATTGCAATCCAGTCCCTGCTACTGCTGGGCATGTACAGCTCGCATGTCTGCAAGAGCTGTCACGCTCGCCTCTGGCGACACTGGCGCATATCTCGAGTGACAATTGCGACACGAAAGCTTCACAGCACCCTTCCGCCTCTTTCAAATTCACACGATCGCTGGCCTCTGGCAGATGACACAGTGCAGCAAGCAAGCAACACTACCGACTCGCAAGGGTACTCCGACGATATATTTGAGAATTATATGAAATATCATAATGGAAGAGGCCGATATTCTAGATTTTCGGCTCCGGTGCTTGCGGTCGAGGAAGAGCCTGATAGTGAAAGACAAGACCTCCGAAACTCAGATCCCGAAAGAATCCGCAAACCTCTACATAGATCAAATCAGCAAGCTGATCGACCTATTCTCGAACACATTGATGATGCACCGGTCATATTGCATGCGAAACCTCATGATAAAGTCTCGAAATCGCCGGCGAATGGGAATAGGCGCGAAATCGCAGGAGTCGTGCCACTGAAAAACGGTCTCGCTGGCAAACACATCGTGAAACCATTGCAACCGCCAACTTGGAAGCGTCCTGCACTGGGTGTGGGATATGAAGCCCAAGAGGTAGCGCATATGCCAACTGAACAGGCAGAGCCCAAGGAGATGCGATACGGGTCTCTTCTTCGAAGTACCAAAGACCCTCAAGTGTCATATGATCAGACTCATCACCCTGTTTTCGAACGGTCAGAAGTCCAAAATGATAACGTCGACAACTCAGAGTATAAAAAACCGTATGGAAACGCTTCTCAACGAAGTGAGAGGGACAATATCACACAATCCACAAGTAACACCCAAGCCCGTTCCAGACATGGAGACTTACTATCCCGGGACGAAATGACAAATATAGTGCCGGCACGCCCTCCGGTCATCACACACACATCGGGAGATACGCAACGGCCAGCAGCACGACCCAAAGTCACCGCATCATCCGTCCACGGGCGAGATAACCGCGATGTCGGACCTATTGCCATATTTTCAAACTTACCAGTGGCTCAGATCGCGAGAAGATGGGCCTATTTTAATGAAAATTTTACTTCACGCGATTGTCCTGCGTTTAAAACTCCAACCTACAACGATATGAAACACCTAGCCAAGATGTCTCCCTTCGCATACCTGTTAATCGATATCACAAAAGCCTGGTGTTCTGGAAAACGAGCAGGAGTTCCTAGACCAGTAGATGCTCTTGAGAGGATGTTGACAATTGGCGTCTTCGATGGTGACCGTATTTGGTCGGAATTACTAGACCAAACTACGAAACACCTTCTACAGATTAGCTGCTCTGACAAGCCAAAGGACTCAGCCAGTCTTTTAGCAGTGGTTGACCTGTGGAAGGCTTTTTGCTTCCACCACAGATCTTCTGATTCCAGCCCCGCACCAGCGCCAAATGACTGGGCTTTTCTTCCTCCGAGGCAGCCAAACATTACGTTGCGAGCCCCAAAATTCTCACAACTTATGAAACAATCACTTCCTCTAGTAGTCATGGGCTACCACAGCTTTGAAAAGTTATGCGGTGCCGCTTTGCTCACAAATTGTTTGCTCATACATGAACAATCCACGTTCAACATTTCTGAGACCCAGCGCGCAGAATACTGGCCTTTCGTGAAGTTCATCAGTTCCATGATCTGCGACTCGTACACGCATCATATGTGGGCTCAACTCGAGATGAGCAGCACGGTACTGCAACAGAACCGTCTAGCTGTCGAAAAATGGCAGCCTAGAATCAGAAATATCAAGCAAGATGCCCACTTCGTCGTTGCGGAGTACACAAACTATGTCACTCGAAGACAACCGAAGAAATTCATTACTAGCCATGTGTCCGATGGAGCAAGCCAAGTAGAGATGATCTCGGCTCGGCTAGAGTCGCGGATCGGACGTGCAATGGAAGCTCAAGACTTGCCTCATGTTCAGAAACTGTGGTCGCGGGTCCAGGCGGAGTTAGATAACACCACTGGGCAATCAAATACAACAATCCCTGTCGACACTATTGTACAATTCTTGAAAGCTTTCATGAAGCTGAAAGACATGTCGAATACTATTAGAGTGTGGAATACGATGCAAAAACAAGGTACGAAACCTACAGAATGGGTTTGGCAGGCTGTGTTGTCTGGTTGCAATGACCTAAGAGATCCGGAGGCACTGGACATTTTTTGGCAGAAAATGCTTGACTCCGGCTTCCAGCCCACGAGCCGCATTTGGGTGACGAGAATACACAGTATCATGATGTTGCGAGACGTTAGCGACGGTCTTCAACTGATCCAGGACATTGGGAACAGCTGGACAGCTTCATGTGAACGTTTGAAAGCCTATGAGGCGCAGCGGCAGCGGTCGAAACCAACCAAGAACCTTGGCCCACCACCCACCCTCACTGTCAGACCTAACATTGAAATGATCAATGCTGCTCTCAAAGCAATATCTGACAAGAACAGGAGTTGGGAACTGGTGGAAAGGCTTCTTGAATGGGCGAAAGCTTTTGGTCTTGAAGTCACAGCATGGACGTACAATCCAATGATCAGGATGGCGTTTCGCAAAGGCGATGCTGTAAAAGGCTATGAACTCATCGACGAGATGCAGAGCAAAGGAATCGAGCCTGACCAGGCAACATATGCGCTCCTTGTAAACGCCATGTTTCGTGTATCCTTGTTCGAGGATTCTCAGCCCGAAGTGTTCGTTCAGAAGAACATCGAGGATCTGCTCGACGACCTCAAAGAGAAGAAAGCTCTCAACAAATATACATTCACAGCTCTCGTAGACGGACTTATTCGCCACAATCAAATGCGCGCCGTTGAAATTGTTCTTCGAGTCCTAGTCAAATCGGAACAGTGGATTCCAGCAACCATTTTCACTGCCCTTGCCCGACATTACTTCGACCAGGAACACCCCGATATCTTCAAGCTCGACGCGTTGTGGAACCGTGCCAACAGCCGATACGCCTATATCGACAATATCTTCATGGACCGCATGATCGAAGGATGGGCCAGACTCGACGAAATCGGTAAAATGAGGGAAGTGCTTAGTCGTATGGTCAGAACTGGCCAGCAGCCTGGATGGCGCGCTTTACATAACATGATAAATGCTCATGCTCGCCAAGGCGACTACTCTGCAGTAGCACAAATAGTTCACGATGTCGACAACAAGCTTACACCTCCGACCTCGCACCGGGAAGACAGGCAATTTCAGAATCAATTCTGGCACTTCGTCAGCAAGCTACAGGAAGCGAAATTGTTGGATGTCTCTGATGTATTAGCTACACAAAGGCGGCATTGGAATTCTCAGACCACAAATCCACACTTCGATTCTATGTCATCTTCCGATGGATCGTCAGAGAATACTCCGGTGGATGCTTTAACTGCTGTAGTCTCGAATGCATAGGAGAATGAACAAGTTCCGCGAAAGGCTGTAAAGTATATGGATCATAACTGTACAATAGCAAACAATGAACTGTAACATACACATTTTCCTTGTTGCTACAGATGATAACTTTGTCCACTTTGTAAGATACACAGCACATGTATTTGGATACTCCCAAAATACAGGATTGAGAGAATCCTAAAACCCTTAATGTTTTGAATAGCTACAGGTTTTCCTCAGATTTGGTCCCTTGGTCTATTCCAGCAGACCTGGGCTTGTAATTCTACGGGCTAGTAGTTCCACACTAGCAGCTCAATCACTGCCACTGTGTGGCTCTACGCCGACACATTGGCATTCCAATCTCTTGTATTCGAATAATAGAGGTCCTGATAACTTGCCAGAAGCACGATATATTGACTACATGGATCTTAAGTGAGGTAGTCTATAGGGGGTTGGTCATGCCTACAGTCCAGCCCTCCAAAAAACTGCCAGAATTGTCATATCCATAGCTGCTGTCAGTTTTGTGCGAGCTGGATTGAACTGTTTGGGGAAGCTACCTGTAAATTCTTTATATGGCACCATGCACATATTCCAGCCATGATTGATGGCATCTGGTTCTTCCCTTGAGTCTATACGATCCGGCAAAAGGAAATCAACACCAGCTTCGATACCCAGAATCGCCGAGAGCAAAAGCAAAACTGCGGGCCCCGGGGATTGAACCGGGGATCTCTGCAGAAACCGATCGCTTGGGACTAGCGTGATTTTTTGATTGAGATTGTGTGCGCGTTGGAGGCAACTAAGCCATCAGTGCCGCTGACTGAAAGACTGTAGTTTATAGAGAAATATATGGGACAGAAATTCGAAAATTGACTGTGAATGGCACCAATCAGATCATACAGCACACAGAAAGTGCCTGAACGTATACTGGGCCTTCACTTCACTTGATACGCTCATTCTGTTTGCACATAGGCATGTGATTGTTAGTAGACTGTTCGTCACTTCGCCCAGTTTGTCCTGTAACAATCGCAAACCGCAAGGCGAGCCTTTAACTTTCTTTCATTGCCGTGTTTCATCCTTGCTTCCGCACTCACACTCTTACTTCTGTCATAACTTGTTCACTGTTTAAAACGCACAGCAGGGTCTGTACAATATATCATGTTGTCTATACATGCTCAAGGATCTCTAACGAGTGACAGCGTACCACTATCCTGTGAAAATCTTAATCACAAGCTATACGCAGTTTCTAAAGCTGAACGCGCTGTATCACGTATCGTACCACTCTCACTCCCTCCATAGCCCCTAACAACCGAAACACAATACTATCTCTATCATAGCTTCTTTCATTGTCAGCAAGTCGCTCGATGGGTGAAAGTAGACTTCGAATACCTTGTGTTCTACCCTCTCCGCGCGTTGTAGGTTCCTAACACACGGCTCAGCTTCATGAAAACAATGTCACCACACAAGATTTATACGAGGTGTGAGATCCACCGTTATATTCACGTCCCTTGTGGCCACGAAAGCGAACTTCTCGAATGCGTATTCAGATGTCCGTTTCATATTATGAGGGGCGGTGAATGTGATAACGCAAGTACGACGTTCCATGACTGTAATGGGCTGTGCATGGCTTGTAGAGAGAAGGCCAAGAAGAGAGATGAGGAAGGAGCGGTGAAAGTGGCGGAGGAGGTGCAATACTGGAAGGGACAATATGAGAAGATGATCAAGAAGTAGGCCATGAGCCTGAAGGAGGAGTCAAAGAAAGCGTGAATGAAATTTACGAAGTTCAGTGAGACAGACAGTGTTGAACTGGGACTCAAAAGAAGTAACGCAAGTGGAGCAGAATCGCGATGTGAACGAAGATGAGGACGACGTGACTACCAGTTGAATCTCTTTCACAGATTTCAGTTGGGACAAACGTTTATAGTTCAGCTTAATACTCCAATTATTCTGCCTGTTGAAGTTTTTTTCTTTTTTCCTCCTCGCACCCAACATATAATACTAATGAGCCACAAGAAACTGCACATCCCGCAACTCATACCAGTGGTCCATCACGATGTCGCTTCCTTTCGACCTTAACGAATGCCCACGCCGTCGTCTCGATCATGCCTGTGGTCATCAAGAAGTGCTTGGCCCTATATTTGGATGCACTGTCAATCGAGAACGTGGCGAGTGTTCTTCACCACCGTGCACTTCTCGTCCATGCAGTTGGGTCTGCAGCAAATGCAAGGCCAAGCAACGCGAAGAAAGAGTAAGCAAAGAACAGAAGGAACACAACAAGAAGATAGATGGTGTCTCATGGATCATAAACACCGAGAATACCCAGCTGCGGAAAGCAGGTGTCAAGACAGCAATGCGAGAGGAGCCTAGGTCGAAAACTTCTTACAAACGAGCTTAACTGCTGATGGTCCGAGAAGATGAGGGGATATCGTCATTAGAAGGACCGCTGGGTCGATTAGGTTTGAGGGAGAAAAAGTTGAATATACTGTGGTGGGAGGTATTGAGGATGACCGAAACATTCGATTTCGTGCTTGTGCGAAGGTCTAGCTTGGTTAAATTTATCAACCAATCTTGCTGCGTTCGTTGCTTCACTACTGCTGGAATCACATTTCTTCCTCCACACCATTGCAGTGTCTTGGAATATTCTCTGCGTATGTTTACTTCCAGTCCTCCCCGAAGCTTTGTTTGTGAACCTAGAGGACTCAACGCCTGGATTTCGCGATAAGAGAAATCTTCACACAAGGAGTGCACCAGCTCTTCTCTGCTTTATACAGAGTGACTTGAACTTAGGCGCGAATGATTTTCGGGGGGGCATCAAAGTGAAGAGACGGATCTCAAACAGGCGAACAGTCAGACCGTGATATCTGGTCACAGCGCTAGTCAGGGGCTTTGTTGTTATTTCCATCCACGCGCTTTCTCACACCTCGTATGGGTATATAAATAAGTTAAGAAGACTGTCTTTGTCGCTAACAAATTAGGGCATTTGGCACGATTGTCTCGATTCACCGAACGTTAACGATTTGGCACCGACCCGGGCCCGGTTCGATCCTCACTCACGACCGCCTTTCTGCTCTCGAGCCTCGACCGTACACGCTTCCGCCTATGACGTCGTCGCATTGCACATCGCGTCCGGTTCATCCTCGTCCTCCCCCCTCTCCCTCCTTTCCTCCCTCCTCTTGGCACACGTGCCCCCTCACGCCCCAAATAAACCAACCCATTGCACAGTGGGTGAGTTTTCCCAGGTTCCCATCGAGGGCTTGGTCTTTTGCCATTTTGCAGGGCCGTTGCGCCCAATGTATCCCTATACTGCCTAAGTGATGAATCATATGGAGCGCTGTTAGAGACAGCGCCCCTGACTTTTCAATACTCGTGAGCAAATCCTCGGATGCCAAAGCATAGGAAGTGTCAAGTGAGCTTGAGGTTTTCAGGCCAGGATACACACAATTACCATATCGACCAGTGATGTTTCACAATGACTGCACAAGAGCTTGAGGCTCATATAAACAACATGTTTTTGACTATCTATTTCATCTTTTGGTCCAGTCCTTTGAACATGAAGCTATTTCCAGACAGTCTTTCTTGGTGTTAGTTGTCGTGTCCTGACCCGCTTCTTGTATACAACGCGTGCTGCTATAGAAACATGTCTTAGTATACACTACTGCACTATTGTACATTGAAAGACAGAGCAACTGGCATATATTTAATCACGAGCCAGGAAGTGATTTATTTTGACGAGCATCAGCCAGGCACAGGCCATTTTTCCACTGCTGCAACTGTTGCGCTGCCATGACGCCATTGCTCGAAGTTTTCACCTACGCACAAGATCAACAACCAATCTGAAAAGCTACAGAGACTTTCACTGCCCTGTTCACACAAGCACTCCCCTCACAACTCAAAACGGTCACGTATCACGTCTCCCTTCACAAAACCACCATGTCTACCCCTCACAGCAACCCACTCAACAACGGTAGCAAACATACAGCCTACCAGCCAATCCAACCACGCACCTCCACCAGCACCAACGCCAATAACAGCACCAATACCAAAAAATGACAACAGCAACACTCCAAACCCCCCAATCAGCCCGATCCCTGTGCCCAAGGCCAGTTACTGCTGGATCGCACATTTCAAGAAAGACTGCGGCGAACATGAGAGCAACACAATGCTACGCGGAAAATGTGTAACGCACGAGAGCAACAGCGGTGAGTGCGCAGATCCATTTTTGTGGGACGACTTCGAGGGGAGAGACTACACCGATCTGTGCTTCGAGATCGAGTGCCTGGAAGCGTGGGATCAGGGCAGGATAGCTGCGGCTGCTGGAAAGAATTTGAAGGTGCGTGGCGGTGTGGTGGTGTATTTGGCCGAATAGGTGCTGAGGTGAAGATGGCAATAGTAGAGTGCTTTGTGAGATGTTGGCTTGGTGTTGCTTGCTTGGCTAGGTGGTATGTTGCATAGCCACAATGAAGCACGCGGAGCGGCTCCTTCATACCTGAGATGCTTCTATAATTTATCAAAGTTAACAAAATCGGCAGCAGGACGCGTTCACATCACAAACAAAGACGGGGCTAGTTGGAAAAGAGAGAGTTCTCCTCCTGTGTTGAGTATCTTGGTGTTGGATCCGCTGAATATAAACGAAGATCTGGACGAGTTGACTGATTTTAGTTTGTCCAGGCCGGAGAGGAAACGAGCATCCGCCAGACGCTTTACTTCGAGATCCATGCCAGAAAGGAGGACTCTCCATCGAGACGACAAGCCCATATTTGTACGGCAACATCTCCCTTGCTCCCATTTTCCTTTCGAAAGATATCTCAATTTCAATATCAGCTTCGCTGCTCTATTGATTCTCTTACATGTCTTACTAATGAGCTTTGTGCTATTCAACTCACGCAAGCGTTCTTGTGGAAGCGACAATTGCTGCCCTCCTGTCTTCCTCAGTCAGGCTAGGTGTGATCAAAGGACATCATCGATTTCTACGATATCTCCGCTGACAACTTGCCTCAGACGGTTCTAGCTGGATATGGTTTCCTTCGTTTCAGAAAACCCAGATAAGTCCTCATCGTGAACATCCATAATAAGCAGCAAGCTAACTACCAAGCCGCTTCCATACACGATCACAAGCGAAAGAATACATTTGCAAACAATACAAGAGTAATCGCTCTAACTTTGCTGCGTATTACTCTCAGTAACCTTATACCCTTGACATTCTGTAGACTACAATCTTATCCGTCATACGCTATCTGTCAAACAAAGAATGTATTCGCTTGATACATCTCATTTCGGCGCTGTTAGGATTGTAATGGCTCAAAATTTGATATGGAAGGCTGCGAGAGCTCAGGTCGAGGCTAATCTCGGGATGTGTATGTGCGAGGACCATGGGATAGAACGAGACGAAGGCTGGGATTGTGGGCAAGTGCACAGAGGATGGGATTGGAAGGAGTGGTAAAAGAAGAAGTGACGAGGACATTTTGGTGTCTGCGAAGAAGGTTGCTAGAGAGAGTGTCGGGTGTACGTGGTCGGATGTACGATAGCGACATCCGAGCAAGATCGCTGACAGAGTATTCATTGGTTTCGATCCTACCTGTGAGCAAAGATAGTACAACGCTCAAGTGCCGACCAAAGAACAGCTGGTACCTTGAGCCCGGTATAGTAGAAATGCTTTTAGTTATGTAAGTGGCTACTTTGTATAGCAAAAACTGATTCCGTCATTCTGATCCTACCTCGCCTGTACCATTCTTCTTGATACTCACTTTCTTATACCTCACAACCTCCGCTCCATCCTCCAAGATTACCCTCTCACCAACAACCTTGTATCCACCAATCTTCGGTAACACCTTGATCCAAAGGCCCCAGTACGTCATACCCAGAAGCAGAACACCAACTCCCACGATTGGGAACACATAGTATGGGTATCCGTCAGCGTTGATGTCTCCTTTTGGCGGGATGAAAGGAGTGACGGCCAAGAAGACGTTGGAAAGCAGATATACCACAGTGATGGGAAGATATGTGTGCCACGGCGAAGTCCACCTCTCGGACTTGCGCCATTGTAGGTAAATGAGACCGGCAGCAACGAAGCCGTTGATCCAGGCGCCCGGGTAAGTGTACAGGTCAGTGATAAAGTTGTAGGCCGGGCCGGCAGGAGGGGCGACGAGGACGATGACAGTCACGAACCAGTGTAGGAAGAGCTGCGTAGTCGTTAGCAGGTGAATCACATGACCGTGTGCGACTCGAGACTCACCGATGCAGCTGGAGCATTGAACGGTCTGTTGGAAGCCCAGAACTTGCTAAAAGGAAGTAAACCTTCCTTCGCAAGCTCCTGGTTGACACGGGAGTGAGCAAAGCTCACAGCAAGCACATTGCCCAAGTTGCTCAGCGCCACAAACGCAGGCAAAGAACGCGCGCCGGCACTGTTTCCAAAGATGTTGCGGAAGAACAGACCAGCAACAATGACTTCCGACTCTGCAAGATCGCGCTTTGGGATCGCTGCAAAGTATGCAACGTTGGCCAGGACATAGAGGATGGTGACACCTCCCACAGCCAGTGGTGCGGCGATAGCCAGGGTCCTTTTCGGATGCTTGATCTCGCCGAGCACGTAATTTGCATTCTCCCAGCCCTTGTAGCTGTACACGATACGCAAAAGGGCAGTGGCATATGCCCAAGCGCCACCACCTCCGTAAGAGGTGTCGATCGAGAAGGCGTCGTCGAAGTTGTGCGGATCCTCAATCCGCCGGTGGCCTGCTAGGGCAGCGAAGCCAGAGAAGACAATGAGGAGGAGAACGACTACTTTAAAGACGCCAAGGATGTCAAATAGCCTCATGCCCCATTTCGGAAGCGTGGCGTGTAGAGCTACGGCAAAGGTTACACACACGACTGCGATACCGCGGGCTTTCCAGCCATCAGGCTCCTCACTGCCTGATGCGAACAGAACGTAGCGACCAAACGCGAGCGAGTTGCCGGAGGAAAAGCCGAGCAGGATCATCTGAGACAGGAATACGCAAGTCGCGAGGTACTTTGGGTGCCGATAGACACGTTCGAGATAGTTTTTCTCGCCACCAGATAGTGGGATCTGGAGACCGAATTCGAGAAAAACGCTGAGACCACAGAATGTCAGGAGTCCACCTGTACACCCGTCAATCAACTGCACACTGGATATTCATGCGCAACATGTTACCTATCACCCAAAGCATTAGACTAATTCCAACGGAACCGGTTAAAGCGAAGATGCCTGAAGGCGTCGAGAAAACTGCACGAGTTAGCCTGACTCCTCCAACGTTTCATCTGGAAGTACATACTTCCTGTTCCGATCATCTTGTTGAGGATAAGGAAGACCGAGCTCGTGATTCCAAGCTTGCGAGACTCATCATAACGATAGACTTCTTGAGTCTGGATGCTTGCCGAATCCCGCACGACGGCTAGTGGAGGTGTATATTCTGGAGGGTCGTCCTCACTCCCAGCAGAAGAGTGATGGTGTAGCACTGGCCTATCGATATCGTCGTTCTTACCCATGTTGACTGTATGTTTGCAAGCAGACTCAAGACAAGAAGCAAGTCGAGAGTATAAGTAGCACAGGCGGCGGGTCGACGAGCGATGCCAGAAAGCCAGATGAACCGTGTACCACCTCGAGAAGTAGCTGTCCAGACAATTTATAGAGAAGAATGTTAAGTACTCGCATGGACGATAGGCGCTGTCCTCATATAGATGGCATATCACGTTATTGGAGAAGACGTGCACGTATTTTTATCAGATCCTGGTACTTCGACCGCCATACTATTCATGGGATCTTGACATAAACTTCGCGGAAAGACAGGCACCTCCCGGATCGGGATGGCCCAGCAGACACGAGACAAATTCCAAGACCCATAATGCAACGTCGAAGACCAACCACCGTCCTTGTCCTGCAAAGTTGAGCCTGGGCGAAATGGCGCAATCTGGTCACGTGAGGCGCGCTTGGTTTCGTCTAATGAGAGAAGAATTCTAGAACATCAGCGACTTGCTTACTGAGGGTGGTGATGCATCTATAGTAGCATGGATGACTCTCTTTACAATAAAACTACTAGAACTTGAACCAGGACTGTTGTTGATGTTGTTGGATTTGACGCCACATCCACGAGTCCGAAAACAGACTAGCGCCACACAACACCCCATTCATTCGACTCCCACCCATATCCATCGTATTTCGAGATTTGACAAGCTAGCCAGTCGTTGTGAATGGAACAAACCGCTTGAGAACTACTCCTCCAATCTATGAGCAATTGAATAGAGTACTGATGTCCCCTTTTACCACCTCGTGTTGTACCAGAACAAATGTCCAAAAAACGACGCATGCTGAGGCTCATGTTCAAGATATCTACTCTTTAGACCCTGTCGACGATATGCAGCTTGAATTTGGAACGTCCAATTGCCACTCTCTCCTGTATGACAATACCTAATGGCCGAAGATATGGTTGAGCTGGTGCTTCAATAGACCGTTACACCCGGCCAGGTCCTTTGTCGCTCGAGACACGGGATGATTATTACCGACCCATCTATAGATACAATGACATCTTCTGACGATGTACAGGAACGACCATCCAGCTCGATTTGACAAGCTATCCGTCGGCGTTCGCCCCAACGTACGGTCTATGGTATCACCGGAATCTCATTCCCCCTGCATTAGCCAGATGCCAAACCCAGGCTCTCGGTTTGACAAATGATATCTTGCAAACCCATTGTACTTACTCGAATGTACAAACTCGAAACCTGTGACGACTAAAGACTGATAATACAAAGGGCGTGACGCCATAGAGATAATCTCGCGCCATAGCCTCAAGAAACGACACATGAATCTGGCGTACATGTGATCTTGCCATGTACATGAGCCGTTTTTAATGTGGTAAAATGCAGTCGTACAACCGGCGGAACACGAACCATTTGCGTATGACTCTGTCCTTCGGAGACCATCAAAGCTACTCATCGGCGTCCATACACCTCACGTCACCAAAGTGAGAATTGACTAATATAAAGCCAGGCCATGGGCACCGTAAAAGCACATCATCACAAGCAATCAGCACCCCTCTTGAACACGATCAAAACACAGCTTCTATTGCACATCAACCATTTATTCGTCTCAAGAAAATGACTAAACTTCTCATCTCCGCTCTCCTCGCAGGCCTTGCCCTCGCCACTCCCACCGCCCCGAATAGCGTCCGTATCAACGAGGTTGTCGAGAAACCTGACCCCCTCGCCGACCTGCGGGACGCGCAGGACACGCGCATCTCTGCCGTCGCCAACACGTTCCTCGACAAGACGGGCACCATCTTCGGCCTGACCCAGTACCTCTATCTCGACGAGTGCTACTACCTGCCCAACCTGGCGGCCGAGGTCACCTGGACCAAGGACGCAGGCGTGAACCTGAACTATCAAGGCAAGTAGTGCGCGTCACCTTGGCACCTCCAAATAGCCAGTAGACACCCTACACAGCAGCTCACAGTGCCAATGCTAACAACCCTCGCCAGTCATCTTCTGGACCGGCCGCGACTGCGACGGCGACCTGCTCGTCCCCCACAGCTCCGAAAAGTACGACATCAGTCACTACTACTCCGTCTCCATTGACGCGGCTGACTACTCGGAGCCGCCCACCCCACCGGGAAACAGGACTGCGACTACCGCGCAGCAGGGCCGCCGGCCGGACACGGTGGTGGACAGGAGGCCACTTGAGGCTAGAAGGAGGACTAGGACTGGAGAGTAAAGACTCCCCAAGCCCCCACAGGGCACGAGAGAGACAAGACAGCTTTGCGGCCTTGGTGGGCAGGGTGGTGGTGGTGGTGGTGAGATCTGGGTGGGCACAATTTCAGAGGCAATAGGACATGGGACGAAAGACGGGTGTCAGTAGTGTCAGCTGTATGTCTATCTCGTAGATACTTGAATTGATTCCATCGCTTCGCTACCTACATACCGTCAACTATCCATGTGACTCGCATTGCAGTTCAATTCCTCCTCACAGAACGCGCTCCTTATCCCTTTTTACCCTGCCCAGGCCCCCTATCCTACGAGCACCCAATCCACCACCAGCTCCCCAAGGCGATAAGAGACAATCGACAATCTAATCACACTCGAGCAGCCCACTTTAATCTACAATACCATACCGTTCCTGGATCCGCAGACTTCCTGCCCATCCAGCATATACGTAAAAACAACGATCCCTTACCCATTGCAGCACAACGGTGTGCGCGACCCTTGGTTCACTTTATTCCGCGCACCTCCATGGACCCATAGGTCTTCCGCACAGTTCCTCATAGCTACAAGCCTCCATAAGTATCTAATTCTTCCCTTCTAAATCTGAAAGCAAAACTATCTTCTCTACATCCAAATCTGCACAGCCACACTTGCAATTCACAAAATACGCACTAGCAGATTTGGCACAGCCACACATATCTTCAATTCAGCAAACACACACACACACAACAACACATTTTCTCTCTCCACACACATCCTGGGCACAGTCAATACTCAGCCCTGCCATCCTCATCATCATTACCACAACCACCACTACCACCACAACAACTACCACCTCCACTACTACCACCACCACTACTACTACTACCACTACTACCACCACCACCACAGAATCAACGGTCTATCCGGATTCTGCACCCAAAGCCCCCACACACCACTAATTTACAGTATGTTCCCCTTCTGACCCCCTTTTTCACCCCTCACATGCTTACCTCTTTCTCGCAGACAACACCGGCCAAAAACACCAAACATGGCCTACTACACCCGCCACACCCCCTACGAACATTTCAACGTCCCGGACTACATCCCGGACCCCCTCCCCAGCTCCTTCGCCCACGAGACCGCCGCCTCCCTCGACGACCCGGACGCCGCACACCGCCGGGCACTCAAGCGCGAGCGTGAGCGGCGAGAGTGGATGGAGGAGAGGTGCAAGGCGGTTGTGTTCTGTATGATCCCCGGGTGGGGGGATGAGGGTGTGGATGTGGAGATGGATGAGGGAGAGGGAGAGTGGGAGATGGAGGAGGGCGAGGAGGACGAGGAGGAGGAAGGGGAGGTGAAGATGGTGGATTGGAGGGAGGAGATGGGGATCAAGATGATCCGGGGGACCGCGGCGGTGGCGGTCGAAAAGGAGGAGGAAGAGGACGAGGAGGAGGTGGTCCCAGAGGGGACGTTGTGTCTGGTGTGGAACGGGACGGAGAGCTGGGGTGGAGAGGCGTCGTCCTGTGAGGACGTAGAGATGGAGGAGGAGGAGAAGGAGGAGGAAGAAGAGGAGGAGGAAGAGGAGGAGTGGGAGACGGTATGGAGCCTCTGACGGGCAAGCGCAGGTCGCAGCGTCGGGGTTTCCGGTTTTGGGGGTTTACTGTAGCGTAGCATAGCGCTTTTTTTCCTGTTTTAGATACCACAGCGCGTTTTTGTACATAGAGGGACTGCAAAATTCGGCTGCAGGGTGAACGGGAGGGTGGGACCCTTCACAATTCATACCATTTTTCAGCTTTGAGTGTTTGCGTTCTTTGTGATATGTGGGTATAGAGATAGGGAAATATAGATAGACTGCTTGGTATTATATGATTCTATCGGTAGAGAACAGACGTAAGATGTATAGACAGCTTAGGTTTAACTTATTACATAGGTAGAGGACATGTCTATATTGTATAGACTGCTTAGTATTTTATGATTTTATAGGCAGAGGATAGACGGAAGTGGATAGACTGTTCAGCGTTTCATAAATATATAGATAGAGAGCATAGAAAAAATATATATACCTTTCTACTTCTAATGATTGCACTAGCTAGTGATATAGAGGAATTATATAGACTAGTCTTCTTTAAGAGGTTATATAGCTATATAATACCTAAATATCCTATAGAGTATTCCGCTTATCTTAAGTTTAATCGATATATAATAGTTATAAAATAGATAAATTCTTAACTTTTAAAAGTTTTATAGACTTCTAATATCTAGTAATTTTATAAAGTATCTAGCTTCTAGACTTTATATAGACTTATTATAGCTAGATATTATATAGACTACTCTACTTCTAAATATTATATAACTAGATAATAGCTATATATTATATAAAATACTTAGCTTTTAGTAGTTCTTTAGGGTTATTGTTATGGATAGAGATGTCATGTCTTGGTCGAAAAAGAGATGGAAGCACAGATAAGAGAAATTACAACAGAGGCTCTGAAAAGGTTCTTAGCAGAGGCACAAAAGATCGCTGCACAAAAGATCGCTATAATAGTCGTAGCCGCTACGCCCGCGGTAACTACTACGCCCGCAGTAACTACTACACCCGTAGAAAAAGATCTAAATAGAGTATCGCTAGAACTCGTAGATTGGACAAGGGCATTCATAGGAACTATAATAGATCCATAACATCCGAATAGTATTATGAAAACAATGAATCGGGAGATAAATGCCGGTGCATAGGATATAGAAGAGGTAATCCTAAGATACCAGGAACATATTAAATCCAGTTTCGACCTACTACTTACGTAAAGAGATGGGACACTCTTTAGGGAATTAGATATAGATATAAACGACGACCTAATAGAGGTCGTGTATAAAGAAATAGTAGTAGAAGTCGTGCCTAAAGAAGTAGAAGTCGTGTACGAAGAAGCAGAGGTCGATCGTGAAGAAGCAGTCTCTAAGGAGTTTAAGGAATAAATATAGTAATTCGCAAACCTCGCGGATACCGACGACTTAGAGTCGGTAGGCGAATTTCACGACGCGGAAGACATCTAAATAGAAGACCCGTAAGTAATTATCGACGTCGTCGCGAGTGCCGCCGCCACTACCGTTCTAATAGTGGAAACTAATACCGTAACTAACGTAGAGATTAACGTCGTCGTAAGTGCCGCCGCCGCTAATAATCTAATAGCAGTTCTAATAGTGGAAACTAATGCCGTAAATATCGTAGAGACCGACGTCATAGGTCTCGCGAGCGCCGCTACTATAAATATAGATACCGTCGTCATTCTAATATCCGTAGTTCCCACTTCCGCTAAAACCGCTATTTCTACTTCTGCTGAATCTACTAAATCCGCGACTACTACTACCGTAGCTTACTCGACTTGGCCGAGAAAAGATAACGGTACGTACGAATAGTTATAGATCTCTATAGCTATACTAATACTACGAATAGATTAAATGAATATAAAAGAAATAAGAGTAATAAGAATAGTTCTAAATCGTATATTTAAATACCCTAATACCTAATTCGACGCTCTCCTCGAAATTCATAATAGGCTTTAGGCATTAGCGATAAACCCGAAGGCGATAGAAGCTATATAAGTATAAGAACCTAAGCTATAGAGGAGTATACTATAGGGATACTATAAATACTTCTACTACTACCTTATAGGTGATAGTAACCTCGGGTAGTACTTGCACGAGTACCTAACTAAAGCGAGTCTACTAGAATGAAGGACTTTAGCATCGTCGTAGGAAAGCATTGTCGTTTCGAGTTATCGGGGGCAGCTGTCACGGAAGGTAATAAGGAGATGGATATCGGTAAGAACCACGGACTGAAGGTCCTATATAGAGAAGCCATAGATTCCGGAAAGGAGCAATCAATAAATACTTGACCAAGACATGACATCTCTGTCCATAACAGTTATAATTTCTAGAAAATCGATAGACTCTAAAGATTTTTAACTCTATATAAGCTAGGAAAGAATAGAAACGGTATAGACTAATCAACTTTACGTAGCTATGTATATATAGACTAGGAAAAAAGCATATAGTCTACTCAACCTTACGCAGTTATACATCCAGAAGATAGGTAAAAAGTACATAGACCGCTCAACGTAAAACGATTTCACAAGGATATGAGTAGTAGAGAATACATGTGCTATCACACTTATCACGGTTCCGCTGTGGAATGTTCAGTATTCGAGATATATTTCCTGGGGCAATTATATGCGACTTTTTACTAATGCCCGCCATCTATGTGAGATGCTATGCTATATCATATATACAAAGGCCATCGTGCTGGATGGATGCTATGCAAGAGATGCCATGTGATGTGATGTGAAGGAAACGCGTCGTGACGCCTGTGCATGCTGCGATTACTGCAAAGGTAGAAAAATGTGGTATATGCGCAAAGGAAAAAACTGCTACAGTAGCGAGGTGTTAAGAGTGACGGCGATCAGTATGAGAAGGCCTCCTCGATGAAATCAATGACGCCAACGTCGACACGATTTCGCACGGCTGCCCGTACACTGTCGGCAAAGACACCTGGTCCGCAGACAGTGACTGCCATGGCACCATCGCGTTCTCGGATCTCTTTGTCAATGAGTCTCTGCGGATCGCAGCGACCCGGGAACATCCTGACGCTCTCCGATGGACTCACGACCTCTATAGCGTTGTTCGGTTTAGAGATGAACACCATGATTTTGAGAATATCTCTCCGCCCTGGCATCCTTAATATCTGGTCCATCCATGGCTTTATCCAGTCGCAGCATTCGACCTTCGGTATCGTCCAGACGAGGATCAGCTTTTTGCATGCGACTATTCCTTCTTCGTAGCCTTTGATCATTTCTTGGACGAAGTTTATTTGATGCGTGATGCCGACACCGCCAGCAAATAGCATTATCGTGCCGTACGAATTAAGTTTGTCGTGGCCACCGTATGGGCCTTCAACGGCGCCCCATGTATGCCAGATGTGGTTTGGCTGGTTGGCAGCCTTCTCATAAAGCTTGCGGGTCATACCTTCTCTGGCTCTGCAGATGAAAGAGATGGTGTGAGTAGTCGTGCGTCGACCGATCAAGCTTTCGACATCCATCTTCTCTTTGTCGTCTGCTGTACCTTCAGGGTGGGTCCATGCTATCGAGAAGGGATGTGAGCTCCAGAGGGCTATCGCTGGGACATAGATATGAGCGTGGCACCCAGGCTTCGGATGCCAGGGACGAACCAGCTTGACGGTCACGCGGCTGGCCTCGAACGGTAGGGCTTCGACAGTGATACTCGTGGTAGCTCGGGTCGCGATGCTGTTGTAGATGATTTGGTATATCCGAATGAACCATTCACTGCCATAAAACAATAGGACAATCCACATCCACGGGACCTGAGGAAGGCGGTGCAGATCGAGGTGGACGTACACGCCGGCAATACCGACAGCCGCAAAGAGGCGATGAGTGTTAAGGAAAGTCTCGTAAAACGCGTGGCGTACGGGAGACCAAGCGGTGAAAAAAAGGGACACAAACATGACTGTGCCAACTAAGCCCCACTGATAGGAGGGCGTGGTGGCAAGCGTATCGCTGAGTTGCTCCCATTTACCTGCGCGGTATGTGTTGATAAACCAGGCAACGGTGTGCACCACTGTCTCGATTACAACTATTCTCGCGGCCCACCGGTGGAGTAGGTTGAACGTGTCGTAGCTGACGTGCAGTAGCCAGATCAAGGGGTTGTTTCGCAACGCGAAAAGGATGGTAGGTATCAGGTTGACGGCGGCAAGTGTCCCAGACCTTCCACGAAGCGATGCCATTATTATCGCTTTTTCTTGCTCGTGATACGGCAGGATTAGACAGTAGGCAAGGTTCGACCCGAAGTATAGTACCAAAAGCACCATGTGGAACCTGGATGGCAGAGTACCCATGTTGATCGCCGATGACAACTGCCATTCTCGATTATGGCGATTTTTCCAGAGAGGCGCATAAAACAAATGTTTCTTCAGCTTCGCCCAGTACCAATTCTCATTCGTTTTCCAAAAGTTTTGCTTGTTCTTTCCCTCTTTACCGGGGTGTGTTGTAGCAGCCAGATGTCGAATATGTGATTGTATCATTTGGTGGATTCGTAATATCAATGTGATGAAGCAGACGAGAGTAAAAGACAGAAGTAGGACGTATGTCCACCGATAGTTGCCAATTTGATCTACTCCCGCCAAGCCATGTGCAAAGGAAAACAGGTCGGAGACGTTTGCGAAACTAGGGTGGTCTCCTGCCCGCTTGCTGAGGTCGGGGATAGCTTCATCCAAGACCCATAGCAGATTATCTTCTGCCTTGTTAGGAATCATTGCGACCAGCGCGGTCCAAGGACCGGATCCGTGTGTTTGAGGAGGTGGAAGGCCTGTGGACAATTGTTGGTAGTGAGTGTGATTGAAGGAGTGAGCACTGTGGAATGCCTGGAGTCGTTTTCGGTATGTAGGGGTGCCAGAAAGGATAGGAAGATTTGTACGAAGAAATCAAGGTTGATTTGAATAGTCGTTCTCGCTCGCGAGGTATGCGTTGTTCAGAGAGGAAGGGCTTCACTGCACAATGAGCGAGTGGCAGAGTGGCTACCTTTGGTAGAGCATGACAATGTACTGGGCATGTAATGTTGTCAGGTATTGTGAAGAGACAGCGTCCAGATCTTGCCAGCTCCTGATCCAGCAAAGATGGCGGTAGGTGAATCTGGCACTGTGCGAGCTATACCCGAAACTGAAGTGAATGGCAGGGAAGGTATATCCAGAGAATGAGAGAAGAAAAGCCGAAATCCCCACAAACAGATAACGGAGGATAGAGAAGAGTATATGAAGTTTGAGCTCTGGACAGAGGGGAGCGTCGGCTTGGTATTGAGATCAACGCTCGAGTAAGGAGTAGATCGACTACGGCGGGCTCGGATAGAAGAAGTCCAAATCAATTGGACAGAAAGACCCGATTGACTCGTGAAACGCAGATCGGAAGAATAGAAAAGTGGAAGGAAGCACACACAGACATACAGAGACACACACACCCCCCGAATGATGAAGAGAGAGAGATAGAGAGAGCCAGAAGCTCGAGAATGAATGGAGGAGAGGAAGAACGGGGGGGTGCATGATGTTGAAGAAAAGGATTTGGTGAAGCTCGAGCTCTGGCGGGGTCCGGGCAGGTGGATCGATAGGCAGTGGCTGCAGGCGTTTCGCTGCACTGGAAACGCCAAACACCCACTAAACTCCACTCCAGCTCCGCCAAACCATCATCACCATCTCCTTTGATTCGTTTCCAACGCAAAACACCTCGCCTTTCCCATCCTCGTCGCTCTTGTTTCATCATGCCGTGTCGCGTGCCTGCGATAGGCTGCCGGTGCGTGGCTTAAAGGCCCTTTTGCGTCACTCACTGCCACACCCTTCCAAGCAGGTCAGCCACTCAAACACCTCTCTCTCTAGGGTCAGCAGACTGTTAAAAGAGACATCAGACACGTCTTCGTCCTTCACAGCACTGTTCTCGTCCTCACACCTCACTCACACGACTCTACTCTCCTACACCACCTGAAACCTCTATGGTGGCTTGCCGGGGTGGCGGCAGCTAGTCGCGGTGCATAAACTAGAACGAAGCCTAAACGATAGCGCGTTCGTGCTCCTGGCGATGGACGACCGTTTGCTCCGAGAAACCATCTAATATATCAGATCAGATATAGCTCCGACCGGCGAAACTGATCCATAGATGTCGGTACTCTGGCAACTCGCCCTTTTTGCGTACACTGAATGGCGCGGTTACGCTGCATGACCACGGTGACACAACCCGAGATGAGGGCCAATGCTTCAAGCAGAGTAGAATATAATAGGACGTTGCCCCTGCCCACGGCATGGACTTGGTGTTTCTGAGGCGTCTTCTGCCTATTGTAATGCGCATTGCGCGAGACGCCTGGCTGAAGTCCAGGAAGAGATGTTTGCGCCCACGTTTTGCGATTCGGACCGAATGGCGGCCAGGCCCGAGAAGAGACTGACTGTCAGGCGCATAACCTGGTGACATGCCATCCATTCAATGCTATTCTTGTCTCGAAACAAAACACTACTATCAGCCTTGATGAGATATTGTAGCGAAAATGATGCAGTCGTCCAGTTTCAAGGCCGACAACGAGGCTTGCTGAAGCACTTCAAGGCGACTAGACGATTCTCCCACATCACCGCTCGCGAAAAGCGTCAGTTTCAGCAGGTATGTACCACTGCATTCTTCCGTGAATCATGTCAGATATTATTGGACCCGCTCATACACACACGAACATGACTTTTGTTCGCCCTCCAGTTTTACCACTCATAATACCAACCCACCCAGCGACCCGAAAGAGCAAATGTCCCAAATAGATTATTATCTCAAGCGTCTCAAGTAGTTCCGTCTCCACAGTCATTCCGACGGCGCATCCTACACAAGTATTACCACCTATAGTACGTACTCGGTAGTCGATAGACCCTGACGTAGGATTCACTTTCCCCCACACGTAGAATTAGATAATTCCAAGACTCCTCCCAAACCGCGAGTCAAACAAATATACATACATGAAACCAGCATTACAAAATACATCCCACGACCCTCCCTTGCCATGCCAGACCCACTTTAGGATTTTGAGAAACTACGATACATACTACGGGATGCGCATAGCATAATGGAAGCACACAGACACATACACAGGCTGCGCTTGACTCGTGACTTTGTGACTTTGTGTATGTGTTGAGTATGACTTGTTGTGTGTTGTGTGTAGTTAGCTGGCGACTATCTACTCTGTGGTGAGCGGCGTACTCGTCGTGACCGTCGTGAGCGTTTCGTTTTCGTTACCTATCCATCCATACTTGTGACTATGAACTATGACTGACACAGATGAGGCAAGACAGAGTGTGCACTCATTAATGAGCTCCTAGCTATTACTCACTTAAATAGAGGAGGCAAGACAGGGTTTCCACTCAACATGCTGGTCATATTGCATAATCATCACAACTTTTGGCGTCTCTCTTCACAAATTCCAAACATCACTGCCAGCTTCTCACAGTGCAAAGGCCATTAGGCAATCATTATCACCACCACCAAACAAGAAAAGTCAGTGGTACATGCAGTTTCATTTTTCTAACCCTTCCTAGTGTACAGTATTTTGTCGCTTCGGCCCATGCTGCCAAGAAACAAAGAGACATATTCTTCTCTCTAGTGCGCTGAGTATACCGAAGCTAGACTCTAAAGAGCCGGCAAATTGCCTGCTAGCAGCCAGCATAATGCGCCGGATGGAATAAAGTCCACCTCTTTCATGTGTGAGGTGAGTGATGATCGCCAAGGAGAATATCCAGATGTGAAGACAAGATATAGTAAAGAAAGAAGCAAGAGGGAAGTCGGTGCTAGGGAATGGTACGAATGAAATGGGTATATGACAAGGGGTATGCAGAGAACTCCGGATGTGTCTACACAGCGAAGAGCCGTGAAATCGTTCGAAGGTGTCTTTCCATGACACCTTAGATTTGTACTGGCAGTTTCCTTCTGCTCAAGTGGATTTGTACTAGCAGTTTCCTTCTGCTCGAATGGATTTGTACTGGCAGTTTCCTTCTGCTCGAGTGGATTTGTGCTGGCAGTTTCCTTCTGCCCAATTTTCGACGTATGAGGTTTCCTGTAGGCAAGTTTGGTGTACATCGATAGCTTCGGCAGAAATGACGACACTGTATGGATTTACACTGGCAGTTGCATTCTGCTGTATCATAGTCGAGCGGACTTGCGTCTAGTACGTTGGGTTCAGGAGATTCGTGGTAATGTAGCTGGTCGTGTACTGGAAAGGAGCAACATTGGTGCTATATGATATCAGTAGGTCATCTGAGATTTGCTCAAGGTTACTTACAATCGACCGTCCTTGGCACCAACTTTCTCTTCATTGCCACATATGGTGAAGTTGAATTGATTCAGGAATTTCTCCGCACGTTCATAGCCGGGGACATCGCCATCAAAGTAGCCGACTCTGATCATCATCTTGCCCATCATACGACGACCACCGCGCATGTATTGGCCGGTCGAGTCTTCTCCGCTACGCCAATCGTAGCCTCCTCGTTCGTCAAAGCCGGGATCAACAAGCGACATAAGTTTGTCCATGAGGCAAGTACCGACTAGTTTGCGACGACAATCATGGCGAACGTAGACATCAATCTCTCCAGTGTAGCGGTGCATTCCAGCTCGGGAGTGGTAGTCATCGACGTATGCGTAGCCAGCAATGTTCTCTGTAAGAGCAAATTCACCATACCTGGACTTCTTGGATGCGACCTTCTCAACAGCGACAATGAGGGGGAAATGAGCTTGCTCAATGCTTGCAATACGGTCTTGCATGATTCGTAGAGGAACAGGGTCAACTTCCGGTGGTGAGACACTATGCTCTTGATGCCAATTGTAAATCTTCGTGACCTGGGGAATGTCTGAAGCTTTCATCGGGCGAAGATAGATGTTGAGCTCCGGCTTGATAGATCTGTCTGGGACCTGGATTTGGTAGGTCTTCAACAATTCCATCGACTCTTTCCTCTTTTCTTTCATCTCTGCTCTCTTCTTTTTCTTCTCAATGTGCTTCAGCTTTTCTTTGGTGGCGTACCACTCAGCAGCTCCATCGCTGTGGAGCCCGAAAGTGTTATTCTGTGCATAGTCGAGCTCTTCTTCCGGAGACATTTTGTCACTTGGCTGCTCGGGGGTAGGAATGAAGATACCATCGATGATGGTCAACCACCAAGGCTTCCATGCAAGATCCTCTTCCCAAGTCGGCTCCGGGGCAGATCTACAGAAGGAGTCCCAAAAAGTTTGTGGCGACTGCTCGTCAATGACCTTGGGAAACCAGTCTGGATGAACAACAGGACCATCGTGAGGGTAAAGAGGAATGACTGCGACTTTGTGGTTGTTGGCATGATCGGTCCCCCAGGTGTGCATCCACTGAGAGAAATTTCCACCACGGTGACGAAAGCCTCGACGGTTCTCCCATTCAACTGGTGCAGGAAGCCAGTCGCCATTCCAGTCAGTGAGTTGGCGAATATCATAATCAGGATCTTGACCGCCATGGACTTCGATCTCGACACCTCCAGGATTTGGCTTTTCCCAGTCGCCAGATCCCCAAGCATTGCTGTCGGGAGTCTTAACTCGCGGCCTAGGATTCTTGGGCCACCCGCGTTTCTCTCGAGCGGTTTTCTTGACATGTACAGGCTGTTTCTTCTCTTCAGACCTACGGTTTGCCCACCCACGATAGACAGCATCCAAGTTGACAGTTTTGTGTTGAGTTGGGGACGTGAGTGCAGTAGTGCCAGTCTTCTTCGCTGATGTCTTGTTGCTGGCAAGTTGCTCTACTGAGGAACTTGTGCCAGGCTCACGTTTAGGAGAAAGCGGATGCCTCATTGGTGGTCTTGTACGCGAAGGTGTCGTGTTGTTGTAACTGCTTCGATGAGTATTTTCGAGAATGAAGGTTCATTCGCTAGGACTTACAGAGGCTCATCCACCCACTTCTTGCGCTGGACTGGGGGCTTCACTACGGGTGCTGTGGTCTTGATCGCGCCCTGCTGAGTCGTGTAGCGGAGGTGAGGTGGCAGTTGTGAAGGGCTGGTAGCAGATTCGGGCGAAGGGGAAACAGAATCAGGCTCGGGTGCAAGCGGAGGCACTGAAGATGTGACAGGAGAGGGTGATTTGTTGCGTCTATGTCGATCAGCATTGAAAAGAAAAGCGAACATGTTGAAACTCACAGAGGCTCAATGACCCACTTCTTGCGCTGTACCGGAGGCTCTGCTGCTAGAGCTGGAGTCTTGACGGCAGCTTGCCGGGCTTTATGGCGAAGATGAGGTGGTATGTATCCGGATGGCTGCGGCTTTTCCGCAACCTGAACGGACGGAGCGCTGTTGGTAGGAGGGGCTGTCAAACCATGGTTTGGGCAATTGCTAGCAAGAAGAGGTTGGATCGACTGAGAAGACTGCATCTCGGTAGCAACTGGAATAGGCAAACTATTGGTCTCAGCAGTCACAGAATTACCGTGATCGTTGTGGATCTTTTTTCGAAGATGAGGTGGAACGAATTTGCTTGTAGTGGCTTGATGAGCTCTGACAGGAGGAACCTTGACAGCAACAGGTACACCGTAGTCATTGCTCGGCTTGTCTCGAAGATGGGATGGAATCGACTGCGAAAGCTTCTCTTGCTCCTTGCGAGCTTGCTGGGCCGCCTGAATCACGCGAAGGTGAGGCGGAATCCAGCCTGGCTGTTGCGCCATTTTGGAACGACGTCGACGACGAGACGGTTTGCTCTGTAGGTTGTGACAATGGATGTCAGAAGGTAAGTGGATATGAGAATTGAAGAGACTGGAAGTTGAAGCAGTCGAAGAGATTTATAGAATGTGGGTGGCTGGGAAGGGATGTGAGCGAAGGGGTGTGTGCGGTGAATGCAAAGCGACAATAGACTTGATTCACCTCCTTCTCAATAGAGGATCATCGCATGTTGAGCCAGGTACATACCGTCTCAATACCAATCTTCTTATATTGTGCGTGCTGTTCCCCACTTTCTATGACTGTGCCACTTTCTCGAGATTGTGATAGTAAACCCTGACCATGTATGAGCTGGATTGATGACGATGCTGAAACTTGCTCGGCGACTGCGATCGGAACTGTCTTCGGTGAACAGTGAACAGTGTTGTCGGTTCGCAGCAAACACTCTCGTTCGATGCCAGTGCGCCTGCGTCCTCGTCCGCGTCCGCCCCCCTTACCGCGACCTCGATCTCCACCTCGACCACGCTGACCCCTGACGTCATCCATATCAGGTGGAGGAGGAGGAGGTGTCTGCATCAATGAGTCAAACAGAATTTTTGGTGCGGTAAAGGACGGAGGTAAAATGGAAGAGTGTAGCCCTGTATATCGGTAGGAGACTCGGCTCAAAGAAGAGAACAGTGAAAAGCCCGTAGATCAGGAAGTTTCAAAACGTATTGCAGGCAAAAAGTAAACACTAGGTACCTCCATTTTACTTGGTGGTTACTGCCGGGTGGTCTTACTCCAATACAGAAAGACACGTTCGCTGACAATAGCTGAGGTTTCCATATTCGTGACGAGTTGAAGCATTATATATATTATTGATGAAAAGTACATCGACGATAAAAGAAAGTCTTAAAAGAAACAACACCAATGCAATAACCGTCTGATAACAAGGTTCATTTCTGAGGATGCTGAGAGACTAGAGTCCCGTGACGTGACCTAACGAGTAGCACACAATCAGGAATCTGATTGCGCACCAAGTTTTACTCTTAAAACTTCATTCTACGAAGTCGACATATTGATCAAGCAATGCGATGTTGTCGATACTACGGAAAGCACGTCTGAAAGACAAAGAGATGAGAATATTAATGCTGTGAGACAACTGACCTTGCGAAACGTCGTCCAAGTAACTAAATTTGAAGAACGAAGGGGCCTAGACAACGCGGGCAAAACCACGATCGTCAAAAGAATAATGAACGAAGACGTCAATACGGTCAGTCCGACGCTTGGCTTCATCATTAAGACAATCGAATACGATGGGTTAGTCTGAACAGCTTGCGATAAGCTCTGTGACTGACACCACTCAGATACAAACTGAACATATGTAAGACTAGCCGGGACAGATAACCAACAAGCTTTGACAAGACGCTCAGGGGACGTCGGCGGCCAAAAGACCCTGCGAACATATTGGAAGAACTATTTTGAAAAGACAGACACGCTCATATGGGTGGTGGATGCAACGGATCGCGAAAGAATGGAGGATTGCGCAACAGAACTGAAAGGCCTGCTCCAGGAAGAAGTATATCATCAAAGGCATCGGTTCAATCTTCTTCGACTAACGCATCTGCGCGCAGAGATTGACAGGCGCGAGTCTACTTGTCTTTAAGAACAAGAGCGACGTGCCAGGGGCCATGACGGAGGATGAAGTGCGAGAGGTCAGAGCAGCTCCGTACAATGAGACGCTGTCCACATGGCTGACATCTGCTTGTAGAGCCTTCAACTTGACTCAATCCATACCCATACCTGGAACATCATGGCATGTAGCGCGATAACGGGTCTCAATCTCAAGGAAGGACTGGAGTGGGTGGTCAAAGATGCGAAGGACAGACTGTTCTTATTCTGAAAACGGTAGATAACGCCATAATGTTGTCCCTTCAAGAAGGCGATTGCATAATGGTTTTGTAAATGCATCTCACAGGTCGAATGATGAATCTTTACGCCCAATGCTCGTCAAATATGAGGGAGCTAATTAGCTTGGTGGGCATCCCCAGCGAATCCAGGCAGTTCTTTCGCGTCCCAGCCAGCCCCGAGCTCCTTGCACGCACCCCACCCTATTGCGTCGCTGCGGTATGATAAAAAAAACTTCGAGCTTATCGCGAGAGTCCGTAATTGCTTGTCACACCCTCTACATCACATTCTGAGTTCTTTACTTCCTTGTTAGACCTTAATATATCCTGTTACCATTTTACCCTCTACATTGGCGCTCAATGGCTTCCAAGCCGGTCGAGAGCAAGCTCTGGGGAGGCCGCTTCACGGGTAAGCTCCAAGAAGAGTCATACCAAGGTCGTTTCACTCACGCATCGTTTTAGGCGGCCTTGATCCTCTGATGACTAAATACAACGAATCTATATACTACGACCGTGCTTTCTACGCCCAAGATATCCGTGGCTCTATCGCTTACGCCCGGGCAAATACCAACACTGGCATTCTTACCAAGGATGAGTTCGCGGTCATTGAGAAAGGGCTGTTGGAGATTTTGAAAGAGTGGGAGAACGATACGTTCGAGATCATACCAGGTGCAGATGAGGATATACATACTGCAAACGAGCGTCGATTGGGAGAGATCATTGGCAAGGACATTGCTGGGAAGCTGCACACTGGCCGGTCGCGTAATGACCAGGTTGCTACTGATATGCGATTATGGCTCCGTGATGAGCTGCGGGACCTCGAGAAGCACCTGATTGAGCTACTCAAGGTCACTGGTAGTAGGGCAGAGGCCGAAGTTGAGCATGTCATGCCAGGTTACACCCATCTACAGAGGGCTCAGCCTGTACGATGGAGCCATTGGATGATGTCTTATGGCTTGTCATTCTCAACAGACCTTGAAAGGCTTAGGGAAGTTATCAAGAGAGTCAATCGGTCTCCTTTAGGATGCGGTGCTCTTGCTGGCAACCCGTTCCAGATCGACAGAGTCGCAATCGCAGAAGAACTCGGATTTGAAGGTCTCCTATACAACAGCTTGAGCGCAGTCGCAGATCGAGATTTCGTGGTCGAGACGATGCAGTGGGCAGCTATGCTCATGCAACACCTCAGCAGGTGGAGTGAGGACCTCATTGTGTACAGTACTGCGGAGTTTGGTTTCGTCAAGCTCAGCGATGCATACTCTACAGGCAGTTCGCTCATGCCGCAAAAGAAGAACTGTAAGCCAACCAGAACGTTTGCTCACACATACCATACTGACCTCATTTTCTCTCGAAGGTGACTCTCTTGAGCTCATTCGCGGCAAGACAGGCCGTATTTTCGGACAGATGACCGGGTTGATGATGACCATAAAAGGCCTCCCGTCTACTTATAACAAAGACCTCCAAGAGAGCGTCGAGCCTATGTTTGATTGCATCAAGACAGTATCCGACAGCATCCAAATAGCGACTGGTGTTCTCTCTACCCTTACCATCTACCCTGAGAAGATGCTTGCAGCACTCAGTCCCGACATGCTCGCGACCGACCTGGCCGAGTACCTAGTCCGTAAGGGTGTGCCATTCCGGTCTGCACATCATATCTCAGGTCGGGTGGTGGCTCTTGCTGAGGATGAGAAGAAACCTATGGACGAGCTGTCTCTGCAGCAGATACAGAGCGTGGATGAGCGATTTGGAGATGACGTGACAGGCTGTTTCGACTACCAGCGAAGCGTGGAGTTGAAGAATTCCAAGGGAGGTACGAGCATCAGCGCGGTCAAGGAGCAGATCCAGATTTTGCTGCAAGTCATTGGTTGAAAGAAGTCTTCTACGAGCGTTAATTGGCGAGCGCGCAGTGTATTTGGGAGAGATTGAAGGGAATGAAATAGAAAAGTGTACTAAATCGATGTTGTATTATGGGAAATAGATATGGAATACCTACTGTAGTCATCACGAATACCATTACCGCCGTGGCAGTACATTAATTTCGATGCAGATCACCAGGGATGCATGCATCCATGCCCGAGTCCTCTCGGAGTCTGCCGCTTCTGCCGAAACGGCCTTTCCATACCAACGGAACACCTCGTCAGCTTGCACGTACAGCCCTAGAGCCCTGAAGGCTTAAAGAGTCCAGTCCAGCCTGAAGTTTGCACGACTTTGAACTAAATTCCTCGACCTTCTGAATAAACTCTCCCCAGACCGACCTCGCCTCTCCACACTCCACAACTCCACATTCCACGACAATCCATCGCTCGGTGTGTCCGAAGAGCAAGCTGCAAATGGCACCAAGCTTTCTATCGGACCACTAGCCTTTCTAGAACGCGATGCAGAAAAAGGCTAATGGGCCGTTCCTGGAGTCATGAGCCAACCAATAGCATCTAGCCACTGGCAGGTTCTTTACCCATACCATCCTCATTCTCCTCCCGGTGGAGTCTGGACACAGTGTGGCATTTCTCGAGGGCAGGTATGGTGGCCTCGGCCGATTGACTGTCGTATCAAGGGATCCTTGCAAACTCAATTCGATTGTATCGGTGATCAGCCTGGAATATCTCAATCGTCAAAGTAAGCCTCACTGATATGAAGACAGGAACGCCGCAAAATTCGATTGCAGATGCGCTGCAACACTCGTTGCTGGAAAGTTATTGGGCGGTGCAGCTAAGTATGGGGCCTCCACAGCTGCGGAGATGACATGCTAAGTCCTTGAGATTCTGGGGAGAGTCAGTCAAACAGCGCAGAGATCGATGGACGATTCTGAATGGACGCGAGAAGGAATTTTCTGGGTCTGAGTGGCCTAGAATCGGGTGTGGTTGGCTGTCGCTGGAACACTCGGAGCATCCGGAAGACCCACGTTGAGGCTGACTTTCTGCAACGACACGGACACACCCTTGCGAAAGGTTACTCTTAGACTGTGGTCTGCTTGACTGCCACGCGCGAGCGATTTAACGGAACGCTGCGCTCCTTGTATTCATCTTCTGCCCAATTCGATCCTTTCACAACCAATCTACATACACGGCCATTCGATATCGATGTACAATACGCCTTCAAAGTCGCAACACACTTCTTTACACACCTAACTGCCCTCCACATCACCTCCCTATAATTGCACGTCTCAACTAATATCACCACCCACAACAACTTCTCACCCGTCATATCCACAATGCAGATCCGGAAAAGCATCAAGCGTGTCTTCCACCGCTCTTCGAATTCGTCGTCTCAATCTTCGGACTCATCACTCTCGAAATCACAAGCTACTTCCGCGTACCCAGCCCATCTGTTCTATCAGCCAGGCGAGAAGATGCCAACGCCAAAATACCGGCGACCGGTAGCCAAAGAACACAAGGAGAGGCTAGAAGCGTTCAACTTTGCGACAGCCTGGAAAAGGAAGAGTCAAACAAGCCTCTACAGCCCCATGGGTAGCCGCATGCCAAGTCGGCGGAATAGCCACAACTTCACGAGGACGCCTCGAAGAAGCTTCTCTGAGATGCGTATGGATGCCAACGTCAATGAGGGATCGGACGATGAGGGCGATGTCTCCAATGGTGAGTTATGTTCGTTATGTATCACTGTTTCTGAGGATCTAACAATATGCGCCAAAGGTCTGTCAAGACGCCATTCAAGAGACTACCCTAACCACTCGACATCTGACATGGCTTCCACGGTTCCAGACTCTCGCGACCAATCCGACGCCGCCATGAGCAGTGGTCACAGCCAATCGTTCACCGCAGAAGACCTAACTCTGGCAATTAAAAATTCGAACATGGCTGTGTCGCGATGATTGAACGGCCACAGAACTTCTTTTAGTACCACAATCACGACCCATCGCAACAACGTTTTTTCTACATTCCAGAATCATGCCACGACTTAAGCATTTACACAGGCGTTCTGTCAGCATTTCAGGCGGTCTTTCTGAGTTCTTCTTTATCGCGTGCATTGTTGGGCTGGCCGGCGTACCCAATACGATGCACACTTGCACCCCAACGGGACCAGAATGTCTTTGTGCCCTGTCCCGCCTTGCATATCCGCACCCTGTCAGCAGTGGTGAAACGGCGCGGCATGCATCTCGCTCAATCATGCCAGAGCCAGTCGGAAGATGTCGGGGCCTTTTTTGGCAAGGCGAGGGCGAGCAAAACTTTACTTTCTTGTTCAATCATGCTTTTTGGCTTGCATCTTGGGCTGCACATCGCGGCCTGACACGACGCTCGGCGGCACAGCACGTGACGCTAGAATGTATACATTATAGACCACGGTGTATGTATATACTTGCGCATACGTTGGGATGTTAGATACGACGCATGCATCATCAACATGCCCCTGATGAATCTACTAGGCTCTACAACCAAACGTCTCTCGAAACGCATGCCTTGTCTATCCATCGTGCCTTGTTTCACTAGCGGGCAAAATGACGTACGTCGTCATGCCACCTATCCATCCATCGATGTTAGGTTTTCCATGCCAACGACCGGGTCCCCTTTTCCGTGCCATGTAGTCGCCTTCTCCCAGCCTTATCTTGCCTTGCCAGTCTTGCCGGTCATGCTTGTCATGAATCCAACCGTGCTGCCTGCCGGCATATCCGACCTGGGACACTATAGAGCCTTTCGGACTTGGTTTTCCATTAAATGCTACGAAAAACACTCCACTCCATTCTCCACTTTCCACTTCGCTTGCACGCGAGGGTTGGTGGGTGGTTGTGGTGTGGCCCGGCGGTTGGGGCTCCACTGGGTCCACTTCTTGGTGGGATACTAGGTGGCACGCGAGGGATGACGTATGATGATGTGGGTAGGTAGATTGCTCCGGCAGAGGGTTGTGGGTTGTGACTTACTTGGAACTGAGAGAATGGATGAGAATGGATGGACTGCGCTGGGATATAATTAGGAATGGTAGTGATATGGACGAATATGGCCTTGGAATTATTGTGCAATGAGTGGGCCTGAGTGCCTTACCATCGTATCGTTAATGCCTGAGGCAGCACATTTCCTCACTAATGGATAGTGTTGGATTTGATTATCTATCTGTACAAGGCTTTCAAATACTTATTTGATACCATTATTTGGGATTATGAGGAGTGACGAGGCTGTTTTCTTTCGCCAGATCTTACTAGTCCTGACTTCTTGCAGGCCGAGTGCTAGTAACGGGATAAACTATGTGTATAAGATTATAACGCTTAGCGTTAGGCGCGTACTAGCTATGGTTTTGCATTTCATACGATGCGATAAGTTCTACTTGATGTTCATCATTTTAGATGCTTCCTTGGAAGGAGGAGGTTGTCGAAAGTAGAAATAGATCCGTTGTCAAACTAAGATTATCTAAAGTAAGGCTTCCTCGGAGGTCTCGTAGAATGTGAAACTATTCACGACTGATTCGTCGAAGGCCGTAGATAGTTTTTAGTAATTTACAAGCTGTGCTTCGCTTTTCGAAGCCATGTGGGTATCTCGTATAAATTCGTCGAGGTCGAGTGCCCCACCTAGCTATGGATCCGGATAACGCCTTTGGCTTCTCGTTACAACATCTCCAGTTCTGCTAGAGCCCACAGAACTGCGGCATGATGGGAGAGTAGTCTTTGACAAACGACTGGTCTATTTAACCTGATGCGAGCATCTCTAAAGATAGCAATGTCAAATTTCTCCGACGTCGCCGGAAGCGCGACATCCAAGAAACCACTAATCAACCTCCTCCGCGGCTGGCCTCACCCATCACTCCTCCCAACCAAACTCCTCCAAACTGCGACACAGAATGTACTCTCCAACCCGGTCGTGTCAGTACCTGGCATGCTGTACGGCACCGATGCCGGTTTCCAGGGCCTGCGCGACAACATTGCAAAATGGCTCACGGGCTTCTACCACTCCACGGCAGGCGGAGGCAGCGGGAGCAGCATCATGAGTGCAGATAGAATCGCCATCACGGGCGGTGCATCGCAGAACATGGGCTGTATCCTGAGCGTGTATACTGACCCCTCGTATACGAGAAATGTGTGGTGCGTTGCGCCCACGTATATGCTCGTGTTCCGCGTCTTTGAAGACGCAGGACTAAAGAGCAAGCTGCGCGCCGTGCCGGAGGATGAGGAGGGCATAGACATCGACTTCCTGCGGCGAGAGTTGCAGAAGAGCGAGCTGGACGGCGACTCTGCTGCTGGTGACCCTGTACGTGGCCTGTCCTGTCCCCCTTATCCCCTCCGGATCACACACACGGTTGCCTGACTGTTCGTGTGCGCAGCAATTCAAGCCGCCGCGCCCCTGGGGCAAGATATATCGCCATATCATCTACGCCGTGCCGACGTTTTCGAATCCGTCCTTCAAGACCATGTCGCTGCGTCGCCGCGAAGCACTCGTCCGTGTGGCGCGCGAGTTTGACGCCCTCGTTGTCACCGACGATGTGTACGATGTCTTGCAGTGGCCGAACGATGTTGAGGCGTCGGCGCAACGACCGCTTCCTACCGCCGTGCTGCCGCGGATTGTGGATGTTGACAGGTATCTGGCTGGCGGCGCCGAGCGTGAAGGCGCAGACGGGTTCGGGAATGCGGCGAGTAATGGGAGTTTCAGCAAGATCGCCGGGCCAGGCTTGCGGACGGGCTGGGTTGAGGGGACGGCGAAGTTCAGCTTTGGTGTGAGCCAGGCGTAGGTTGTTTTGTTCCTTGCCTTTGTTTGGTCTGGCTAGGCTTGTGGTTATGAACTTGTATGTGTGCTGACTTGGCTGTTAGGGGGACGTCGCGGTCGGGTGGTGCGCCATCGCAGTTGACGTCGACGTTTGTCTCAGATATGCTTGAGACGGGCGCGTTGCAGACGTACATCCTAGACGTCTTGCAACCGGCCTATTCACGCCGATACCGCACCATGCTCGCCGCAATCCAGACTTACCTACTGCCACTCGGCGTCGCGCTGCCGCAGACGGATCGTGAGGTCGTTGGCGGGTACTTCATCTGGCTGACCCTACCGCACAAACTCGACAGTGATGAGCTGGTGAAACGGGCGACGGAAGAGGAGAATCTGGTTGTGGCTGGCGGTAGACTATTTGAGGTGCCAGGCGATACGCAGAACGCCGACTTCTCGAATGATATCCGGCTTTGCTTTGCGTGGGAGGACGAGGACAGGTTGCGCGAGGGTATTGAGAGGTTGGCGACTGTAATTAGAGGGATGCTGAAGGGGGGGAATGCCAGTTCGGCAACGAGCACAACTGATGAGCAGAGTAGCAGTAAGAAGCCGACGAGCAGCTTCTGGTGAGTATCAATCTACAGGGTATGTCGAATGCATTCAACATGTGAGGAAATGAAAGGGTCTTGCTATCCCTGACCTCCCCAGATCTACGTTGCCTCGTGGTGACCTGTCAAGGCTGTCAAAGCCTTAATTCCCAACAGAGAGCCATGTCTTGAAGGCAACGCTATCAGACCCTTAATCAATTCGCGACCCCAACTTTGCACGAACTAGGCAATAATAACTCGTACAGGCAACATTCCTGGCGCTGTCACATTCTTCACTCCACGTTCCGCAACCTTCTTACCCGAAGCAACGCCACGGCCTTGTCGAAGCATGCGTGTACCTGGTATATCGCAGATGATGTGACCCTTGGCCCCTTTTTTAAGGTTGAGTGGAGATGTTTCCAGCACACGGCGGGGCAGTGCGTGCATTGGTGGAGACGAAAACGATCGATTCGAACAGACTACTAACCGCCCTGAACATGTCATGTTGTACGGTGCTGAAGTTGATGTGATACGTCACCGTGGGGCGTAGTGCTCAAGAGAAAACAATCTAGGTGGTTGACATGGCTGGCCAGCCACAGTCGATTCATATCTCATATCTCGATGAACTGCGCAATGAGTTGTACGGATTCCACACGCATTCGGAGTGAAGAGACGCGCCTTAGGTACGATGGCGATCAACGCCTGTGGCACTCTGTCCGTATGCGCTGGGGCACTGGATCGTGGCGCCTGGCAGTGCCTGTCGTAGGCGTCGTAGCACACGCGCTTACATAGGGCATCATTCTGCCGCCCCCCTGGTGATCACGTTTGGAGATGCCGTCTCCGGCAGGCAACTCTCTCAAGTGATTGCTGGACAAGAGAGAACTACGCAAGATTAGGTTCGCAACAAGGTTAAGGCAAAAGGGGCCAGTGAAAAGGCGTGGTGCGGGCTGGAGCGAAACACGCTAGCGGGTGCGGCAAGGGGTTGTGGCGCCCGGTTCTAGGGCTCACAGAAAGCTTGGCGGCATCCTCATGTCTAATGGAACCTCTCCATTCACTTCTCGGCACTGCTATTGAGGCAGAGGCCGTGTTTCAAGCCGCCTATTGACCTGCTATACCTGTCGTCGAGACTAATCTTGCACTCCTTCAGTGTATTTTGAGGCTATCCCTGCTGAGTGTTCCTGGTCCGTGTGGACGACTTGAGGTAGCAGTGCACGCTCTACTGAATCGCATGGGGAAGGTTATGTTCCTCAGGTCTATACACAAAGCAACACCAGAATGTCTGGAGAGGACGCTATCCATCCAGGGACAGATGGTCCACACCACGATGCATTCCTGAAGACAGACGCTTCGCGGGATGGGAAACTTGATATAAATGCGATGTGGCAGGGCCGTCAACAATGGTCAACAACCATCACCACCAGCCTTGCCAAATCCCTGCCAACCTCGATCGCGACCTCGATCAAACACGTACCCACGAGGTTATCGCTGTCAGATGAAGATCTGAAACCGGGTGGGCAAACACTCTTCTATGTACGTCCTCTCTCGTTGGTCCGGGGTGTGTTGATGAACTGTTGGGCCCCCTTAAGCCACAGCCGCTGGTCCCGGATCGGTGCTTCATCTGCCGGCCACGATACATTTCTTGTATATCTACTATCATATCTTCCTGCCACATTCTTTTCTATCTACACGCTCGTCTTGTTCTGTGTGCTGGCTCATTCCCGGAGTTGCCTATTCTCCTTCTTTCTCCTTCACTTCTTCCCGCTCCCTTGTTCATATCCCGTGACATCACTGTCCGTGGATCGCATTACCCACTTATCCACTCTCATTGTGAAATTTTCCTATTCAGACACGCTGTCTATGACCTATTGTCACCTGTCTCTCCTGTAAAAGTCGTAGACTACTATATCAGCACCATCACGCTCTCTCTTCTGCATCATTAAACGGCTTTCATTCTCGCCCTTTCCCTTTTTCTACTATATAAGATTCGACAACGTAGTGCAGGACACTGACGTTCATCATTTACACCTACAGACTTTGCGGAAATCCCCAAAGCCTTCAAAATTTTCAGATTCTCGATTCGGATTTCTTCTCATCATGGTCGCTTTTGCCTCTTGCGCGTTGTACGCGTTAAACGCTCTTATGTTCCTCTCTGCAAACAATCCCGTCGTTGCCACCCCTGTTCCACAGACTGCAGAGACAGCTAAGTCAGCCTGGTGGCTCGCAAACATTGCTCGTAATGGCGCTCCAGCCTTTGGTACTGATCAGGGATACAAAGTCTTCCGCAATGTCATGGTATGTGACACAGCTCAATGTCAAACTTTACAAGACTAATCAGCGCTTAGGACTATGGTGCAAAAGGCGATGGCATCACGGATGACGCAGCCGCAATCAACAGGGCCATCTCTGAAGCCATCCCGGGTCAGGAACGCTGTGGCCTTGGTTGCGATTCCAGAACAACTCAGCCTGCAATCATATACTTTCCTTCAGGCACATACCTAGTCTCCAAGTCCCTCAAGCAGCATTACTACACTCAGATGATCGGGGAAATCACCTCGCTTCCTGTCCTTAAGGCTACACCTGATTTCAATGACATGGCCATTATCGATGCGGATCCCTATGAGCCAGATGGCGCCAACTGGTTCACCAACCAGAACAACTTTTTCCGCCAGGTGCGCAACTTTGTCATTGATACTACCGCTCAACCACCAAACATTGGCGCTGGTATTCACTGGCAGGTCGCCCAAGCCACGTCTCTCCAGAATATCCGCTTCGAGATGGTAAAGGGTGGGGACAACAATGCACAGAAAGGCATCTTCATGGATAACGGATCTGGTGGTTTTATGACCGATCTTACCTTCAATGGAGGTGCCTATGGTGCTTTTCTCGGCGTAAGTCTCTATTACATGGCACCATTTGCATACACTGCTAACAAGTCTCCAGTCGCAACAATTCACTGTCAGGAATGCTACATTCAATGATTGCAAGACTGCCATCTTCATGAACTGGAACTGGCTCTGGTCGTTCCATGGTCTGACCATCAATGGTGCTGACATCGGCATTGACATGGCTAATGGATCTCCCTCCTTGACCGGAAGTGGAGTCAACCAGACCGTCGGATCTGTGCTTGTGCTCGATTCTACCATCAATGCAAAGATCGGCGTAAATAGCTCCTTTTCGGAAGACAGTGCTCCCACGACTGGAGGCACCCTTATTCTCAACAACGTCGACATGACAAACACTCCTATTGCCGTCCAGGGTGCGTCTCAGGAGCAAGTCCTCGCAGGAAGCGCCAAGATCGACTCTTGGGCCCAAGGTCAGCAATATGTAGACATGAGCCCTGGAAATCGCATTCAAGACACTACACCTGCCCCAAGCAAGCCGGCTGAGCTCCTCAAGGATGGCAAGATTTTCACTCGAAGCAAACCTCAATACGAAACTGTCCCTGTCGACAAATTTGTCTCTATCAAAACGGTCGCTAAAGGCGATGGCAAGTCTGACGACACCCAGGCCATTCAAAAGGCACTCAACGATCTTGCCGACGATCAGATTCTGTACGTTGACCACGGCGCCTACCTGATTTCCGACACCATCACCATCCCGTCCAACAAAGCTACTCGTATCGTTGGCGAGCTCTGGCCGATGCTCCTTGTCACAGGGGAAAAGTTCGCGGACGCATCCAAGCTTGTCCCTGCGATCAAAGTCGGTGCCAACGCCGGCGACTCCGGATCTCTCGAAATGAGCGACATGATCATCGGCACCCAGGGCCCCGCTCCCGGCGCAACCCTCATGCAATGGAATCTCGCATCCGAGCAAGGCGCCTCCGGTCTCTGGGACGTCCACTGGCGCGTCGGCGGCTACGCCGGCTCAAACCTGCAACTCGACAAGTGTCTCAAGTCCAACACCACCGCCTGGACCGCGGACAGCGTGCGCCCCGACTGCCAGGGCGCAGGTCTGCTTTTCCACGGCGCAAAGGGCGCCGCAAACTACTACCTCGAGAACACCTGGTTCTGGGTCTCCGACCACGAGCTCGACTCCGCACCCTTCAGCCAGATCGACATCTTCAATGGTCGCGGCGTGCTCATTGAGAGCGAGGGGGCGAGTTGGTGGTGGGGCACCGCGTCCGAGCATAACGTACTCTACAACTACCAGCTCTCCGCCGCAAAGAACGTCTTCATGTCCGCCATCCAGACCGAGACGCCGTACTTCCAGGGCAACCCGGACGCCACCGTGCCCTTCGCCGTGCAGTCCGCCATCAACGACCCCGATTTTGCAACGTCATGTAAGGACGACACACCAGGTTGTAAGAAGGCCTGGGGCCTGCGCGTGCGCGACTCGTCGGACGTCCTGCTCTTCGGCGGCGGGCTGTACAGCTTCTTCGAAAACTACGGCCAGACGTGCGTGCCGGGCAATGATTGCCAGCTTAACATGGTCAGTCTGGAGGGCACGCAGAGCAATGTCCATCTGTTTGGCCTAAGCACGAAGGCGAGTGTTAACATGGTGACTGTGGATGGTGTGGGCGCGGCGCTGGATAAGGATAATCGGAGTAACTTCTGCGCTACGCTCGCGAGGTTTAGTGCGAGCACGAAGTAGGGTGGACAGTGGAGGGTTTCTCTTTTTTTTTCCTTTATTCATGGGGATTTGTATCAGATACCCAAACGGCATCACCCTGGCTGGTCGCACCGGGGTTTGACGCGGTTTGCATTATTAGGCGTTCTTTGAGGGGTATGTATGTGGATAGACTGCTTAGTGGTTGTTGGCGTTTGTATGTACATATATTGATACATGGCATGGTTTATGAGTTCGTATATATAGAGAGAGACATATGCATAGATTCATTTTGGCAAAGACCATTTGTGTAGGCTCTGGAGATCTCATAACGCGTTCCTTGCTTGGGTTACACAGCATGCTGACCTGTCAGGTACATTGCGTGGCGCAGGGTGATCGAGGCGGATACCCTTCCAAGTTGTTTGCTGATAATACCTATGACGATTGGAGACGGAGCAGCGTTCACAGTCACAGCGGAGTATGCTTGAGATGAGGCTTGTTGTCTCACGCGCGCGCGCCATAACATGAGGCTAGTGCCAATACATCGTAGACCGAGGCTGGTTCCAGTGATTGGTTGCTGTGACCACGCGGCAGGTGCCTGGGCTTGGCATGACATCCAAGCTGGTACCGCCACCCGTGCACTCCAGGTGAGACCTCATGAGCTTCCTCCCTTCCACTCTTCCTCCCTCAACACTCTGTGAACACTCTGCTGAGTATCCAGTGTGATTCCTCTCTCGAGTATTCTCTATCATCATCCGCACCCCATCTCCTACAATCACTACACATATCTCTGTTCTCGTAAGTTGCACGCAAGCTGTGAGCTTATCGCTGCTATCGAGGTGCTGACGTAGTTTATCCAGTTTCCATCTGATCACTCCACTACACTCTCCCCTGAAGCCTCATCTCGACGCAGCATTCCATCACCATGAAGGTCGCTACGTCGGCACTCCTGGTCGGGGCTGCCTCTGCGGCGCTCACGCCGCCGCAGCAGGTGTTCAAGATGCCCAAGTTCGACACTGATGCCTGGACGAAGCCGCTCCACAACTTGGAGGAGTCGCTGAAGTCGCTCACCGGCGAAGCGCGCGCGCTTTGGGATGAGATGGCACTGATGTTCCCCAAGGACTTCGAGCAGGCCGCTTTCTTCTCCTCGCCGAAGCCGGCCACGAAGAAGGCTGACAAGGAGTGGGATCATATCATGAGGGGCGAGGATATCCAGAGCGTCTGGGAAGCCAACGCTGATGGCGAACAAGAGCGGAGGATTGGAGGCAGTCTTGCTGCGTACAATCTTCGTACTAAGAAGGTCGACCCTGCTGCGCTTGGTGTCGATAAGGTCAAGCAGTACAGCGGGTACCTCGATGACAATGAGAACGACAAGCACTTGTTCTACTGTAGGTTGCCCGAAGTCCTCGTAGTTTGCCATAGCTAATACCTCATGTAGGGTTCTTTGAGTCCCGCAATGATCCCAAGAACGACCCTGTTGTTTTATGGCTCAACGGTGGCCCAGGCTGCTCGTCTATGACTGGTCTCTTCATGGAGCTTGGTCCGTCTTCGATCACCAAAGACATCAAAGTCAAGTACAACGATTACTCGTGGAACAGCAACGCCTCCGTCATCTTCCTTGATCAACCTGTCAATGTTGGTTTCTCCTACAGTGGTGGCTCGGTCAGCGATACCGTTGCTGCTGGAAAGGATGTTTACGCTCTCCTTACCCTCTTCTTTGAGCAGTTTCCGCAGTACGCGAAGCAAGACTTCCACATCTCTGGTGAATCATATGCTGGTCACTATATCCCGGTATTTGCTCACGAGATCCTCTCACACAAGAAGAGGAACATCAACCTCAAGTCTGTTCTGATTGGCAACGGTCTCACCGACCCTCTCACGCAGTACGACTACTACCGACCCATGGCCTGCGGTGAGGGTGGCTGGCCAGCCGTTTTGGGAGAGAGCGAGTGCCAAGCTATGGACAACGCGCTTCCTCGTTGCACCAGTCTCATCGAGGGATGCTATAATTCCGAGTCAGTATGGTCGTGTGTCCCTGCAGCCATCTACTGCAACAACGCTATGATTGGTCCTTACCAGCGCACCGGCCAGAATGTCTATGATGTTCGTGGCAAGTGCGAGGATTCAAGCAACCTTTGCTACTCCGAGATGGGCTACATCCAAGAATATCTCAACCAGAAGAACGTTCAGGATGCGCTTGGTGCCGAGGTCAGCAGCTTCGACAGCTGCAACTTCGACATTAACCGCAACTTCCTATTCAAGGGTGACTGGATGATGCCATTCTACCGCCTTGTGCCCGACCTTATCAAGGAGATCCCCGTCTTGATCTACGCTGGCGATGCTGACTACATCTGCAACTGGCTCGGCAACAGAGCCTGGGCCGAGGCTTTGGAGTGGCCCGGCAAGAAGGCTTACAATGACGCCAAGACCAAAGACCTTATCTTGACAGGCTCTGACAAGAAGATTGGTGATGTCAAGGCTTCTGGCAACTTTAGCTTCATGAGACTGCATGCGGGCGGTCACATGATTCCTCACGACCAGCCTGAGGCTAGTCTTGACTTCTTCAACCGCTGGCTGAGTGGTGAGTGGGTTGAGAAATGAAGATTCACCCACGACGAGCAAGCGCCTTGGTAGAAGGTGTTCTGTTATATCGGCAGGAAAGGTTTTGATGGAGGAGTTACACAGAATGTGTTAGGAATTGATCATTGGCCTGTATTCGTCTTGGAAATCATACAGTGTATAGATTGCAAATCAAAGAATTGTATCATTCAAGATGACAAGAAGAATATTCTCTATCCAATGTCGCTGATCGGAGTGCCACGCGCGACGTTGACATCGTGTTCGTGCACGGACCATACAGGTGTCGCTAAATTCACGTGATCTACACACACACTAGCGCCCACCAGGCCAAATTCCTCATTCTCGCTTCTTAGCATAGTGCACATCACGACTTTGAACACCCATCCGACAACAACGACAACGAGTGGCCCATCATGTGTACGCATCCCTATGCTCTACCATAGTGCGAGAAGACGACTCGAATGCTAATGGAACTCTAGCACTTGTCTCCGGAGAGAAGTCGAACTTCCAATACATTATCCGTCTGCTCAACACCAACGTCGATGGCAAGCAAAAGGTCATGTACGCCTTGACGAAGATCAAGGGTGTTGGCCGTCGTTACTCCAACTTGGTCTGCAAAAAGGCCGATGTCGACTTGAACAAGCGGTACGATAGCATCATACGCAAACCTGGACGAAACCCAGTCTAATAGATGTCTAGTGCCGGTGACCTGACCTCCGAAGAACTCGAGCGCATTGTTACCATTGTTCAGAACCCAACCCAGTACAAGATCCCTACCTGGTTTCTCAACAGACAACGCGACATCGTTGATGGCAAGAACTACCAGACGCTCGCCAACGGCGTAGACAGCAAGCTGCGTGAGGATTTGGAGCGCCTGAAGAAGATCCGCGCTCACCGTGGTCTCCGTCACTACTGGGGTCTCCGTGTCAGGGGTCAACACAGCAAGACCACCGGTCGGAGAGGACGTACCGTTGGTGTGTCGAAGAAGAAGGGTTAAACGTGTGCGGGTTGCGGATCGAACATGGTGGCGCTTGGTGGGGGATTCTTTGCGCTCGCTGCTGGATGTGAATGGACGAAAAAATCGGTTATTGGTCTCTTCACTACTGCATTTATGGCACTCGCATGGCTGCTAGACAAAGCGTATTGCACGATCTGGTGTTGTCGTCGAGGTTCGCTCGGAGTGAGAGGGTTAACTCATTGTAGCAATCAATTCTCGGCTTGAACCACCACCAACTCGTTCCGCCATGCGCTGTTGTTGAAGACTGTTGCAACGTGGATCCGCTTGCCGTGCAGTAATCCGTTGCCCTGCATCAATCTGTGTTGTGGGCTTGGGGTACTATTCTGCTGACACTCTATTCGTGCTACAGACGCTCATACACGTCGACCCCTGTTTAACCTGCATCTCGATACATGAATTTCGAAACTAACCATGCCGAAACAACACGCCCACCCCGCAAAGCCATCTATGCAAGCATTTTCTGTTCACGACGACGCAGTTGGTACCATCCGTTGACAACTGACATCCTCTAAGCGTCAAACACACGTCTCCATACCAACCTGTTGGCAGTACTCCACACTCGAACCTTCTTTTCCCTTCTCTTTCTCTCTGCTTCTCCGTCCTCGCAACCTTTGTCTCCAGCATGAAGTTGTGAAATATAAACATGCCGGCCCACGAACCGGCCTCTTCTTCTCTTCCAAGCTCAAACCACTTTTCCAAATCTTTCTGAAGTTCACCCCCGTCCCCCTCCCCTATATCCCCAGAAACCCCCCCGTCTTTGATAGCCCCTAATGCTCACATAATGGATCAAACGGCCCAGTCGTCCTCCTATCCTCCTCCTGCTGCCCCGTCACCTCCCCTTGTCAGGGTCGATTCCGTTGTGTCTTGTCTCAAACCTACCTTTTTCCGACCTTCGTCTTCTTCTGGTTCATGGTTTGCCTCTGGTTCTGGTTCTTTCTCCGCGTCCCGCACGCACATCGCCAGGAATCAACTCTGCGAATGTGACATCGCAGCCCTCACGCCGCCGCTCGCGCTGGATGAGATTGACGAGCATGGCGAAAATATAACTGCTGTACATACACCGAATATCCTCACGACCGCCCCAACGACCTTGGACTCTCCCCCTCACACTCCCCCTCGTCACACCACCGCGGAACTCAATAACAATCATCATCTCCCGCCACCACCACCAGCACATACCCAATCATCTAACACAACCACAACCACACGCACCCTCGACCCCCGCATCTCCATCATAACAACCACACACCCATCCCCCTCCCCCTGTTCCAACCCGCACTACAACACAAACGCAAATACAGACGCAAACCTGCACCCTATCGACGCACATCTTGTCAGCTTGATCCTCCACCTGCATGACGGGTGCCAGTATGATTGGACTGCGATCGCGGAGCCGCTGGGGCGCAGGTGGGGCGTGCGGACGAGTAGTGCGGTTGTGCTTGGGGTTTTGCAGGGGTGTGGGCGGGTGAGGAGGGGGGTTTGGTGGGATTGATTTTTGAGGGGGAGGGGGGATTTGGGGGAATCGAGTAATGGGGGACTGGAGAAGGGATGGGACGGGATGGGGTGGGGAGAGGGGGGGGAAGGAGGGATAGGGGATTGGGACGGGATGGGATGCGGGTACATCCGTCCTTGGTGGTGGTGGAATGACTTTATGATTATGATCTTATGAGGGGTTATGATGGATGGTATGATTGAATGATTGACTGGTTGATTGATTGAGATTCTCGTTGTAGTGCTTTGTGGGATAGTGGTGGAGCTGCGGGAGGAAGGGAGGGCGGGACGTTGGAGGATGAGGAGAACTTTCGAGTGCTTTTTTTTGGGCGTATACACATATACATGTCAGATGTTCATTGGTGGACTGGGCGTGTATGAATGTATCCTCCAAGTAACTACATGGTAGAGAGATGATGTGACGACGGTATGGATCTGTGCTATGCAAGTACATACACGTGGCAGGGAAATGCAGGGCTGCGGCTAGGATGGAGAGTTCGTGGGGGGTCGCGGGGAGGATTTCTTGTTGAAGGACTGCATGGAGGCTTATGAAGATATTGAATAGTGTGCTTTGTTCCGTGTATGCATTCCCTGGAGAAAGTTGTTATGCGCTCAAGTTCGGACGGACGAGTATCATGCGCTGCTTTCCCGTGCCGGTGGTCCTGTGAAGCCTGTGAAGCAGACGCGGGTATGCGCGTGTATTGTCTGCGCAGTCATTAGATCGCGCATGAGAGTGCATCTCTGCTGTGACTATTGCATGGAGCCTGGCCAGCTCGCGATGCTTGTCTCAGTGGATTGAACCGTCACCTTCGAATCCACCACAAGTCTCTGCTTCTCTCCACACTCAATCACCCTCATGCATGACAGCCATGTCAAGTACCTCTGCTCTTGCACGGCCCTTGGTCTGCGTGCCAACAAACTCTGTTAACGACTTATACGCGCCAGGCTCGACGAATCCGACCAATTCCCACTCCTCTCCCACTGTCTCTTGGGATTCTGCCTGTTCAACAAAACTTAATATGCAATCCTTTACAGTACTCTTCTTGATCTCCTCGCCATCTGCACCTTCCTCTGTCGACTTCGTTGTCATCTTGGCGCTCTGCTTAAGGATACTCGTGGGGCAGGTTATGCGCAGCCGCATCCTGGCTCGTCCAACGGGGATGGGTTGATGTGCGATCAGAGCCTTCATGGCGTCGAGGGCTTGCGACTTCGCAGATCGCGTTGTCACAACGCCGGTCCAGCTGGGTAAATCCTTGGTCTTGACCTTCTCCTTGTCCCCGTCTGTCGTCGGCGTGGCTGTCCCGCTCGCACTCGGTGCACCTTTCGATTCTGGCGCGTGGGTTCGCTGCGAGCTTAACTGGTCGAGCGCCTTCTCGATCATGCCGGTCGTGTACACCCTCTTCGTTCTCGGATCCACCAACTTGCCAGCAACAATGTCAATCACCTCATTGTGTACTCGCTCCAGCTGTGCAGAGCGCTCCTTTTCCCCAACCTGCAGCTCGCCTTTGTTCAATATCTCGAGCGTGATTTCTTCGCGCGTTTTCTTGGGGAATGACTTGTTCAGATCTTCGTTCGGGGCGACTTGGCCTTTGCTGACGGAGAGGAAGACGTTGGGAATTTGGAGAACGTTGTCAATGTCCTTCTCAGACCCGCTGCGCCATTCCAGGACTTTGTTCTTGTAGCATGCTATCTCATAGCGCTTCTTGCCTATGGATTGCCTTTGTCAGTCCGGCGCAAAGTGGCACAGGTTTAATAGACTTGCCCTTCTTCATGCGCACCAAAGCCACGTTCGTGAGCTTAATCTGATTCGAGGGCTGTGGAAAATTAGGTTTACTGGAATAAATCAATACAAACAAGTAGACATACCTGGTTGATAGGCATCTTGTCTGACTGCGAAGATGTTTTGGTATTCAATCGCAGGGTCGGCACAGGTGGGGTTGCTTGCATTTCCGAACTTTTTGTGGCAGTTCAGGCATCAATCCATGCCAAGATTTTGTATTTTAGCATACGGTCCGTGCGCTTGTCTATCTGGGAAAAAGTTTGGCTACATCTTGGCTGATTCAAGCAATTTACGCTGCCTCTCAATTCTCCTATGGCGCCCAAGATGATTGACGAGGACGACTTCGTTCATACCATATCTGACAATGAGTCAGTACCTGACCTCGACGACGTTCCACCTTCTCTACCCAGCAAAAAGCGCAAGCGAGCCACCGAAGACGTACAATTGAATGGCGCAGAAAGCAAGAAGAGCAAGAAAGACAAAAAAGGCAAGAAAGCCCGGAAAGAAACGGATGTGCCAAGCCAGGACGATGTTGAGGTCTATACGCGACCTACGCCTGCTAATGGTGCAGACGAGGATGCAGACATGGACTCGGAGTTTGAGTTTGTTGTCGGAGACGTTGGCGGAGACCTGCTAGAAGATTTTGATGGGTGGGAAAAGCGTGATGACAAGTCCCAAAAGCAGACCACTACGGGCTTGTCTGTTGACGACATTATTGCGCGGAGAAAGCTCGCAAAGGAAGAGACCGGTGAAGCTAAAGCATCTACCACGGACGCAGATGCAGAAGAAGATGAAGTGGAGTTTGAAGGACTTGAAGATGATGATGATGACGAGCTTCTTGCTGAGGACGGTTTCGGTATGGGAGCTACTGGTGAGGATGAGAGCGGTGCAGAAGAAGACTCCGAGGATGAGGGAGACAAGGGCGGTCAGGAAGACGGTGAAGGAGAGGAATCAGACGATGAGTCTATCGCTGAGCCAGTGGCTCACCCTGATGATCTCGCTCCTCAAGATGAGTCTGACTCTGAGGTTGAAGATGCCGTGGAAGCACAACGGCGTAAAGATTTCTTCGCGCCTGAATCAGACGACCACAAAGCTTCCACTGCCAAAATATCAGCTTCATTCCAAGCTATGTCTTTATCGCGTCCGATACTGAGAGGGCTGGCCTCCATTGGCTTCGCAGAGCCGACACCAATCCAGGCCAAGACGATACCAGTGGCCTTGCTTGGTAAAGATGTTGTTGGTAGTGCTGTCACTGGTTCAGGAAAGACTGCGGCTTTCATGATACCCATCCTCGAACGTCTCCTCTATCGACCGAAGAAAGTCCCAACCACGCGCGTTGCTGTAGTCATGCCAACTCGTGAGTTGGCTGTGCAGTGCTTCAATGTATCTAAGAAGCTAGCGGCGTTCACAGACATTACATTCGCTCAGGCTGTGGGAGGTTTCAGCTTAAAGGACCAAGAAAATGTTCTCAAGACGCGACCAGACGTCATCATCGCTACGCCTGGTCGATTCATCGATCACGTCCGTAATTCGCCGAGCTTTACGGTCGAAACTCTGGAAATTCTTGTTCTCGATGAAGCAGATCGCATGTTGGAAGAGGGTTTCGCCGATGAGTTGAACGAGATCATCTCATTAATACCCAAATCAAGACAAACCATGCTGTTTTCTGCCACTATGACCGAGTCCATCGATAACTTGATTCGTGTCGGCCTCAACAGACCTGTCCGATTGATGGTCGATGCGAAAAAGTCCACAGTAAAGGGATTGGTTCAAGAGTTCATCCGATTACGACCTGGTAAAGAAGACAAGCGTCTCGCATACCTAATGTACTTGTGCGAGAAGGTCTATCGGGACCGTGTCATTATTTTCCTGCCTCAGAAGAAGGAAGCTCATCGTCTTCGCGTTATATTTGGTCTATGTGGCATGAAGGCCAGCGAGCTTCATGGCAATATGAGTCAAGAACAGGTATGTGACTTGTTGCTCTCCCAAAAATATAGACATGGCTAATATTGTTTCAAGCGTATCCAAGCCATAGAGTCATTCCGATCTGGAACCTCTGCGTATCTATTGTGTACCGATCTCGCTTCCCGTGGTCTCGATATCAAGAATATCTCTGTGGTTATCAATTACACAACTCCGCATTCCCACGAGATCTACCTACATCGTGTCGGTCGTACCGCCCGTGCAGGTAGGTCTGGTCGCGCATGTACACTTGCTGCGGAGCCAGATCGCAAGGTCGTCCGCGCCGCTGTCAAGGCCGCTCGCACCCAAGGCGCTATTATTCAATCGCGAAGCATCCCTAATGAAGATGTTGAGCGCTGGTCTAAAAGGTTAGAAGAACTTGAAGAAGATATTGAAGCGGTACTTAAGGAGGAGAAGGAGGAGAAGATGATTACTATTGCTGAGCGTGACCTCACAAAGTCAGAAAACATGGTCAAGTACGCTGCCGAGATCAAGGCAAGACCGAAGCGAGAGTGGTTCCAGTCTGAGAGTGAAAAGAAGACTGCGGCGGCCAAGGACGCAGCCGCTCAAGGTGGCAAGAAGCCAGGTGAAAAGAAGAAAAAGCTGAGCGGGAAAGAAAGGAAGAAGTTGGAGGATAAGGACTTGAGACGTGAAGGCAAAGAATGGAAGAAGACAAAGAAGGATGTCGAGAATGTTGGCAAGTCAGCGACGGTCAAGGGACCAAAAGGGGGTAAAGGGAAGCCAGGGTCAAAAGCGGCTGGCAAGCCAAGTGGAAGACCGAGTGGGAAGCCGAAGGGTGGTCGAAGGTAGTCAGGAGGTCCATTATTCCAAAGAAATCATCTTTTCCTCACTCGAGGACACTTCCAATGGCTATCGACACTGACTAAGCTGGACTGATATACTGGTAGTGTAGCAAAAGGTTCGCCCAGGCTCAAACGTGCCCATATATACTGTGGAGTTCCCATGCCCCGCATTCATTCATCCGTTCCCCCCACGCTACCCCACATCTCCACCCGTCAGTTATGAATCGCAACAACATCCCGACATCAATGCTACAACACTAAGCAAATGCCAGCAACCAGCCTCGATACGATCTAAGTGCCTAATCACTATGGCCCTCTCTCCATCATACCTTCGACTGCCTTGCGAACTCCACCTCCTAATTGCAGACGCCCTCCCCCTTACATCCCGCTGCCTCCTACGTAAAACATGCAGACACATGCGCTCCGTAATCCCGGATCCAATCCTCAGTACCCGCTTGAATATCCTCCCTCTCATATACACCGGACCCTTCCTACAGCCCACACAGTTTGCCCTAGAGCACAATATCCTAGCATGCACGTCCTGCGAGCGCATTCGCGGTCTGGATCGCTTTCCCTGCTCCGTGAAATTGGGCAAGGAGTTTCCACGTACGGGAGAGGGAAAGATTGATGGGGCTGTGCTGGATAAGTGTTGGACGAGCAAGAAGTGTGTGGATTGTATGGTTGTTTCGGAGAAGGTGTCTCGGAATATGAGGGGAAGATGGGTGTGGTTGGGGTTGGAAAAGCATGTGTTTTGTCATGAGTGTGGAGAGTTGGGGATTCTTGATCCTGGGGAGGGTGTGGAGACTTGGGGGTTCTGTGGGCAGAGGGATTTGAGGTGTTGGGAGTGTTCGAGTCGTGGACCAGACATGGCAGAGTGAAATTTTTGTCGGGGCAGGGTGGATCTGTTGAACTGGCATTGGTACGGTAAAGGAGTGAAATTTATGCTAGTTGGACGATCAGTGAGTATGATCTGGCTGTTGTCTCGATCGTAAGCTCTCGTAAGTATTGCTGTTATTAGAGTTTTGATATCGATAAGCTCACTATCTATCTAGGTTCGCACCGCGCGGCATTTGCAAAACCGGTCAGGAATCCTGAGTTCCAACACAAGACCTTTGTTTACAATTCAAAGCTTGAGATTCTCGAAGCATGGTTATAAAGGCTCAAGTCACGTTCGCTTTTGGGCATGCATCGTGAGCATCTCTCCTTCCGGTCTAGCTTATTTACTGTTGGCTTACGATTCGACTCAGCAACCACACTACCAGGTTTAGACAAGAGAAAATCTACAGATGGATATCCTCAAGATGTGAGATGTGGTCTACAATGTAAAGACCCGAGATAGAAGAGATTTTTCAACCCTTACTTGTATTGACTAGTAATCAGACCATGTGATTGAATGAGACAATATAACACATATGAATACTTTTACCACCCTCCAGGGCCACGGCGGACTTTTTATTTTTGTCAACCATGGATTTTCGACAATATAGAATGATAATCGAGCGAACTACCTATCTCGCTGTTAATTTCTTTTAGAGTATTGATCGTTTTGCATCGTTGATGAAGAGGAAGAAACTCAAAACAAAGCATTAAATAGGCTACTTAGGGAGGACCGTTGCTCATCACATGCTATATGCCTAGGTTGAAGCGGTATGCTGATAGACGTAACCATCAGTAATGCACCAAGCGTGTCGTACTATCTTCCAGCTATTCCTTCGTAGAACTCAAAATTCGAAAACATGTTCACGAGCGGTATATAAAGGCCCCTCAGGGGTAGTTCAAGTAGGACGAGATAATTTCCTAGCTGCTTCAGCTTGCCACAGACGATCATTTTGCATTTTGAGACAGATCCAAACAAAATCCCCCCAATTTAGTCCTTTTCTATTCAGAATATACCCTAACATCTTATTCTTTGCGATTTTATGGTCTCAGAGACTGCATATTTGGGCTTGACTTTGTGCCTCAACATACGCTCGCAGCACTTCAGTATCGCACGATGGTAGGGGCAAAGACGTACGCTGTAATAGTCCGGATCCGCCGTCACTAAAGGATACATGATTGAGCTTCTCCTTTCCCTTCTGAAGAATTCTCAGGGGATGATTGACGCCTAGTCAAGATGACGGAGTCGTATTGGCTAGTTCGATGGTTTTCACATATACCAAAGAACTTGACCACCAGGAATTTAGTTGTGAATGCTTCCCGCCGACGGGAGAAGTCATGGCACATGTTGCATGCGTCCCCGGATCTCTCGCACCGGTCCGCATTGCCTGAAATGATCAAGTATTGCGGTTTGGCTGTATTTGATTCGTTTCTCAAGGATATCTCGACATCCAAGGCAATGCACACCCCTATCAATGCCATTGCCAGTGCGAAAGTGGGGAACTGAGATAATAACCATGTAACGCGCTGGCTCCAGCGTTGTACGGTCTATCTGTCGACCTGTCACGACGATCCACCTGTCATCTTGCGCTCTTTGCTGCACTGCTTCTCGATCGAAGAGTTTTATCCTTTTTTTCGAGAGCTTTTCAAAGCCTGTGTATTGACCAGGAAGGCTGAGAAGATGAGGCAACTTTTTGAGATCACCCTTTCTGATGCCGATACGACGCGCTGTGGACTCCGTAATGGGATAGAATGCCTCGTCCCTAGTGAAGCAGAAGTAGCATAACCGCTGGCAGGTAATCAGGTATAGATACCCGCCAAATCTGCCACACTTTACACAGTCACTCATTGAAAGACGATTATATAGCGTGTTGAAGGTGTAGTCATTCGCTCCTGTTGCCACGATGGCGCGGATAACGTCAATGCAGTTTTCGACGACTCTGCGGAAATTTGGCAATGAATCAACTATTGCTATGGCCTGTCGATTTACACATCGGAATGCCATAAGAGTACACACATCCAAATCTAATAGCACTTCCGAGAGCAGTTCGACGGGCAGCATATCGAGGTGGCCAAGTGAATTCAAGGGTTGATGCGGATTTTGGCTCTTCTGGAAAGGAAAGTTGGTTTTGGAGAAGCGACCGTCCAGGGTGTTGTCGGGGATTTGCAGCTGTTCGGTTACAGAATTGGCGGGATATGGCTCATCCAGGTTGTCTGAAGGTGTATCTGGCATGTTCGAGCCTGCTGAATGGATGAGATTCGTGATGGAAGATTCTCGTAAGTATTGTATTACTGGCTCGACCTCCCAATGTCGCCCTTTTTAATAGAAGTGCGCCGCTCACGCGTCGCGGTTGATTACGCGACAACGCGTCTTTATTAGATCATTCGTGTTTGGGTAGATGCTTGCTGGCACTGAAAAAGAACGCATAAGATCAACGTGCATAGATAATATAACGCAGATAGAGGTCTGAGGGGGTCACTGGTTTCATGCACTACATCGATTGTCAATCCCATGGTGTTGTTGGAGGTTTGTTGAATACGGCACAGTACACCTAATGAGAAACTAAACCTAACTCGGCAAATGTCAAAAATACCAAGTTCATATTAGATTACTAACCGAGAGCACACGTTAGACTCATAGCATATCAACTATGCATATTGATATTAATATTCTAGGAGATACTACCCTTGCTATGAATAGAATCTTCGAGATGAAATACTAAATTCTTCGTGCACTAGTAGAGATAGTAAGCATTATCTATCTCTTCTATACATAGATACTATTATACTAGACATATATTTAGGGCCTAATATACTCGACACTATACAGAGAGCAAATGTTTCGTAATATTTCAATGAATAAGAGAAAGTCAAAATTCATAGTCAGAGAAGGTAGGATATAGATATCGGTCTCTTATGTCGTGAAATACATCTACAACAGTAGGTCACTAGATTTAAAGTCTTAGAAATAAGTAACCACGGTATCAAGTCCCACCTCATGAGTCATAGCACACTATACTAGACGTTGGAACGATACACTTTGTTGAACAAAATCCATGCTCTTGAGATCAGACAATATAAAAAGAATGAAAAGAACATTCGAGTCTGTAACTCTAATGAAGACATGATAGGATAAGTAACATGAGGCATGTGAAATATCAAAATAATGTAACGTCCCTCCTTATTAATCGTGAGTATCATACACAGGATACAATACAGCCCTTCGCACAGCTACAACGGCAGTAATTATCGCCGTTGAGCACAACGCCCTGCAAAAGACAATATTGTCTACATCTAATTCGAGATTACGCAATTTTGAACGCATGACCACAATGTGTGCATCGCGTCTAGATCCCAAAAACGATCACCGCGGTCGATCAAGAAAACAAGACGAAGATTTTGTGGTGACACAGCACGATAGGGCGCTATTAGTGTGATATGTTGACCTGCACAGCTAAGCAATTGGGAGAGGTGGACGGAATAGGGGTTATATACATATGAGATCTGGGAGTGTCAGGTTAGGTGCCGCGATAATGATGTGAGATGATATTGTAGTGCACCAAAGATATGTTTTTCGTGAAGGGATGATAGTGCGCAATTGTGGCGAATATCTACATGTGTATTCTCTCCACATCTAGTCATCGTTCTCTTGAACCTCTTTACAAACCCACAACCCTCCCTCCGACTCCCTTCCTCCACACTCTTAGCCAGGACACTTCCAAACCTTCGGCCCGGGCATAACATAGCCCTTTGGGTCCATAGTATTGGTATCCCAATACACACTCGCATCTGTATACGCCCCCGGAAAACTCACCAATCCGTCCGGCTTTACCCCCGCTCCTCCTATAACCTCGATCTGTGCACAACTCGGATAAAACTGACACTTGCCCTTCGTCTGTAATATTCATTAGCACTCGAACAGTTTCCTCCCCTACCGAACTCTTACACACCTTGCATTCACTCAAGGCAATAATCTCATGTCGGAACAGGTACTCTCCGTTCTCAAGACACGCTGGAATGGTCACATTCCAGTAGTATTTCTGCGTGTCAAGCTGTTGCGTCCCCCACAGCTCACTGCCCGCTGTATCACCCGACGGTATCTGGTACCCGAACTCATCGATTTTGAACCACACGGCGCCTTCACGACCCGTGAATGTGGAGCAGTTGGGCGTACACCGCGCCATGTATGTAACGATGGGACCTGAGTGCGGCCAGCCTTGCCAATAGACGGTGAGGTTTGTGCCGGCAGTGACCTTACCTACGCGGGATGTGCCGTCAGAGTTCGCGATTGGAGTGGCGTTGAAGTTGCATGTTATGTCGTTGCTGAGTGGGATGGTGTCAGTTTGTCTGGTAAGATGAGGCACGAGGTGATTGTGAAACAGTGATGAGACTCTTTTCGGGGGGGATAGCCAGGTAAAGAACATGCAGAAAGCGACATTAAGCTGTATGTACCTATGGATATCGGTGACCGGGCCATCGCTACCAACCCGGCGAACAATGGAGGGTGCAGGGTCTGTAAAGATGGGTTTGTTCTCGGGAAGGAAGCCAATGTAGGTTATTCCGTTGAGAATGTGGCGATGGATCCAGCTGTGGTCAGTGTTAGTATGATATTGAAGAGAGTAGAAAGAACATGGAGGAAGAAATGGGGACAACAAAGCCACAGGAAATAACGGACGTGTACATACCCGTGGCCAGATGCAACTGTCACGAGCGAACATATCGCCGCGAGTACTGCTAGTAGACTTCTCATTGTGAAAAACGAAATTGTCTTCGCTGAAGAACTTGTCCATGGTTTGCGCCGTGAAATATGTTTTATACTGCGATGTGGTAACATCTCATTCACATTCCTGGATAATTTACTCAACGGGTTTCAATGCTCCTTGCTCCTCCTGCGTATGATTGTCATAGTACACATCGCTATGAATTAGACATAATATATCTAATATAGTGATGAGAAACAATTACCCGATTCGTGGAAGTCATAATGTTGACAGGGGTCATGAGCATGTTGCCTCAGGACATATGATGCCTTACTGCCTCAGGCACGTATACATACTGGTCCGTGCATTGCCGTCAAGAGCTTTCCACTTTACGGTGCAGCGCATTTCTTTACGACGCTCAATCCTGCCAAAAGCAGAACAACATCCTTCTTCCGTTGTCAGCTATCATCTTGTTGCCCTTTGCTCATCTTCATATCGTCGGGCATTAATCAGCACTCCACGCTAAAGATGAATCTAAATCGTCGCATGGTGAGAAGCGTTTCAGAGAAGACAGGGCGCGAAGCGCAGCTGACCTTGATGTGAAGCTCACCAGGGAAGATGAGGCAGCGACTGGCGGTGAAGAAATGGAAGTGCGTCGTGAAGATCAAGACAAGATCAACAAGTTCAGCAGACTACATCAACGCGAGGCAAAGCTCGAAGAAGAGCTAGCGGCGAAGAGGGTACGTTTGGTGAACGCGCCAGATGGGCGTCATGGTGAGCTCAGCTCCGCAGCATCAATCACTAATGCACTCCTTGTGTTTATAGAAAGACAAGGAAGATCTTGAAGAAGTGTCGACTGAACTGGAGCTTGTAGACGAAGACGAGAAAGTCCCGTAAGTCTCAACGACCTCTCCTAGTCGTGCGTGTGTATCAGGATTCATTTGATATGCTCACAAAAAATTTGTGGCGACCAGTCATTGCTCACTGACTGTCTAGATACAAGATTGGAGACTGCTTTGTATCGATTCCTCAGCCAGAGGTGCTAGAGCTTTTGTCGGCATCGACTGAGGAAATCGACAAAGAAGTGACGAGTCTAGAGGAGAAGCTAGAGACGACGCGAGAGGAAATGCAGGAGTTGAAGGTTGCGCTGTACGCGAGGTTTGGACGGAGCATCAATCTGGAGACGTAAATTCGGTTATAGACCCGACAGCAAAGAAATGCATCACTCCAACCAATTACCTCCATTCAGCAGCACGTATCAGCGGAACGACGACCTGCTCAACCTCAAGTTGCTTCGCAGTTTTTTTATCGCACCCTGAGAATGAAAGTTTCACGCACCCCTGCGCTTTGTCATCAAGGATGATTGCTGCTCTTGCAAGAAACCGCCGTCCCGGAAGACGCCACATGATCCGGCCCTTGCCGCCAGATTCTCCGATATGCCTACCAAACCGGTTGAAAATTGATGCAACACGAAGCTGAAATATGGTGATAGAACAAGGTCACTGCCATGATTGGACAGACGCTGGCGGTGTGACACTATATCGCTTAGTAGCAGTAAGCTAGTCAAGGTCGGGCATCGCAGGCTTAGGAATGTTATCGAATGATGGACGTCGGGCCCCTCATGAATCACTCAGAAGTTTACCGTCGGTCGAGAGGGACTTTCTCCTTCACTTGTAACGAATACCTGCCGCCATAACCGATCATTCTTACGCTGCACGCTGCAACTCATTGCATACGTATTGCATTGCACCTGCATAAGGTTTTCATTCTACAAGCATCATCTCTTGGTGCAGCTTTTGCAAATACCTCGGGCCTGGCTGACCTATAGCAGTCCGACGTCTTTCTTCTGAAACATGTCCTGGCAGACTTCAACTCGACGTAGACCGTACTTTAGTCTTTGTCATCCTTAATTCGGCTTTGGTTAAACTCGCACATTTGAGAGACAGACACCCTTACCACTAATGAGCTCACTGTATTGATACCACGAGTCCTATCATCATGCATAACGATACTCCCACCATAAACACCCGAAACCCCAGTGAAATCTCCTCTCCATGTACGAGATCATGTGCGCGTACACTCGGGCCTGTTCAACGACAAAATGAGCTGACGTATAGATAGTCCGCAAGCTTGAAGACACGGTGGAGAATAGGAAGAACTTTAAACATGGGATCTATGACGACGACGATGATGGCGTCGATACAGAGGAAGAAGCTCGCATGCAAGATCTGAAGTGCAATAACAGCTCAGCACAATATGGCTTAATGCGAACATCGTCACTAGAACCGTCGAAGCATGTCATCTCATTTGCGGACGACTCTCCAGAAGAACCAAACAACTGGTCGAGGGTATGCGTAATTGTAGCGTCTTAGCATGCTCTATAGACTGGATCTGACACTGTGGTAGTTTTGGAAGCTTTACTCGATTGCAACCTCTATAATGACAGTTTTGAACTCGACTGTAGCAAGCTCTCTTGGATCCGGCGTATCTCACCAACTGAGCGAGCACTTCGCCATAACCAACGAGGAAGAATTGGTTCTGCCGACGTCCGTCTACATTGTAAGTCAGCCATAATATGTTGTTACCTAAATTTCTCGCTCACGATGTCTATAGTTTGGCTACGTATTAGGCAGTATAGTGTCCGGGCCTGTTAGCGAACAGTATGGACGCAAGATCACTATGATAGGAGCTTTCTTCATCTTCACGGTTTTCTCAATAGGTTGCACATTCGCACCGAATTGGCCTGCTTTCATTATTTTCCGCTTCTTCATCGGCTGCGCGGGCGCGTGTCCTATATCCGTCGTCAGCGGTATCTGCGCAGATGTCTATCACAATCCCAAGTCACGTGGGCGAGCATTGGCACTTTATATGGGTATGTCTGATCATCTCTAAATCAACAAACCTCTAACAATACATAGTCGCAACATGCTGGGGTCCAACTCTCGGTCCCGTTTTCTCAGGCTACCTTGCCACTGTCTCATGGCGATGGCCCTGGGGACTCGGCGCACTCATCGCAGGTGCAACATGGCCATTCCTTCTCGTCTACAAAGAGACCTACAGCCCGGTTCTCCTCCGTTGGAAGGCTGCGAGGCTCCGCAAAGAAAAGAACGACCCAAGCATTGTTGCCCCGTCTGAGCTCGAAGATAACACCCTCTATCACGTCCTCACCGTCGTCCTCAGTCGCTCGGTTCGTATGCTCTTCACAGAACCTCTTGTGTTCTTCACCAGTCTCTACCTCTCACTCGTCTACGCTCTCTTCTACATTTTCCTCGAATCATACCCGATCATCTACGGCGGTGTATACGGCCTAAGTCCCGGTAAAACAGGCTTGATGTTCATCACCATCGGTATAGGAGCTTATATTGCGTGCCCCATGTATCTCTGGTGGGATTATTTTCTTGAAAAAAACCAGCGTGCCGGCAAGAAGTGGGCACTGAATGAAGAATACCGTCGTCTTCCACTCGCGTGTGCAGCGGGGCCGTTTCTTGTCGCAAGTCTGTTCTGGTCTGGCTTCACCGCGAAATCTGACATCCATTGGGCCGTGCCCGCGTCATCAGGCATATCTTTTGGCATTGGGTACCTCCTGCTCTTCATGGCCATGCTGAACTACCTTGTCGACGCATACAGGGTGTACGCTGCCTCAGCGAGTGCTGCGGCCGCAGGAAGCCGGAGTCTGTTGGGTGCCGTGCTACCATTTGCTGCGAAGCCGATGTACGATGACTTGGGCATCCAATGGGCAACAGGCACATTGGGTTTTATCTGTGCGGTGATTGCGTTAGTACCGTTCTCGTTCATCGTGTTTGGGCCAAAGATGCGAGCAAGGAGTCCATTCTGTCAGTTCTTGAAGGCACAGGATGAGAAAGATCAGGAGAGGAGGGAGAAGACAGCGTTGGAGGGTAAAGATGAGGAGGCGCCGGGCGAGGTGGAGAAATAAGACTGGTAGTACGAATTGAGTTGGCTGTTTGGGTAATATGAAAGCGCTGTAACGAGCTGATGTCCGTGTCCACTAAACAGCATAGCCTGTATATACACCATTAGTATGACGAAATGGCGAGCTGCATCGTCATATGAATGCATACGATAATCATCACCTCCACACTCCCGATGTCTCTTACAGCATCTAATCACCCGCCGCGAATCATTTTCACATACAAAAATCCATACTTTGCAGTCAGTACTCCTCTTGTCTCATTCACAACATTAAGCCAAGGGCAGCTCGTTACAGAATTCCCCGCAAGACCACTTCTAGCACAGGCATGCATGGCTTCAACATACCCGATACTCCCTTGATAAATATATATATATTGTCTGACAATCCCTCCTCTATCATATTTCGACTCACTTCCGCTACTGCCCGATCTCCTTGGCCTGAAACGATGACTCTAGAAACGGGATGGACACTGTCTATATGTTTGCTGCGATATTGAGCTCTGAAAGGCGAGTGTTGGGTGTGGCCATGTGACAACATGTCTCGCCAGTGTATGGATTGTGTGAATTGTGGGGCGGTGATAGTATGTGGCGTTAAGCAGAGGCTGTGGTGACAACGTCCAGTATTGAAGAGAGATGATGTCGGTAACCATGCGCGCAAAAAGGATGACAGTACAGAATACGAAGGTTTGTTTTCTGTTGAGATCTCATTGTTTACGTGGACAATGCGGCATTGGTGGGGATGGTAATCCAAGATCGAATATTTGAGGATATGAAAGCGGTAATTGTCCTATACATGCATCCTTTATGTGAAAATGATTCATTCGCGAGGGCCACGTAGCAGCCGCGCATGTGGAGCATTATGTGTGCTGTTATATATACATGAACAGTGGTGATCGTCGGAATGGATTACCAAGGGCGGCAATGATCAGAATGTTTTTACAGCGCTTTTCTTTGTGACTCCGTGCGAATTGCAGGAGCCACACCTTTACTATTGAACACGTATAACGCAATGAGTCTTGACGATGGCCAACTGGCTTATGGATGTAGATGCGAGTTTGTTGCTTCCCTGTCGCTGTCCTCTATCAAAGAGTACTCTTGAGTCCACGAGTAGTCCATGTCACGATCACAGATAAACTTTGAGAGTGAGTAACGCAACTAAAGCTTAATTTTGTTTTTCCGAAAAGGATTCTTTCGCATGAACTATCGTCCGCAGATTGTAACCTACTTCCGGTCACGTACATGCTGACAGTTCTATGTTAAAAGCTTTTAAATCTTCGATAGGTCATGAGCGCATTATTTACAAGGAAGCACAATATTCGATGGTGGATCGTCACGGGATTGATGACAATCGACATCGTATACTTCACTTCTGCTCTTTGATACTATACTTACCTGCGTCTCGTGGGGGGCCACACGCCAATCAACTAATCGCAGCTGGTCTTATCGTGATATTATGTGATGAATTCATTGTAATCTTCCCAAGCTCTTAGGTAAGTAATCTGGCAGTCTGAACGAAGTGAAGAAAAGGGGCGGTAACTGCGAGATCTTCTCCTGATCCGAGGGCATTTGCTCACTGCCATGACAGTACTACTCGCACAATTCCCATTTAGTAGCGTCATGGATCCGGAATTTTCCTCCTTAATTTACTCCGTAGCGCTCTGTCCATAACTTGGCAATCACTTAAACTTTCGTAATCAGGGCGAAGCGAGCACTGCCATTATCATGGCTTGCCTTCCGGTCTCATGTATCATCTGCCGACACAGGAAACCAGTCCGAGAAGGATCCGAACAGGCGCTACGAAACCTCAATAATGTATACTAATCCTATAGATGAACGAATAGTAGATCAATAGCAAGACGACATGGGTGAAACAAGATCGGGGAGGAAGACTACTCGAGACGGTCATACTCAGATCAATATTGTGTATCAATGTCTCTTAATCCCAATCGATATGTCAGGATTAATATCGACTTCGGCGGGTGCCCCCACGTCCATCCGGGAAGGGAGATCATGAGAACAAGCAGTGTCGATCAAGTTTAGAGTGTCATATGGCCTTCGAAATGCGCTAAGCGACTGTAATATGATGTAAAATAACGAAGGGATTGATAATGGCCAACTTGTACTGGCAATCTGGACGAATGAAGGTTGTAACAGGCCAAGCATTCTTGGCAAAGATATCTTGATTTCATTCCATGTCAACAGGTTTACACACAGTGGATCTTCGTACCGCAAAAATAGTGCGCATGCACACGAAACTATATGCATTGGGCACCAATGCATTTTCTAGCATCGCGATCCTTCTGGCGAATGCGGGCTGTAATGGCAAACAGAGAGCATGATGTCTCGAAGGGTAACTCGAGAAAATTTCTAGAGCCTATGACCAGAGCAGCCAGAGCCCCATAATTTCTATCAACCTCTTTCCTATAGCTCTTGTCATAATGTTCCTGGACGCGAGAGTCCACCGACGCGAAAGGCCCTCGACACGGTCATGTAGTCGATACGGGAGCTTAACGATGCGAAAGTTTATCAGAATGTAAAGCCATCGCCTGGTAGATCATCGAAATCGATGTAGGGAGCGTCCCGAACTTCAGAATTCTATGCCTTGTATCTGAACCAAGACGCGTCCAGTGAACGTGAGACCAGATCCGCATATAGCAACCATCGACTACTACGTGGAGAACTGAAAGTGACGCTAAATCCACAATTAGTATTATCCCATACTTTGAGGATCACCACGTGTGCATAACGTACACATAAACGAGCTCAGCATGCTTTGCCATAGTCTTGGAGCATTCACCTCTTTCGATTCATACCTTTGAGGGGCTAATGTAGAAGTGTGTGAAATAGCGAGTTGTTATCTCGGCATTTCTTTGATTTATAGCGGAGAAGAAGCAAGGACTTTGTGATAATGCGTAATTTGCCCGAAACCACGCTGTGATTCGTCATAGACCAGCCCTCCTAGTCACATCATGGAATCGAGTGCATGAGCAGAGAACCATGTACATGTATATGGTAAGTCTACCGTTAATGTTTTCGGCGAAAATAAATATACACTAAATGGTCTTTTAGTTGACCAAGTTGAGCACCTCTACTAAAAGGTCTACTATCAAACGTTGGAGTAATCACTCAGTGGTATAGGAAGATAAGAGTAAACTTCTGTACTAGATATCTGTCATAGAAGAAGTGAAAGCTGGCATTAGCTCAAGAAGCTTTGGCTACAGAAGCTTGGAGAAGCTTATGTTCGAAATATATTAATCTAATAGAGCTATATATCGTAGCTTCTAGGACGTGGGCAGAACATTAATTACACAAGTTTATAGAGCGATATAGTAGAAAATAGGATCTAAGGTTTATTATTTACTCCGGAAAGACAAAACGGCGTAACTTGTGTCCGAGTCTATGCATAGTGAAGTCATTACACGAAAACAGAATACACATGACATTGAATGTTAGTCAAACCCTCGGGTTATGCTACTAGCCATGTGATGTAGGTAGAATGCCAATCTATGATATATACGGGGCACACCCATGAGGACGATCATTTATGCATGCCATTGTTAAGACAAAGTATATCCTTTACACCCGATTTCTTGGATCCTCAAAATGCAAACAAACATGGCTGCTGTACCTACCATCGACTTTCTGACGGCACCTCACCGACATTATCATGTTTCAGGAGAGCGTACGGCACCCGCGGAGCTCACCCCATCTGACATCGAGTTATACCACCCATGTATACGCAGGCTCGCGGACTGGATATACTCGAGTTTCGAACACAAAGCGGCCTTTGAAGCAGCAATCAAGACGGCAAACTCGTATGATCTACCTAAAGCCGACATTGAACATTTCTCCAGCCTTCCATGTTACCTCTCTTTCCTCTCCTCGATACTGACATGGACACCTACGGAGAATGTTGATGCCTCGGCAATCTATCATCGCTTTGCGGTGGTGTACTTTGTGCTCAATCAGCCGTCTGTGATTGTGTATCAGTCCCCCATCCGCCCGCAAGCCAGCAAGGTGCCCCTGACATGGTTGAGCACTTGGATTGTCGACTTTGGCAAGGAGTTCGGTCAGTACATGAACACTCCTGAGAGTATCTCAGAGGAGACACTGCGTACATTCGCTCAGAGTCCGAAATTCAAGATCGACGACTACGTCAAGCCGGATGGAGGATGGGCTACGTTCAACGACTTCTTTGCTCGGCACGTGAAGCCTGGAAAGCGCCCTATCGCAGTTCCGGATGATGGCTCTGTACTCGTCAGTCCAGTAGACTGCACTTACCTGGAGAAGTTCCCCGTAACGGAACGTGCAACCGTCACTGTGAAGACTGTTGAATGGAACATCGACGAACTGTTCGATGGAAGCATGTACGCCCCACATTTCGCAAATGGCACTTTGGTACATCTCTTCCTACAACCGCACGACTATCATCGTATGCATGCCCCTGTAGACGGAGTCGTTCTCGAAGCAAGAAAGATTCTTGGTGCACATTACAGCCAAATCGAAGCTGTGCCCAGGACTGAAATAGATGGAGACCATTCCTCGACACATTACATCCGCAAGACTCGACATGTTCTGTCTGGCGCCAATGACTTTGGCTATCAGTTCAACCAAACGCGAGGCCTCATCGTACTGCAAACACCGCACGGCCTGGTCGCCATAGTACCTGTTGGCATGTCAGTCTGCTCGTCCGTCGTGATCAAGCTCGAGGAGGGAGAGCAACTCGTGAAGGGCGACGAAATGGGATACTTTCAGCTCGGAGGCAGTGACATGATTGTACTGTTCGAAAATGATCCAATAGTATCTGTTCAAGAAGGTCAATATTTGCGCATGGGCGAAGAGCTATGTCGCTACATGGGAAATGAGAGGGGCCGATTTAGCGATCAGCCGGCTGGATACTTGTATCAGGACAAAGACATCGCATCTGCTGTAAAGGCCAACTCTCCTAATGATACAACTAGTATTGGTCGTGACGAGAAGACTAGCACTGACTAATGCTGGGGTTCCGAGCAGCGACCAGGGAGTGCTTGAATCGCGGGTCAAGCTACAAGGGTATACGTTGGATACTTGAGCCAATCAGAAGCATGGGTTGAGTGGGCTCATGTAGTGATGTCTCAAGCTAGTTTAGTGACTTTCAAGTCCCCACTCTCTATCAGCATCAAGTATATATAAAAGGCAACAAGGGCAGGAAATATCACATTCGTTAAGCTTTGAATTGACGATCGCTGTGTGAAGTCACATCACGCCACAGTGTCGCTCTCCAATACTCCAGACGGGAGTTGGTAGTGAAATCCGGACTCGACTGAACTAATCCGCATGTCCGTGCAGTAGCCCCTATTCCAAGTACATCACAACAACCTCCGAACAGGCTGAATTATCGCCAAAACAACCCGACAAGATGGCCTCAGCTATAATACATTGGATCATGGAGTCCTCCTTCATGGAACACCTTCACTGGGTCCCACCCCCGGAACGCACACGCTCCGAGCCAATGCAAATCCTCTGTCTCGGCCTCTCCCGTAGCGGTACCGAATCGCTCTCCCGCGCCCTTGCGATCCTCGACTACAAGCCGTAAGCCACTCTCCCAGCAGCAGCACCACCACCACCACCACACACGGCAATCTCACACCCCACAGCTACCACGGCTTCAACGCAGTCGCAGACACCGCCGACCTCGTCCGCTGGGATCAAGCCCGCCGTGCAAAATACGCCGGCTACCCCCTTGCCCTCGATACCGCCTTCTACGACTCCGTCTTGGGGCCCTACACTGCCGTGCTCGACTCCTCACCCGCCGGGTACAACGCTGCCGAGCTCGTCGCCGCATATCCGGACGCCAAGGTAATCCTCAACACGCGCGACGTCGCGGCCTGGCACGCCTCGTTTGCGGGGACGATCGTGCCTGCAATGGTATCTACGGCCCGGCCACTGGCGCGCTTGCTGTGCATGTTCGGCACGGAGCGGTTCTGGCTCGATCGCGGGCGACAGGCAGCGGTTTGTTTTTGGCGGTGTGAAGGCCCGCGTGGTATTGAGGCGAATATGGATTGGGTGTATAAGGAGCATGCAGCGATGGTGAGGGGGTTGATGGTGGGAGAGCCCGGGCGGTTTCTAGAGTGGCAAATTGGCGATGGGTGGGAGCCGTTATGTGCGTTTTTGGGAAAGGAGGTGCCGGAGGAGGAATTTCCGAGCGGGAATACGTCGCCGGAATTGATTTTGAAGATATCGGAGATGTTGCGGAAGGCGCATCGGGCGTGTTGGCGGAATTTGTTTATTTGTGTGGGTGTTGGAGTTGGGCTGGGGGCTACGCTTTATATGACGGTTTAAGATCTTTGATGTCTGATATTGCTATAAATTTTACGCACCGTATTCGTGGCGATTGGAGCTTTTTTCGGGATTATAACTAACTGAATGATTCTTCTGCTATTCATGCCAGTGCATTAGTTATTACAACGTGGATGTATCAGATAGGTAAGAGGATGATCAAGTCCAGCTCTGAGCCCTAAGATTATATCTTGCTGTTGATGAAAGCAACAATATCATCATTGTACCGATCTCCATAGTGGTAATGTCTCACATTACCACGATCTCCCTGCCACGCGCAACACTGGTTATCCTTGATCACAGTACGTATGTCGTGCATTCCTGAACCCAAAGCAGCCAAAATTGTACCACCTATGAAACAGCTACCTACAAGTCAGTATAAATCACCCGAGGAAAAAGTTTCGCTCGTCCAATTAATAGACAATAGGGGCGGGTAGCAGAACTCACCCTAATGCCTTGCGGACACGTCCTCTCCGTCCAACTCTGCCCAAGCATAAGGCGTCTCATCGCCAGATATAAACGCCACAATTACATTCTTCGCACTTTTCCTATCTATCCCCATGGCGTGCCATAGTCCGAGCATCCTCGTTCTGCACAACGTGGCCGTTATTGCCATCACCCCCAGCGAATACCCTGGAAGTACAATCATGCTTTGGGGCCCACAGCTCACCACGTATCCTGTAAGGTACTACCTGAACATATCGACGCCGGAGACGATAGCGGCTCGCATATTGTTGTTCTTGTAATTGTACTCGAGCCCGACGACAGTGAAGCCAGGGACGCCAGAAAGGATGGCGTCTCAGGTAGTAGTGAGCATGTGCAAGACGGAGGAGTCGATATCGTCGGGGAGAGATTTACCCAGGGTAAAGATAGCGTGGACAGATGCTGCACAGTCGGTGGTGATCGGGAATCAACTGCTGCGAGGGGAAGAGTGAAGGCGACGATGGTAATAATAGTGGTGAAGTGAATTGTAAAGGGAATGTGGCAATGATCCGAGAACAGCTTCGCCTAAGTTCAATCGTCCTATCGGTCAATCCTGGCCTCTGCCAGTTTGTGATATTGGGTCCAACAGTTCCTGTTGCACAGTCCATATCTTCTCTCTTCTGATACCACTCTCTGATTGAGATTAACAGAGCTATATATGCTAGACTTCTATATTGCATTTGCCCGAAATACGATAATCTGATCAAGGACATCTTAGTGACAGGGGCTGCCGATAAAATATCGGATGCAACAACGGAATGTTGACGCTGAACTTCTTAGCTTGTATCTGCTGTGGTCTTGTTTTACCCAGAGTATCTACTCCTTTTTAGATGACCGACTACTGAAGCCCTGGTAACACCGTGAAAACCATTGCTTTACAGGTTTTGACGCGGCATGTGACCTCCTATATTATATGCCGTGCAGCTTTTCTGTGCAGATCTATGTGACGTACATAGAAGTGATATAGCTGAACTGTTGAATAGCTAACCACAATTCATTAGGCCATGAAAGAGCCCATTCCATGTTCAGTAGCTGTAGTCTTGTCGACCATTTAAGGTTGTGGGACTTCTCCAGGTTTACGTGGCACTTCGGTCCGGTAGTAGGCGGCTCCAGTTTTTTAACCCCTGGTTGCCGTCAGCAAATGAGTATGGCCTCGAGTCATGAATTTTACATCTTCACCAAGCTTCGCAGACTTGGACATGTACACCAGCAGTCACTTGGCTGTGTTTCAACGATGAAACCATACTGGTGACTATGCGACTATAGTTGGCTTGTCAGCATATCACTGTCTAGAAAGTCACCGTATGGTACGTCAGTCAGAATCTTGACTTGCCTAAACACCCCTAGCACAGTCCCTCCCACATCCCTTGTCTTCTCTTCTTCGGTCCGCAGATATATTACATACTTTCCCTTCCCCATGTCTAGGCTCATCATCTCCACCAGCCGATGGGGTCCACATACGCCTTTCCCTGCTGCACAGTCTGCATGATCGCAAATCTTTACCTTCTCCTCGATCTGCATCCATGGCCCTGCAGGTTCTCACCGTCCTTGGCATGCGGTTGTACGACACTATAATTATCAAGCATTCTATTGCCCAGGTCTGCAATCGCACGAAACCCTAGGAAGTACGCGTCGTATCTCATGTCCCCAGCATTTCATACAGGAGATTCGTTATGACATTAGCAGTATCTACGCGCATACATAGAGCGTGGATGCCGAACCTCGTTCCAGGAGCAGAATAATGTCGGTATGCAACTGCCTGTGCAATCATGGCGTGCCAAAGAGCTGGACACTCGTGCTTCACGGGTAATGGATATGGGTACCAGGGGCTGGAAACAAAGATCAAACAGTTACTGAGTTTGAAGATTGTAAGGTCTCGATGGAGGTTGGTCATGATTCCCGTGCTGTATCGTAGATTGCATATAGCATATAATTACTTGTATGAATATGTCAAAGGCAGATTAACGAGATTGGTTGTTATCCTTTGCGATGCATCCCACATGAAGCAAGCCACGTTGGAGAATACTACATTGCGTTATCTGGACGGCGGGAAGGGGTCGAGGAAATGCTTGTGTCTGAGAGTTAGAGTCGTAGTAGGGACATGGATTAGTCTAGAGACATTTCAGGCACAGTTCAGGCAGCAAAGGGTTCCACACTAATATCTCCTCCCTGTACTAGTGCTAGATGGGGGCGAAAATAGGATACTTTTGTACTGTTGGTATATCAATCACTAGCGAACATCATAATTGGTGTCATGGCCTGCTCTCCATCAAAGATATTCAGGTTTAGCCACATTCACATACTTATAGACAGTCAACTATGTGCCTAGTGGCATCGTTCATAGACCAACACCTTTGTTTTCGCATTTCTGCCCAATGAAGAAACAAGCCGTTTCTTGTTGTTTTGTTGCCCAACACGTAGCTTGATACAATGATATCTGGAATACAAGCTGTCATATAGTTCAAGAATATAGAGGTTGCTGCCGACTTGGCTTAGGAAAACCTCGGGTTTGACGTTGGAAGGTGGACAAACATAATTGTGAAGGGCTGTTCATGCAAACATGCGGGTGTATGCCTCGAACTGGTGATTAGAACCGCCAGCCGCATTGATAGTCCCGGGGGGCTTTTTATAGTTGACATGCGAGATTTGCATCATGCGATAAATGTTGGAACACGGACATGAATGGACCTTTGGCATAATAAGAACACGCTACGCCCGACTGAGCTTCATCGAGCGAGACTAAGCCCATTACAGCTTAGTACAGATATCTCCCAGCAGCCCTAACGACGGTTAGGTCTCCAACAGCTCCAACAGCTCTCCAACATTACCAAATGTGTCAGCATTGCGCCCCAGCCGGTATCCAGCAATATGGCCAAGCTGCTCTCGTGTGGTCATAGATCTCATGAGTTCTCAAGGACTTGTTCCCCACGGACGAAAACATAAAGAAGCCAGATCCGTCGCCTCGCTTTTGCGCAAATCCAGACCCAATTCAGACGCCACAAGATCTTTGCAATATGGTAGCTGCACCTCATGTGTCTCGCTGTGATACTTGTCGGATACGGAAGGTCAAGGCAAGACATACACGTACTAAACCTCAGCTCGACCACGAAATAACATGAGGCAGTGCGACGAACAATGGCCGGTCTGCACACCTTGCATGAAAAGTGGCCGTGATTGCCCTGGCCCACCTGATCGCTACAAGTTCATGAAGTCCCGGAGGAAGTTCCAGAAAGAGAAATCTGTTTCAGGTAGTCCTAATGATGACCAGGGTAATTCCATCACTTCCCCAAATGAGCCAATCGATGAGACGTCAGCAAGCTCGAATGGGATTATAGTGAAAGTCTCTAGTGGACATCTCTCCTGGAATTACACCGATGTCCAGATCAAGAAGCCAAAGTCCGTGTCGCTGGCACGTGGAAGTCCACAAGTCGTAACCTCTTCCATGCCTATGCTCATGTCAATGACACGGTCCGAGATGCTGGCGTGTGACCTCATTGGAGCCTTAAGCATGGACGCCATAGACATAAGCTCGAAGACGTTCTGCTTCAGCCATTTGTTTAATGAGCTACCCAGATATCTGGGAGTGTCTCCAGCCCTTGACGCGGCCACAGAATGCATCAGCGCCAGTGTCAAGGGCTGTTTGTCAGGCGACGACGCCTACTATGGTAATTTTATATCTCGAAAGTATGGCAAGGCTTTGCAGCTACTGCGGGAGGCGATTAAAGACCCTGATCAGCGCTATTCTGACTACACACTCGCAGCGATCATGATTATATGGCGCAACGAGGGCTTCTTCATGGACAATCCTTATTGGCTTTGGACTTCGGGCCATATGCAAGCCATCTATGACTTGATCAAAATCCGGGGCTGCGGAAATCTTGACAACACATTCAGCTTCCTCCTCCTGCTGGATTGCCAGACAGGTATTGTAAGTTTCTATGTGTCACGGTTGCGTATTTTATATCTGCTAACGTTAATCCTAGATCGGTCACTCCATGTATGTCATTGATGAAACAACTTGAGTCTAGCCGTTAACGCCACATGTAGCTACACTGGGCAGCCATGCTTCATGGATTCTCCAGACTGGCAGGTTGCTCTTTCTCCTCGCAACGGAAGGAGTGATATATCAATGTTGTACTACTCCGTCCATAGAGAGACAACTCGATGGGGCAGTCTTCTTAAATCCATTGCCACGATTCGTGATACTCCAGACCCCGGAGCATGTCCCGACCTACCGAGTGCTCTCAACCGAGCGATTCAGATATCACAAACATTACGATTCATCGATTCACGCATCGAAGACTTGATCAAAGAAACGACGACCATACAACCATCGGAGACAGGTGATGAACTGGTACCACTTGTGTATCATTTCAAAGATCCAGCACTCGTGGGATTGATCGCGTGGCATACTACGTATGCTATTTCCATTAATCGGGCTGTCCAGTACCTCTTCTCTCTATCAGCACAGTCCTCAGGAAATCTATTCGAAGCTGTGAGCGAAGATAAGATGATTTTTGATCTGTACCAAAAGCGCAACCTCGCGCTGTGCCGTCGTTGCTGGATGTGCTTCGAGCAGGTACGTCATTGGAAGCCACTCGGGTGTCACTTTCTTCTTAGTCCTCTTCGAGCCAGCGCACGTTACGCAGATACGCCAGAGATGAAGGCTTGGATCGATACGGCTTCTCGGGACGTAGCTGACTACCTACCCTGGCGAAGTCCGTTCAGCCAAGAAGCAATTCAGGAATGGTGCCGGAAAGTGTGCGGAGAGGATGTCTTCTGACACGACGTACCAGCGTATGATGTGCCCAGTGCTGAGATTCCGGGACAGACCATAATCTGAAACCCAAGACGTATGCCATCCAAGGCTTGTTGACATGAGAGTAGCCGAACCATGATATGCTAAAAACTGACTTCCGCCCCTGTATCGTGCGATTGATTTCGTTATCCTGCCACCGATCGAGGGCCACCAGCATCGATGACCCAATGACCGGAGTAATAGTGGTGGCGTACGTACTTGTCAAGGCCTGTTAGCTGTGCGGCCTCAGGCAGAGACTATTTCGCCGTGTCCGGGCCGTGGCAAGTGCGGAACAAGCTTGGCATAGGCGCATGAAGACGTTTGAAGAACCTCGGCCCCTGCAACCTGCACCCGCTTCCATTCACGTCACCGCAGCCATCCAGGAACCGCCGGCTCAGCCATCCGCCATTTACATCACACGCGATTCATACAGACATACGCTTGTCCTTTCGAGGCTCATCTGCACCCTCGCTTCGAGTATCAACTCACTAGCTCTGGGGTAGTGTCCCATCGGCCCCATCTCGACGATCCCGACTATGTATACATCACCGTCCCCACCGCCATGAATCTCGATTCTATTTCTCGCCTTCTCGCGAATCCCCTCCCGCAGCTCCCAACTTCATCCACGTCATACCAACGATGAAGACGTACTCTATCGTCGCCCTCGCCGGGCTTGCCAGTCTTACTGCCGCCCAGGGTACCCCAACATGTGTGGATGGCGCATATGTGATTGTCGCACGCGCCTCTGGTGAGAAGCCTGGATACGGCATACTGGGCCCCGTGAAAGATGAGATTCTGAGCCGCGTGCCGGACTCTACAGCCACGGCGGTTTCCTACCCGGCCACCATCACAGATCCGCCGTACACAGAGAGTGAGCCGGAGGGCGTGGGCAACATGACGGAGTTGGTGAAGGCGTATGGTGATGCGTGCCCGGATGGTCGGATGGTGTTGATGGGCTACAGCCAGGTATGTCGATAGTGCCATGCCAGGGTGTGTTTGGGATTGACAGCAGTATTGATTGACACACGTTACAGGGAGCACAAGTTGTGGGCGACGTCCTCCTCGGAAACAAGATTGATTTCTTCCCGATCACGCAGCCGATCGACGAGAAATACCGCAACCAAGTTACGGCTGCAATTCTGATGGGCGACCCGACGTTCGTCAAGAACGAGCCTGTAAATGTGGGCAACGCAACCAACGTCTCGACATTCCCACGTCCGAATAACGACTGGGAAGAGTTGGGCTTGGTCGGCCGTGTGCAAAGCTACTGCGATGCACGCGATTACTTCTGCGACCGCGGCGACAGCGTGGAAATTCACGTCAGCTACATCGGCGAGTACGGCACTACGGCGGCGGACTACGTTGTTGGCAAGTTCAACGGCAGCGATACCGATGGGTCGAGCTCGATGACGCCGTCAGCCACGCCAACGAGCAGTGGTAGTGGCCAGCCTACGGCCAGCGAGACTGGAGCTGCGGAACCAACCGGCACAAGCCCGAGCGGCACAACTGGAACGGGTGCTGCACCTACGCAGACCGGCACTGCTTCGCTGATGCAGGGTGGTAATGCAGGCATTGTCGGCGCCGGTGTGATGGCGCTTGTTTTTGTGCTTGGATTGTGCTAGACGAGTTTGTACGACTTGAAAATGCTATGACGAGACGTGTACGATTTGTTGGAATCAGGCATAGATCAGATTTGGTTGATAGATGGACTGACTAGACATTATACAGCGAATATAATACCCATAGTTGAGAGTGATAGGATCCTACATGGCACAATGTTGACATCGACTAATTTGAGGATAAGAGACTTGAAGTTCTACCATTCACATACCCACTTCTATTTATATAAAGTTCATGTCCCACAGCTTTATTGTAGCAGTAAGCCACCGTGTGTGATCTAACACCTACCAACTATCTATAACTGTAGCTCTTTATAACCTCTACTTCTATTTGACCTCTAGTTTATATAACCTCTATTTTATATAACCTCTCCTCTAGATAATCCCTACTGTATATAGTCTCTTCTCTATATATCTTTGGCTATTTATACCCCTTGTTGATCTAATACCTGCCTACCTACCCTCTCCCTCGATCCCTACTTCTAATTTCACTCTACATACATCGCTACTAACCGAGACCAGGCCGGATTCGCTGCCTTTACTATGTGTACACATAAGTTCTGTTTCTTCTATTTGTTCTATTTGTTCTATTTCCTCTACTGCGTTTATACTCTGTACTATATACTATCCTGGACTAATAATCGGGCATCATAGAGTAAAGAGCAGAGATAGAAGAGAATATAAGAGCGAAGGGGGGGAAATAGGGAGTAAGGAGTAAATGACTAGTTCAATTCTGGGTCGGGTGCCTTCCTCTATATATTCTATCTATATCTTAAAATCTCATATATGTTGTATCTACGCGGTTTGTAGTAAGAGATGGAGATGGATAAAAGAGGGACTATAAGGATCTGCTACTATTTCCGATGCTCTGGGGTTTGTAGAGAATAAAGTGGATGGAAGAAGAGAATGGAATGAAGGGATGGTAAGAAAGAAATAGAGACAGAGAGAGAGTGTGTGTGTACGTGTGTACGAGCCAAAGAAACAGTAAACAAATGAAAGTCCCGCACCCTCCAAGCTTATACCAGCCCCCAGGTCCCCCCACCCCTATTTCCCCAAGTGTAAAACTACCGCCTCTACGCCGGAATCCCACACCTCTTCGCACAATCCTGACTGAGCGTCACAAACGTACTCGGAATACTATCCCTCAACTTGGAAATCTGCTCAGGACTCAACGTATCCAGCTGATTGCCCGTCGCGCTAAACTCGGTATCAGCAGGCAAGCCACTGAAAAACTGCGCCGCAATCTCCGCGCGCCCGGGATCCGCGTCGTCAAACGCGGCCGCAAACACGGCGGGCTCGCACTCGTTGTTGAACTGCCAGTGCACCTTGCCCTTGGGGAAGAGCATGCCGGTGTAATTCGCGAGCACGGCGTCCGCCTGAGCGATGGCGGAGGGTTCGATGGGGTTGCCGCCGTTCGCACCGACGACGTTTCCGAAGCCGGAGTCGCGCTCAAGCATGACGGAGCCGATGAGGGAGCCCTGGACGACGGTGAGGAACTCGTTTGCGCGCGGGTGGATGTGGGGCGTGTTGAGGGCGCAGGGGTTCATGAAGCCGATTGCCATGGCGACCGAGGAGCCCTCGAGGGCGGGGAAGCTGGCGAGGGTGGAGAGGAAGATTGTGCCGCCGGTGGGCGGGGCGACGGTGTTGTTGATGAATTGGAAGGTGATGTTTGTGGCGTCGGGGGGGCTGGGGAGGAGGATGGATTGGCGGGCTTGTTCGGTGCCGGCGAGGATGAGGGCGGCGCGCTGGGCGTCGCGTTGGGACTGGGTGTAGGCGCCGTTGGCGGTTTTGGGGTTGATGGTGCGTTTTGCGAGGCTTGCGGGCATGCTGTTTGGGTTGGGGGAGGTGGTGGTTGTAAGGGGGGAGGCGAGGGAGGTTGCGATTAGGGAGGCCGCGAGGGCGGAGGTGAGGAGATTGAATATCATGATGATGATAGATGGATGGATGGAGGAGAAGACTTTGGTCTTGTGAAGCTGTGCTGTTGAGAGGAGGAGATGGGATGAGTGGCTGTTTGATGCTGTTCTCTCGAGAAGAAGCAGTTGCTTCTTATACTCGAGATATGTCTATACAATCAGACCGAATGAGTCTCGACCAGTCCATGATTACTTCTTCATCGAAGCTACGGAACTTGCGATGCCGTGAGGATGCTGTTAGGATAAGCAGAGGCGTCAGTGGGAGTCATGTCGTTGGTGGTTGAGAGGGTCTCGTGGGCTTCGTGGACGACAGAGTGCCTCAGGGGTGCCGACTTTGACGATGCACATAGGCATAGTCTCTTCAGCTGGGTGGATCAAAGCTTGTGAAAAGCTTGGATATCGTAAGCTTTGAGCTCTGAGACAAAAAACGGGTCCTGATCTGGTCGATGACGACGTCTTTCTCTTAAGTCATCCTGATAGATGTGTTGGGGGCGTAGATAAACCCCCAGAGATACTCGGCGGTAAGTCCAATGTGACAATCGTGTATAGCAGCAGTGAAGGTAGTAACTCTTAACATGTTATAAGAGCTTCTTGAGCATAGTCTAGAAGGGTGAGTATGTAGTAGTAGAAGACCTGAGAGGTTGAGGTACCTTCTCGTGTACCAGAAATGCAACAGTCTCTAAGGAGAGTCTAACAGATCTCCTTGAGAAGTAGCACACAGTCCTCCTTGCGGCAGGCAGCCGAATGTCTGAGTGAGCTACCGTCAGCCAAAACGGACATGTCTTGCATGTAGTCGGTGAATCGTCAATAAGATGATGCTTATTTTCTTTCCTTTACTCTGGTAAAGTCAGGAATGACGTCTTCTCCACGAGTGAGTGTACAGTCGGGTGTTCGGCACAATGTACAAAGCCTTACTGCTACAAGAGTATCACCATCAGAGGAAGCTGACATGTTGAGGAGTGAGAACTGCGGCGTTTGAACGCGTGGCAATTTGCTCACGGAGAGTTTTGAACTGTACCTAATGCTAACAGACTTGGACTTCGACGTGCCGACAGCCGGGTGTTGTGCACAAGGCAAGCCATCCGTATCGTGTTTTACTTGACTAGTCGGCTTGGTGGATTTCATTCTGATTCAGAATAGTCGTAGTAGGGAATCAGTTTTGGTCAACGTAATCGGCGACGAAACGGGCCGGGGCATAGTATCGCATATACAGCTCACGATGACTCGCGCAGCATCGCTGGATATGCAAGACTTCTCCAGAAAAACATGTAAACCCAAGACCATGGTACAAGATCCTCCCAATGAACGGTGGTCAGGTTAATGCCACGAGGCAGACCGGGATGTTGGAAGCAACGGCCGGGAAGACGCAGCAATGACTAGAAACCACCATATCAGGCTTCCACATGGATTGGCTGTCTCACCATTGTAGACAGCCATAGCTGACCAAAGGAGCACGCGGTCTCAGCCTTATGGAGTAGTAAGCAGGTACTCGAGCATTGTGATGCCGATAACCGATCCGTCTTGAAGGCCGAGAATGACGAGGCGTCCAGGGTGTCAGCGCCGAAATGGGTATGTCAGCCTGAGGTGAGGCCAGTCCTTACAAGTTTTCCTATTTGGTAAGACTAGGGCATCGGTTTAGGTTTGTAATTGTGAATGCGTCTGGTGCTTATAATTCTGTCGCTATATTGTTCTGGAATTGATAAATTGTCGAGGCCATGTACACTGTACACATGAGCTCCGTTGAAATATATTAGGCCATCACCATCTGCAGTAGACTCAAGCTTCGTATCACTAGAGTCCAAGAATCTTCTTTATGACTTGTAGGCACCTAAGGGACCTGCGTGGGGACTTTGATACGAGTGTTTTTTCTTGAAGTTATGACGGCTTTTGTCATAACTTTATGTCGCAGACAAGTGCATGCTAATCGGACATGAATTCCGCTGAAGCCATTGCAGACTCACATGCGCACTCTATGTGGGCAGGTAGGGGATGGAAAGAGCTGAAGATACTACTAAGATATGTGATCCTGGTGTGATGAGAGCATAAGGTAAGGTTGAGAGGTTGTGTATATACGGTACCTGAGGCACTTTTGCTGCCTAAGACATCAATAACACCCAAGGCAGACATGAAGCCTTAGACAGGAATTACACCTCAGGCATCAAATACACCCCAGGCACGAATCACAGTCTGATACCCCACAATTTATGCGGGAGCGGAGCGGAGCAGCGTCTATAAATAGAAAGCGAAGCATCAGCAGCGAGTTACAGCGAGATGCAACATATCATGCATCTTCCCGCAGAGCTGAATGACATGGACATGAAGAGATTTTATTTATTGAGCGGCGAGACGCAGCTGACAGACTGGCCACTGCGGTGGTACGGTACGGTGAAGGATGGGATCCCACACAGGCCAGTGGATGGCAAGCCATGAGCGAGGCGACGGGGAGTGTAATAGGTAGACACAAAGGAGTAGAGACAACAGACAAGGCTGTAGAGGCCCCCAAAAGCAGAAGAGTATTAGTGCATGTTGGAGATGTGGTGGCCTATTACCAAAATGTCCGTCCCCTAGGAACACAGCCACCACCAAAGGCCCACAAGCACTCTACGACTCCAACAGTCCAACCGCCGATAAGTGGTGGACTGGGTTTGCAGCATTACTGGAATCGGCAGTGGAAAGGGAATATAATTTCCATTACCAGCTGCACCGGCACGTGCGGGAACAATCGTCCTGGCTCCTCCTATCGTCCTTGGCTGGCTGGACTAGGGCTGAGACAAGAGAGAGAGAGAAGACTGATGGGAGAGACAGAGTGAGTGTGTAGGGGCTACCTGATACTGCTGCACATCGCCCAACCGTCAACATCCATCATTCATCATCCAGCAGAACTGAGACGACGAGTATTTTACCGCTCAGCCAATCGTCCTGCGCGACCAGACATTCTTCTTCTTCTTCATCTTCTTCCTGACCGAGTACGTGCGAGCGAGTGTGCGTGCGGCCCCCCACCCTCTCCACACACACACTCACTTACTCACTCTCATCCCAAACACTCTCCTTTCGCACGCGCATCTCTACTGAAGGCTGATTGTGCCTCGACTTCTGCTGCTTCTGCCCGTCCAGCGACTGCCATGCCCTCATTCTTTAGCAGCAAGTCGTCGAGCAACAAGTTGCAGCCTTCGCAGGGCAATCCGTCCAGCCAGCAGTCTTCGTCGACATCCAGCTCAGGTGCGTGTGTGTAGCTGTCCCCGAACTCTGTTGTTCCCAAGGCCCACTGTCCGTCCACTTTGCCCACCAAGCTGACTTGTTGCAATTTCATTTCACAGCCCTCGACCCCCAGGATCGTCGGTATCAGCAACAGATTGTTGATCCATCGCAGCCTCGTCCTCATCCTTCTCGCTCGCAGAGTCATAGACATTCTTCCAATCTATCGCTAGACCGCCCGCCTGTGAATGTCGCCGCCCAGGTAAACGCCGCTGAAGCTTCCCCGCCATCGCAGCAATACCAACAACAACAACAGCAGCAGCAACAACAACAACAACAACAACAATTACAGTCTCAACAGGCTCAGCAGGCTCAGCAGGCTCAGCAGGTTCAACAGTCTCAGCAATCCCAGCAACAGCAATCCCAGCAGCAGCAGCAGCAGACACAGCAGCCTCCCCCACCTCAGCAGGACCATCGTCATTCATACCTGCATCACCACTCCCCAGAAGGCCCGCAGCAGTATAGAGGAGAAAGAGGAGACAGAGGAGACAAGGGCGAGAAGGAGCATCACAAGTCCAAGTCTATCCGTCATAAATTGTTTGGTTCGTCTTCGTCAAAAGAGCCACCGTCTGTACAGAATCAAAACCTCGCAAACCAACGGCCAGTTAATCGCAGGGTGTCGTTGAGAAAGTCGGACGGCCAGCCAAGGTATCCCACACCGGGCGAGGAACAGCAGCGTCTACAGCCGCAGAATTGGAACCAGAGACAGGCGTCCAACACAAACTTGACTACCTCTGCCGAAGAGGACGAATCAAACCTTGACCCGTTCTTGCAACAGCCTGCTGCTGGCAACTCTCCACAGATAGGACATACCCCGCAGGTACCTCTTAAAGATTCTGCCTACAGTCAACAGCAGGCCTTCGGTCAACAGCCCCCGCCAGAACAGTTTCGCGACCAGTATCGCCAGACTCCAGCTCGTCTAGACACAAACCAAGGCCAGTATCCACCAAATCAAGCCAACTCTGCCAATTATAGCCCCGAACAGCAAAGCGGAAGCAGTGGGAACAGTGCACAGCCGCCGCAAGGTACCTTTATCTCGTATTCTCAAAAGGACAACCCTCAATCGCCCGTCCAGGGACAGCAAGCCTACCACGCATTCCAGCCTCAACCACCCCCTCCCCACGGACAACCACCTGCCTACGTTGCGCCTCACCAGGATTCCCAGCAATACCAGCCCCTGCCCCCACAGGTCCCTCTAGGCTTTCAAGAGAGTCAAGTTCTGAGGAGACCAAGCCAGCAATTGCATTCCGGGGAGAAGCCAGTTCATCACCCGCAGACTCAAGATCCACAGTTGCTGGGCAGGCCACCTTCCGCCCAACAGTTCAATCCTCCTTCGCCAGCGGGCTACCAAGCCTACGAACCACAGGCCGGCGCTCAGGATTCAACGACCCCGAACGAGGAACCAAATCCGATGGCACCTCCACCGTCTCATAACAGGAACAACATGCGATCGGGGGACATGGGAAGTCAGAAGCTGCCAGGGCCACCGACGCGAGAAGGCTCTCTGCAGATACCACCGGGTGCGCCTGGTCAAGCTGGGAATGTCTCGCCCGGAGTTGCTGGCTTCACCGCTGGCGTTGTACCACAAAACTCCCAAGGACAGCCGTATAGAGGTAATGGTAAGACTGAGGGAGAGACCGGGCGGGAAACTCCGCGTCCTGCGTCAGACATTAATGAGGAAGATTATGACAACTTGCGCAAAGAGCATGAGATACTCCGTGAGTGGACATGCATGTCGTGCAAGTGATTTGACCTGCTGAACACCGACACAGGCGAAAAATACCAAAAAGTCAAGCGCTATTTCTTCGACCAGCAGTCGCAGGTTCACCAGCTCCAGAATACGCTTGCAAACCAGCGCATGTCAATGTCACGAACATCGCTGGATGATTCTGAATATGCTGCTCGGTTCAAGCGGCTCGACGGTCTCGTCGCCCAGCTCGCCCACTCCATTCGCAAGAACTGGAAAGGCATTCCGCCGTGGATGCACGGCTCAGTCAACAAAGAGGCTGTCGGCCTCGGTGCAAAGGAGATGATTGTTGTTGGACGCTCCGTGATTGCAAATTGGATACACCGCGAAGTCTTTGAGAAGTACTTCCATCCAGACCTTGAGTCCGGCCTCAGTACACAGCTGAAGACCATGCAAATCAACATCAAACGCTTCAGCCCCCCTGTCCACTCGGCCGAAGAAGAAGAGGCCCTCATGGCCAAGATCATCAACTGGCGCATGACCACTCTGGAAGGCCTGTCCGACGTCCTGCGATCCCCTCAAGCCACGACAAACCGCCAGCGTCTCATCGAGCTCCTCAACGAGAGTCTCATCAGCTTCCTCGAAATGTACCTCCAGGAAGCCGCCAGCCCGGAACTACACGGCAACGTGCCCATGATCATCGAGCTCGCCGTCGGCATCGCCCTGCACCTCCCCCTCGAGTCCCGCGACGTCAACATCGACTACTTCGAGCCCGGCACCCTCATCAACCCCGAACTCATGACCATCGAATCCAGCATCGCCGCCCTCACGAACCCGTACGTCGACAACAACGACGCCGACTCCGCCAGCGCCGCCAGCGACACTAACGCCTCAGACGCCGACCCACAACAGGCCAGCAGCACCAGAGACGACCAGAAGCGCTCCAAGGGCATGTTCGGTGGCCTCATGGGCTCCAGCAAGCCCAAGCCCGGCGGCAAGATTGCATCTGGTGTCGGCGGCGGCAGCCAGGTCAGTCTGAGTGCGCCCGGGAGCTCGAACGGGCCAAAGGAGGAGCAGCCGCAGCGCGTCAGGCTGGCGGCCGGTCTCAGCGTGCAGATTCGTGGCCGCAGCGTGCTTGTGAAGGCGCCTGTCTATCCCACCTTTTATCGCGAGTGAGTGAGTGGGAAGAGAGGGGGCGTGTCCCTGAGATGACGTGCGTGTATCCTGACGAGACATGTTTAAAATGCTGGATGTGGATTGGTTTAGACGTGATGTGATGTGATGTGTTGTGATTGGATTGAATTGAATCGGATCAGACGTGATTGGATTGGATTGGATTGGATTGGATTGGATTGGATTGGATTTTTTTTTCGGTTGTGCTTGATCGATTGGATTACTGTCTGCCTGCTAGATTTGCCTCGCCGCTTTGGGACCTTGGGATACTACATACAGTAAGTATACTAGCTAGCTAAAGCACCTACGGAACGGACCTCTCTGCTTGGATAGGATAGGATAGGATACGGTTGGCTTATAGTGTGTGGATTGTGTGGATTTGAATTGGATAGACATACTACACTGCGCCGTTGGGGAATAAAAATCAAATTGAAGTTGAAGTTGAAATTGAGATTGAGATTGCGAGCGTGTGTCGACGATGACGATGACGATGACAACGACGAGCTCTCTTTTCCCGTTTCGTATCTTTACGACCACTGGCACCAGCCCGAACGAATAATCCTCCCTTTCTTTCCTGTTCTTCTTACACTTGTGGGTGGTGTGGTGTGGTGTGGTGACGTGATATCTCGTTCTCATAGCTTACAACAACACAATAACACACGTATGTATACACACATCCCATCCCATCCCATCCCATCCCACCACATCTCACCGCACCCGTCCCGTCAAACTCAACGCCTTGCCCAACCCCACAACCCTCAAGCTCTGCCCTCTCTGCACCATGCCCGTAGCACCACCTCTACCCCCCGGCCCACCAAGCCCAAGCCCAACACCAGCACCAGCACCAGCACCAACACCACCAGGTCCCACCCTACCAGCCATCAAAGCCGCACTCCCACCCACACCCTGCGCCTCATCCCAGCGGCGAAACACACTGCGCATATCGCGCGGCACGCCCTCGAGCACGACAGTGCTAACAGGGATAAAAGGCCTGTCGTCGAGCGAAGCGGCGAGGATGGCGTAGTCCTGTGCGAAGAGCAAGGCCGTGGCAAAGGAGGGGGATTGGGAGGTTGAGAGGGGGGCTAGGATGCTGTTTTTGCGGTTAGTAATTCTTTTTACTTTCATCTTTTTTCTTTGGAGAGGACAGAAAAAAAGGGGGGATGGGAATGGGGATTATAGGAGAGGACAAGCAAGACGTACATGTAAATCTCGAAAAAGGCGTCGAGCACGTAGACGCCGTCGCTTTCGAGGTCGGACTGGCAAAAGGGGGCGATTTCCTTGACGTCGGTGCGCCAGGATGACGACGGCGACGGCAGGGGCTTCGTCGGGCTGCTGGGTAATGGACTGCGGAGGATGGTCGCCTGCGGAGATAATGTTGGTGACTGCTGCGCTAAAGGAGGTGGAGGATCATGATGATGGTGAGGAGGAGGAGGTGGAGTTGGAGGAGGAGCATCAGGCAGACTATTCGGACTTGCCGGCAGGAAGCTCTGCCAACTCGGCCTCCGCGCCCCAAGAAACTTCGAGAACGAGCTCACCTGCGTGCTGAGAAACGCCCCGGCGCCGCCACCTCCACCACCGCCGGCCTGCTTCGGGAGCGTCCTCGATTGTTCGACGCGGTACAGCCGGGCGCGGTAGCGCTCGCTGCCGGCCTTGTACCGCCAGTGGTCGGCGCTTCGCGGCATGCGCTGGCTCTCGTGGCCCGGGAAACAGTTTAGGAATGCGCTGGTTTCCATGCCTTCGTCAATCTCCAAGAGCTCGCCGGATTGCGCGAGATCCATGGCGATGAGCCGTGCGCCCGAGACTTCTTCGGCAGAGCTGCCAATACCTTTCCACACGAAGGCGGAGGATTGTGGTGCGGCGACGACGAATGGAAAGCCGGAGCAGAGGGACTTGAGCGCGAGGTCGACTTCGTCGAATGCGAGGTGGCCGAGATGACGGCGGCCGCAGAGCATGAAAGGCTTCTTTGAGGATTCGCGGGAGCCACGACGGGTGATGATAATGCCACCGAGCGCCTCGAAGAATTGCGGCGGCTCTTTTCCTTGTCGGACGAGAATGACGTCTTTGACGCCGTTGTCCCTGGCGTGTTGCCGACCGTATTGCTGGGCGTCCTCGACGACTGTATCTGAAATTGTGGCGCCCACCCAGAGGAATACCTGTGCGGCTCTGGGGGACTTTTCGGATGAATAGAGGTGTGTCGAGAGATACATTTCCTCTTCAAAGAGAACGTGTTCTTCTTGTATTGGGATGTGTGAGAGCTTGCCCTCGGGGCTTAGTTCCCAGATCTGATTTCGCAGCGATTTGATCTTTTCTGTAGAGAGGGGCGAAGATTGGAGAATGCGTTGGGTGTCAATGTGTGAGGGTAGACTACCGGAGGTATCAGGGGGCGTATCGAAACGATCTGAGAAGATGTTATCGGGATCTTCCTTGCTAGTAATAGGCGAGGGTCTAGGGGAAGGGCGAGGTGAGGGTCGAGGTGAGAGCTGAGACGACGGTATATCGAATCGCGGGCTTGATTGCGATGGAACAGGTTTTGACGTCGCGGATAATGGCGGAGTTGATACATGTGGCCGTTGAGCAGCAGATGTTATGAAACCAAGACCAAGTCCCGCCGGCCTTTGAGACTGCGGCTTTATAAGACCGGCCTCTTCTTCTGCAGCGCGCTCGTCAGCACGAGTGGGCAATTTGATAGGCTCTCTGCTTCTAGATACCTCAGGGGATGCAGAGGCCGACTGACGGCCCCACAGAGAGGTAGCGCTCTTCACAGACACGTTAGACAGATCATCTACAGCTTGTTCATCCCGGGCTTCCTTCTTCTCTGGCGTGGCAGGGATCGGCGTTGGAGGTAGGGCCTTTGTCAATGATGGCTTTGGGGAGGGTACAGGCAGTGGTCGTTTGACTTCGACACTTATCTTGACGGGCGTCTGTACGTTCGGCTTCGGGAGCTCTCTCAAGTCTGTGTTCTTAGACGGCGTCTGTAGAGGACTATCGTCATGCTTAGCCTTCTCGGCCATACTGAACCGATTGAACGCGACCTTTGTTGGTGACTGTCTTTTGACCTCTTCAATTCTGCTTTCGCTGTCTTCGATGACAGGACTTCTTGAGGCGGCTGCGGTCCGGTTTGCTTGGAGGTTTTGACTAAATCGGTTCAAGACACTTTTGCTCGGTGACGTCCGTCCAGAGGTGTCAAGAGACGGGACTGCCCGTTCGATGACGACATCTCGACTAGACCGAAGGCTCGAGGGTGACGACTTGGCCTCTTTGGAAGATTCTTCAAGACTCGCAATAGAAACTGGCGTAGAGACTCTCTTCAGTAACTCGGGTGACTTGGGAGAAGGTTTTGGTTTCTCCGGTTTCTTCTCCTCATCGGCGGATTTTGCTGGAGTCCAAGGCTTCGACATGGAAGGTATTTGGGGAGATTTGATGCTTGATGCTGGTGATGCTGGCTCAATGTTAGATCCTTTGTTGGTAATAACATCCGTTGCCTTTACTGAGGGTGCCAAATGTATCGAGGAAGCCGGCGATTGTGGTGTTTTCTCCTGAGTTGTTGGTGTAGGCTCATTCTTCGACTCCGCAGGCTTCGAGGTTGGTGCTCGTCGCTTGGGGCCTTTTGCCCGTCCCTTGGTCATGTGAGTGAGTTCCTTGGCAGGGGCATCGTCTTTATCCGTAGAGACAGGTGTCAATCTCTGGTCGTGGACGGATCTAGCATCGCTTGGTTTCGACGCAGAGGAGTTAGTTGCAGGCGACGGCCCACGAGCAAGCATGCCCGCAAGAGCAGGATTGAATCGATCCGCAAGCTTGCTCGACTTCAAACCAAAAGCTGGCTCTTTGACGTCGGGCACTTGCTTCCCTGGCAGTACAGGCTTCGGCTTGTCCTTCAAGCTGGCCTGCCTTGCAAGAGCTTCAGGCTGAGGCTGTACCGGCCTCTCCTTGGGAGCATCCGATCTGCTGAGGGTTTTCCTTCGCGCAATGCCTTCAGGAATGGGCGCCGCCACAGGCTCGGGCTTTTTCGTGACTGCAGAGCCAGTCTCAGCGACTTTCGTCTTGATTTCTTCCTTCCGCGCCAGCAAGCTTTCCTTCAGTTCGTCGCGCCGTACACGAGGCTTTGGGCCACCTGTGACGGAGAGATCGTTCTTGCCTCGTAGAATAGTGTCTTTGAACGTATCTGGCGCCTTGTAGTTCTTGGTTTCAGCACGCTTCAGCTTCCCAAAGGCAGCGCGGAACTCCAATTCATCGCTTTTCGATCCTTCGGCTGGTAGCTGCCGGGGTTTCAGATTCGCGCGAAAGTCCTTTGGGGGTGTGTTGGGCTTCGATTTTGTCGTGGGAGGGTTTGGACGGTTCTTGATGGGCTCTCGGGGTGAGGACGTCTTGGGAGCTACGGCTTCCTTCTCCTTGGGCGACAGGATAGCTGGCTGGACTTTAGAAACGGGGACAGGCGTTACTGGATCCACCACCTCGAGGACTTTGACTGGCGCTGAAGGTGACTTGACACTACTGGATGTCGGACTGGATGGCGGTGGAGATGTTGCTGACTTGGAAACGTCGACACTTCCTCGTTGTTGTTTTGCCTTCAGGTCGGCCATCCAGCTTGGCGTGGAGGGCACAGCAGATTGTTTCGGTTTCGGCTGCTCTGCAGGTTTGTTCAGCGCACTTTCAAGCCACGAAGACTTCGTAGGACTCCAGCGCTTCGAAGGGCTTTGCGGTTCACCGGCATCGCTTCTCGCATCGTCCATATCAGCTCTTGAAGTCACTGACCTTCCTCGGCTGTGGTGGGGGAGCGCAGGCTTCCTGAACCCTTCCACATCAGTCTTACCCTGGCTGATTGATGCCGAGTTGTCCTGCGTGACGGTCATATTGCTATGGCTTGAGCCTGGTCTTGAATTCGGTTCCAGAGAGTTACCCCGGCTCAGACTGCTTGGTCGCGCTTCGAAGGCTTGCGCGAAAGCCGCCTGCGAAAAGCTCACGGGCCTACTGCTGTTGCTCGCAGTTGAGCTTTGCCTGCTCAAGCCAGCACCTGGCTGCGCACTCCATCTTTTGCTTTGGCTGTCAGTCCTCCGTAGCATCGCGCTCTGTACAAAGCCGCCCATGCCTTTTGTCGGGGATGGGGTGCGGTCCCTAGGAATGCGCTCGGGAGAAATTCTTCCTTGGGATGGCGACATCGCGACACTATGTGGCCTCTCGACACTTCCTTCTGGACTCCGTTCTGAGGGAGGGCTAAACCTTTGGGACTCCAAATTTGGCAAGACGCTCTTTCCTTCAGCTGCACTGACAGTAGACACCGAGGTTGTGCTTGACATCCGATTACTCCAGGCAGTGCTAGCACGCACCGAGCCAACATGAGACGGTGAGCTTGACCGGAAGCCGTCTGGAGGCGGACTCGAAGGACCTTCGGGCTCTGGGGTAGACTCTATCGACAGCCCTGGCAATTGTCGTCTTGCGCTGCCATGCCCTGGTGATGCAGGCGTACGACCATGCGAACCTGAGCTGTGCTGACCCCATCGATCAGTGTCTGGCGTTTCAACCTCTACTTGACTCTTTCTATACGCTGCCGAGCCCACTCCTCTGTCTGCCGTCTGCCTAAACCAAGTAGGATCTTTCGCACCTAGTGACTGTGCTATCTGACTTCGTGACATTGTTTGCTCATCGTCTGCTTGTGGTTCAGGTGTTCCACGTGGAGATTTTGCGGCGATATTTTCTGCAGCTACCATTGAGAGCGGCCTCGATCGCACCGAACCTCTTGATTTAGGCCTCTGCTGCCATGAAAGTGTCCCAGAGCGGGCGAGTCCTGGGCCTGCTGATGGCTTGGAGGGTTCTGGTTGTTCATTTGACTCTTGACTAGCAGTCTGGATTGGTGCTGGAGCGCGTCGCGTGCGGTCGGGCTCTGGGGCCGCAGATTCTGATTGTACGTCTGGAGTGCTGAAGTGGGGAGCTGAAGAATCAAGATCTAAATTGGAGCTCGGCATTGTAACGGGAGGCGTGCTCTCCGACGGAGTACTGGGAGTGTTCCTGGATGAGCGAAGGGATTGGGGTGTTAAAGCTTTTTCGGGCGAGATGGACCTGTGACGCTCTAGGAGAAACACAACAATGGTCAGCGCGCGGTGCGTGGTTCAACAACAAATGCTTGCTCACATACCAGCTCTCCTGGCAGCACGCTCGCTGCGGCCCTGCAGAATCTCTTCCTCCAACTTTCTAGCTCTTTCGGATTCTTCCGAGTTGCGCTGCTCGTCGAGTTTGCGGATGCGCTCCATGAAGTGGGTTGGGTCGAGGTCGTCGGAGGAAGACATGGTGGGCCTCGACACGCAGCGGACGGCACGTTCAGGGAATATTAGATGCTCAGTTCTAGGATGGAGCGACGGGGATCAAGGGAATTGCAAGGAGTCCACGTTCATAGCGTGAAGTTATTGTGTATTGTGCGAAGGAGTTACGGAAATGCGGGAGACGAGACTACTGCCGGCATGCATCAAATCCATAACACGGTTCGGGATCGGATCCGAGCCTCTGATTGCTTGTCCACTTCTTCCGCTAGGGAAATCTTATCACCTACATCTATCGTACTAAAAGCTTCTATCTAATTAGTCTACGACATAGCAGTAATATACATCCGCATCGCAAAGTCAAAAGGTGGTCTGTTTATTTATAGCGGTCGCGTGTTTGTAAACACGCTAGCAAGTAACCTTTGCCGGGTTCATGGATCCAGGGATGACGCGTTTCTGTATTTCTACCGCCTCTCGATGTTTTGCAATCGATAGCGTATTCTTCAGCGCATTTCATTTTGCTTCAGCCGTGCAGTTATAGAGACTCTGCCCTACTCAAGTAGTCGGGCTTCGAACATGCAGCTATTTGTGTCTGGAAGCGTTGCTCTTTTGCTCCATTGCTCATGTGAGCTTCGTCCATATCCATTGTGATGATGACTGTCGAGGCGACGAAACCATATATTGCACAATGGCATAGTTGCCTGTCCCTTTGATGCGTGCTGTGTTCAGCCCATAAGTTGTAGCTGATCATCCGGCGGCCATCTCGTCTGTGCAAAACTCAGACATCTCTTGATGCTCTGGAGATATTTTCTCGTTGTCTCGTCGCTCATAATATGTGCTGTATCACCATCGTGCAGCTTTTCTCTCGCCGAACGCTCGTGTATACCAACCATGGTAACTCCAATAGGCCAGGCTCTGCAAGGCGTTAGTAGACCTCTACATCAACAGACCAGAGTGACTTACGCATTTCCAATACTCAGCCTCAAGTATCCGTCGTTCGCATCCACATATCTCCTCTCCTGAGCTGCGTGTACGATCTCTACCACCGGCTTCAGGATGTCCTGCTCTAACTCCCCTGCCTCCATCTTCCGAAACATAGCCTTCATGTTGTCCTTTGCCAGTACCATAGAGTTGTACGCCTGCTTGCCCTGGTAGCTCGCTTTGACATCTTCCGTGCGCCGCGCAAGCGCAACCTCCCACGCCCGTAGCACCATATTGAAATAGCTCGCCAACTGCCTGAACAGAAATTCGCGACCCTCGATATCATCCTTACCAGGCACATTCAGCTGGTCGACTTTCATATCCTTCTCCTCGACCGGCTCCAGCGTCGTCGGTATGCTGCCCTCCCACACCCTCTTCTTCTCCACAACCTCCTTGACCTCTTCCTTGACCTCCTCCTTCACCAGCTCCGGCAGACCAAGTCTCTTCCGTCGCTTGCGCTCCTCTTCTTCTGCTTCCAGTTCCCGCCGCTTGCTGCTCTCCTCTGCCAATCGCCGCTTCTTCTCTTCGCGCACGCGCGTGCGCTCCGCCTCATCTTCTTCGTGCTTGCGCTTTTGTTGGAGCTTCTCGATGCGTGCTGCCTCGGCGGCCTTTTGTTCTGCAAGGTAGGCGGCCTGGCGCTGGGCTTCGACTTCGGAGCGCTTGAGGTACTTTTTGGTGGGCTCTTCGGGTTTCAGTGGTGCTTTGGCCTTGGAGATTTGTGCGGACATGAGAGATTTGAAGTCCATGGTGGAGATGCGTAGGTACGGCGAGAGTAACAAGGTCGGTCTCCACACGGGAGACGCAGATATAGGATTGTTGGAGCTGTGTAGACACTCATTGGACATGGTTGGGTAGTACTACGACACCAATGCCAAGTAATATAGTTCTGCCTGAAACCTTAGGCAGCAAAGCGAGACATCCATGAGCGTGTTTGTTTGCGTTTCGGGCTCATTCATTGTTTGTACAATTACAGGCATATATTGATCGATGCTGCTAACTTTGCCCCAGCAGTCCCCTTGAATGTATTGCTGCAGCCAACCACACTTCGGCTCTTTGCGTGCCTTCAGAATAAAGTGATACTAATAATGCAAAGGCCGCAACACATTCTTGTTCTACCTCGGAAGACTCAACCCGATCGAACGATGTTCGAGAAACCCATATGAAGTAAACGCCGTATCCAGATCAATGCTTATGCGGTATTGGATCCTTTCATCCGTGTCGTGTAGCCTCTCACTACCGCCCTCCTCTCTCTTCCATCTGCCTCCAGCACTGCCAGCAGGTCTCTCATCTGTATTCCTCTGTCTCTGTCTTCGCGGAAATCTCCATATGCGCGATTTCTTCCTTGCACGCCCTTCTCTGCAGGTTTTGCTGAACCAGGGCGAGGAACGGCGGTGTTGACTTTGGGTGTATTGGCTCCACTTCCACCTTTCGCACCTCCTGACATCCATGAATACTTCTTTCCCATACCACCCATGGCGAGGCTCGCAGTCTTGTTCGCTTCTCGGTGAAGGACCTCTTCTGTCTGATTGGACTTTGCTAGTTTGTCGCGCTCCTTCTTCGTAAGCTTCGTGTTGATGGCTACGGCATCTGCTACGGCGGTAGCTTCGGCGACAGTTGGAGAACTTGTACCATCGGCGGGCTTTGCAAGCTTCCTACGCTTTGCGCGCTTTGCGAGTCGCTCTTCTTCGTATTTGCGGTCATTCTTGGCGATCAAACGTAGAGAGTCGATGAGAGAGTTTGGAAAGACTATTGTCTTCTGCGGGGTTGAAGGACTGTCATTGGGAGGAGTCGGGAGGCTTGCAGAGTTTTGATGAGGCCCTGAGCCTTGATTAGAGGATGACATAAGTGAAGGACGAGAGTCAACTTACGTTTGAGGGGGTTAGCCGTGGGACTCGCAGCGCTAGGAGGCTGGTCCCACGCTGTTCCAGAAAGTAATTGCGGGGACACCGATGTGTCTCGTGGCTTGCCAGTGCCAACCGCCAAAGATGCAAACTCTGGTGGAACGATTCCGTGAGAGGTCAACTGTCGATTTCGCGCTATGCCATGAGCTTCCTCTAATAAACCTCGAAGGCGCTCCTGAGTCGCCAACGAGACAAGAGTAAGAATGTCTACCAATGGGGTGTTATCATTCAGAAGACTGTGAGCTTTTACAGCGACGATACCGTTGACATCAGAACCGTTCGAATGCATGGTGGCCTGTACCCCTCGCGAGGGTTGCTCTTCAGAAATCTTCTCAAAAAGCCCATCAAGGTTGATTTTGACTCCGTGGTCGTATGCTTTTCGCCGTATTCTTCGTTGGACACAGTTCCCCAGCAAGAAAGGGTCGTTGAGATGATGTGAACGCTGTTCGCCCAGTATCTCGGCCGCGCGTCTTTTCTTTTCCAGAAATTCCTTCTCTACGTCTTCTGGTGATTTTGCAGGTTGACTGGTTGGGCCTGAGCCTTGAAATGCACCCGATCCACCTTGAGTCCATGCACCGAAGCTGGTGTCGGGGGATATGGTGGAAGACGTTTGCGAGTTAAATGACGTAGAGAACGACGCAGTGCCTTGCCGGTTGTGGTAGATCTCATTCAGATAGCTTTCCTCGTTCGCAACATCGATCCCAGCAGCGGTGACGGCATCACTCAAGTCGTTAATATCAGTCGCCTTCCCCCGAGTTCCACCACCAGCACGATCAGCGGGTCGTTGTGGAGGTCCCATCGACCCAGGCGGCGCGGGCGGCGATTGCGCAGGCATCGGAGAGAATGAAACACGAGGCTGTTGCGGTTGGTGTGCGAGCATCGCAGGCGGAGGTGACATTTGTTGCGCCATGATAGCAAGGTGGGTAGAGCAGTCGAGGTTGCAGTGTGAATGGAGGCGTGGGTGGAGTTGCTCAAGGCCGCGCTGAATGGGACCTCCGGCTTCAGCCGCAGGAGGCTCTTGTTGTTTGTCTTACACTCATAGGCAAAGTGAAGACTTCTATTGACCAGGTGAGGGTAACGCTGTGCAGACGATATGGCGGGCTTTAGGTATTGTGGTGGTCGGTATTCGCCCGAGCAGTGAATCATGTACGACTTGGACGACGCGATGCGCAAGCCTGCAACCAGTCCGGAGCTCGCGAAACTTTTCGCCGGTCTCACTCTCAACCACGACGCGAGCACCTACAGTCGCGTTCACTCTCTATGGATGCATCACCACGTTCTGCTCGACAACCACAACCATCTTCCGCTCAGAAACACAGCATTCAAGTCTACATGCGACCGTTGTATGACACAGAAGTGTCGACAGAAGCCTGTATATAGGCCTCTTGCGCCTGCAACTACAGAGCCTGCGCTTGACCTTAAGCCTCTCCTTACCGCGATACCGGCCGACCACAGTAAAAATACACACCATCCTCTTCGACATACCTTGCTTGCATCATGGCGACGAAGCGGAAGTTAGCGGCTCTAGCAGCGCCAGAAGACGAAGAGCCTGTTGATCCAGCAGATGAGCTCATGTTTCTGAACCTAGGAGGAGGTAACGAGGTCGGGCGGTCGTGTCATATCATACAGTACAAGGGCAAGACCGTGATGCTTGATGCGGGAATGCATCCTGCTTATGATGGGTTGGCCGCGATGCCGTTCTATGACGAGTTCGATCTCAGTACCGTCGATGTACTACTGATAAGCCAGTAAGTCCTCGCCCTCGTACCTTTTGCATAGAACGTAGCATCACACATCCGGGCTTGGAACAGAGCTACTCAGACACATTCCCATGAGAATCGGACCAAACCGTTCAATCAGCGCACATATTACCGTGGAGCCTTGACATTTCCATCTTTGCCCCTGTACCATCTGTTATGGCACCAGTCCTGTCATGTAAATGAGATATCAATGAAAGAATTTTACATCATCGAGCCTCATTTGCGCTTATGGAAATGACTGTGACTTGCTTCCTGCTTCTTGCGAGCTTCCCATGTACATAGAACTCTTCATCTCGTACATTACTAGAAGTCATCGCAACTGCAAGCTAACGTGTGTGACGACAGTTTCCATATCGACCATGCCGCCTCCTTACCGTATGTTCTGTCAAAGACAAACTTCAAAGGACGAGTGTTCATGACCCATCCAACCAAAGCTATTTATAAATGGCTCGTACAAGACAGCGTACGGGTAGGGTAAGTTCGTGTAGTGAAGCTGTTCTCGCATGGAACCTGTTGACGCGGGATCAGGAACATATCCTCCTCTGCAGAGCAAAAGATTCAGCTGTACACTGAAGCCGACCATCTCACTACCTTTCCCATGATCGAAGCAATCGACTATTACACAACACATACCATCTCATCCATCCGCATAACGCCATATCCAGCCGGCCACGTGCTCGGCGCTGCCATGTTCCTCATCGAGATTGCCGGCCTCAAGATCCTGTTTACTGGAGACTATTCCCGCGAAGAAGACCGTCACTTGATCTCAGCAGAGGTCCCAAAGAACGTCAAGATTGACGTATTGATCACGGAGAGCACATACGGCATTGCATCACATATACCGCGCTTGGAGCGCGAGGCTGGACTGATGAAGTCCATCACCAACATTCTGAATCGTGGCGGGCGAGCACTTCTTCCGGTGTTTGCCCTTGGCCGGGCGCAAGAGCTGCTGCTCATTCTCGATGAGTACTGGGGCAAGCACGCCGAGTTCCAGAAAATCCCCATCTACTACGCGTCCAATCTGGCCAGGAAGTGTATGGTGGTATACCAGACCTATGTGTCTGCTATGAACGACAACATTAAACGGCTCTTCCGCGAACGCATGGCTGAAGCCGAAGCAGCCGGTGATGTTGGCAAACGAGGGCCTTGGGATTTCCGATTTGTGCGCAGTCTCAAGAGCTTGGAGCGATTCGATGATGTCGGTGCATGTGTTATGCTTGCGTCTCCAGGTTTCATGCAGAACGGTGTGTCGAGAGAGCTATTGGAGCGCTGGGCGCCAGATCAGAAGAACGGAGTCATCATAACAGGTTATTCAGTCGAGGGAACAATGGCCAAGATGATCATGCAAGAGCCGGAACAGATACACGCAGTTATGACGAGGAACACGGCAGCAACACAGCGAAGAGTGCCAGGAGCACAAGAACAGATTATGATTCCTCGTCGATGCGAAGTAAAAGAGTACAGCTTTGCGGCACACGTTGACGGAACAGAAAATCGCGAATTCATCGAGGGTGTAGCAGCGCCCGTAGTCGTAAGTTGAAGTGGAACCGCTCTCCAAGTCGGCACTAACTAACGCGCATACAGATCCTGGTTCATGGAGAGAAACACAATATGATGCGCCTCAAATCCAAACTCCTCTCACTCAACGCCGACAAAGCACAACCCGTCAAAGTTTTCTCGCCGCCGAACTGCGAAGAATTACGGATTCCGTTCAAGACAGACAAGATCGCCAAAGTCGTCGGTAAACTCGCCCAGATTCCTCCCCCACTCGCCTTTCGCAACAAAGATCTGAACGGCTCCGCGCCCGACATTCCGCAATCCCAACTCATCACGGGTGTGCTTGTTCAGAACGACTTTAAGATGAGCCTGATGGCGCCCGAAGACCTGCGAGAATATGCCGGCCTAACCACCACTACCATCACCTGCCGGCAGCACTTGCAGCTCAGCACCGCCGGCCTCGATCTCATCCGCTGGGCGCTCGAAGGCACATTTGGCGCGATCAAAGAGCTCTCTGCGCCCGATGCCGCAATCAACGGGAAATCCGCCGATACGAACGGTGATTACGAGCACGCAGATGAGGATGTCGACCGCAGCATCACCACCTTTGAGGTCATGGACTGCGTGAAACTACATTGCCAACAGAACGGCCGCATCGAGGTCGAGTGGGAAGGCAACATGGTCAACGACGGTATTGCTGACGCCGTGCTGGCAGTGCTATATACCGTCGAAAGCTCCCCGGCGGCAGTCAAGCAGAGCTCAAAAGGCGCGCATGGACATGGCCATGGCCATGGGCATACCCATGGCAAGCGGAACCCTCACGCTACAGCCACCCCACAAGAACGCTTCGACCGGCTGTTCATGTTCATGGAGGCTCAATTCGGGTCGGGCATCACGCCGCTGACACATCCTAAGCTCAAGGCGCCGGCAACGCCAGGCTCGGATGTGACAGAGCATGGTGACGATGATGGAGATGAGACGGAAGAGTTTTCGGCGGCGGAGCAAAAGGAGCTGGCAAGACTGCACGGGCTTGGAATCCCCGTGCCCGGCATCGAGATCAAAGTGGATAAGAGCGTTGCAAAGGTCTGGCTGGAAGACTTGGAGGTCGAGTGCGAGAACAACAGGGTGTTGAGGGATAGGGTCAAGGCTGTTGTCGAGAGGGCTGTCGAGACGATTAGTGGGCTATGGAGTGCATAATTCATAGTAGGACATGTGGACTATATCTTAAGGTAATGAGATGAGGCTACAGTTGCGGATCTATATGGGCATAGAAGCCCCAAACCAGTATATCCAGAGACAGTATCATAAACCTTCTGCCCTCCTTACGGTGTTCGTATGCTGTTTATCTAAACCTTAAATACGTCCCAGCCAATATCCGCCCCCAAACACAACAACACCACGGAGCTCGGACCTCATTGATCGGCCAGCAGAACGCCCTGCGACATATACTCACTTCGCAACCACCACCACGCCCTAGGGCGTAGCACGCTTACGCTAGGCACCAGGATACAAAATATATAGCACATCTCACCACTCTCACCCGACCATCCACACTCTACACGTTCCTCACCCCAGAATCTCTCTCTCAGTATATCAAAAAATGGTCCTAATCCGCCCCGCCACTCCCGCAGACGCACCCTCCATGGCAGACGTCCAATTCGCCGCCTTCCGCCACGACGAACTCAACAACTGGCTCTGCCCGCAGCTCGACAAGCACCCATACGATCTCTCGCGCGCCATGAAGATCCGTGCCAAAACAGCCCTGCTCATCCCCGGCAACGTCGTCATGGTCGCCGTCGCCGAGGCCACCGACTCGGGCCTTGTCCCAGGCGAACTCATCGGTTTCGCAACCTGGAATAGACGCTCCAAGGACCCCTCGGATGCCGTGCAGGTGAAATGGACGCGGGATCGGCTGGCCTGGAAGTTTGAACGCTGGGCGCTGGGCTGGGAGAAGTGGTATCAGGAAACTGTGATGGACTATGCGACGGATTGGGATCGTGTGCGGCGGTTCTATGCGCATGTCATGGTGTTGACGATTTATGATTCGCTGGAGGCGTACTGGCATCTTAATGTCATTGCTGTACATCCTGCTGCGCAGCGTCGAAATGTTGGTACTAGGCTTTTGGACTGGGGCATGGAGACGGCGAGGGATGAGGGCGTGCCGGTTACGTTGGAGGCGGCGCCGACGGCGAAGAAGTTGTATTGGAAGGCTGGGTTTAAGACTTTCGAGGTCTTGAATGTTGAGGGGGTCGAGTTGCAGCCGGCGCATGCGATGCTTTGGGAGCCGGAGGGGAAGCAGGGGGAGTGGTTGCAGGATGATGGGGAGGGGATTGTGACTTTGAAGGGCTATGTCAGGCCGACGAAGTCAGATGGAGACGGGTCCTAAACGAGGTCCATGATAGGGGGGAATTATCAACCCAAAAGCTTCTGAACAGGACGATTCTGTCGAGGGGCTAGAAGGTGAGAGGATAGACATGGGCAGACGAATCTAAAGCTTATTGCTAACATCAGCTGGTAGATTCTCTGTAGGAGATGAGTTTGTCGGCGACTTGTGTCAGTCCTGAACTCCCGTCTGGATTTCCAAGATCCTACAACGACGGTCGAGGACACAAGCTCCCGACAAAGAAGACTTTGCGATAGCTACTTTGTCACTTTGCCTCCTTTGCTGGCGTTACACTACATGAAAAAGAAGCAGAAGTGTGCAAACCTCATGAATGGCTTTGCAAGGCAACGTCACTTTGCAACAATCATTTGTTGTCACACTATTATCACGACCACGGTGTCGGATTTGTTCTCTACTCTCCTATTAAATTCATTCTGCTGCTTTGTGTCTTCTTTGCTTCGGGGACCAGCGCGACTGTCCAGGGGCTTTGTTTGGCTTCCGCAAACAGCCCACAAAGCCATGCGACCGATTGATCCCTGCCAAGGACGCCAGTCTTTCAGATTTACAATCATAGAGGAATACAACTACGTGTTCACCAGCTGTCACCACTCTGCAGACGTTTCTCTTCGACAACTACTATTCATAAATCGACTTGTTTGCGAGTCAATCTTGTGCACCTTCGGATCACTATCAGATCCATCAAAATGAGTCAATCAGGGCTCAAAGCTAGTCTTCGTCGCTTCAAAAGCAGATTTCTTACGGGGTTTCGACTGAAAAAGTGGCATGTCCCGTCCCGTCCAACATATTAAGCTAATCGTTAACCAGGTCGAAAAGATCGTTCAACGTCCTGGGTGTAGAGCGCGTGGCGCCAGTCTCAGTAGAACGAAGCATGTCTGAGCGAATGGGCTATTACAGGAGGAGAGCACCAGACATCACTGAACATCCTCGCTCGAGACTGGGAGTATCAGGCAGGAGTGACACTACTGCAACTCGCCAGCAAAACACGCACTCTCGAATCGCTTCAGATCGTACAGAAATTGGCCGTGCGTACCAAACAAGTCCCACCAGCACAGTTAGAGGCCGTATAGCTTTCACAAGACTCATGCGCACGGATTTCGCCACTGCGGTTCCGAAAATCCAACATCTCATCAAGAACACCACGAGCTTGTCTGAGAGCGAGAAACGTAGGGCACAAAAACGCCTGCAGAAAGCCGTCAAGCTGTTCGGCCAAGTCCATACGAACGAGGACCTTGAAGCTGTCTACTTAAAGCTGGAGCAGTTCTATGATAAGTACAGCCGTGAAACTTTCGACGTTAGTGAAGCAGACGGGAGCTTCACGACATCGAGCCAGCTTTACGGCTATGACGACGCAGATCGGCGAGGTCTTGGTGCTTCTCCGATAGGACCAGTTCCTGGTAACGCATTTTCTTTCGATGTGCAACGGAATCTCGAGATAGGATCTAGCCCACCAGTTGCAGCACATTCCAGCAGGCCTGGTCCGAGCAACTATGGTCAGCGTCTTTCTGTCTCAGACAGAAGCAGACCTACAGGGCATGCATCACCTCATCCGTACGCGGACAGTGGGATCAATGACGAAGCGCGGGAAGGGAGACGACCGTCCCTTGTCATCAAAACCCAAGACGCCGAGGGCTTGCAAAACATGGTCGAGCCAGCAGCACCGAAGCAAAGCCGCAAGATTCTCCAAGTCCGTCAGCGTCGTCGAGGACCTCAAATCAATGCCAGTGCCGGACGAACGTATGGGTACTCGCCTGTATCGAGCAATGAAGAAGGAAATGAAGATAAGGGGTTGCACAGACCTCCTAGTCCCGTAGACATAAGACCGCTCCGACGCAGACGGGACCAGGTACACAGGCTTAGCAATTCCCTCCCCCTGAGAAAGTCCTCGCCATCGGTAGCTCCTGAGAAAGCTCCATCGGACGAGACCGTCATCGTCCATCGCCTAGCCAATTCACCAGGCGGAGATGAGACAGATATATACAGCGGTCCGCCACCACCTGTATTCCGTGCTGGGTCCTTCTGTTATGATAGGCAAGAGTCTTCACAGAATCCCGTCTCGCGGGAGAACGCTCGCGCTGACGCCGGAAACACGAGCGGAGCCCAAGTCTCAGACGGACGCGCAAGTCCTTGGAAGCCATTCAGGAGTCCCACATTACAGAAACCTTCAACTATGAACGACTCCCAACGCCCGGCATACCGCAATTCCATCTTAGACAAACAGCCCTTCGCCCTTCACCATGCCCCCCTACCAACACACCCACCCCCTTCTCCCACAAAATCCGGACAATGGCTCCGCGCAGCCTGCCACCCTGCACCACCCAATCCCCCCATCCAACCCTCACCTACGCCCAATACCACCCAACCTCAATGGAAAAACCTCGTCCAAGCTTCCCAATCCACAAACATCTTCTCCACTGCCACCACTACCCAGCCCGCCCCATCTTCACCCCCTCTCCCCACTCACCCCCAAACCCCCGCATCACCCACACTCTCCAGATCTGCCGCCGATAATCTACGCAAAGCCGCCGCCACCGCATCTCTCGGCCTCACCCTACTCATCCAAATCCTCGAAGACCACGGCACATCCCCCGGGCCCTCGTTCCACGCCGTGCTTGCGCTCATCAATGAATTCGACGATGCTGGTCGTAAGCGGAATGTCGGTAGGATGTGTGACTCGCTGTGTAGTCTGGGCGTGTCAGCGAGTAGGAACGAGGAGAATCCCACTACTGGAAATAATTATGGCGGGAATCCTGGCAGGTATTATCATCCGAACCCAGCGTCCCAAAAACCAAACTATCCTACCCCTGAATCGACAGATCCCTCGACAAATCCGTCCAATCTCCACAAGACCAGTTTTTTTAATGGTAGCGTGCTTGAGGGTACGTTGTTGCAGAGCACGCCGACGCCTGCTGTTTTTCCGAGTATGGCGGTGCGGCAGGGTGGTATGTCGGGATTGCGCGCAACGTCTGCGTCGGCTGGTAATCAGGGCGCGAATGCTATGGGCTTGGATTCGGGGTCGGGCGAGAAGCTGAGGCTGGGATCTCAGATTGAATATGAGGGTGAGAGTCAGTTGTATGAGGCGCGTGTCAGGCAGTTGCTTGAGGAGTTGTCGGAGAGTAGGGGTGGGGAGGAGGGTCGGGAGGGTCGCACATTGGATTACGGAACAGTTGGACGAGAGTACGCTACGCGGCCCACCAAGCCTCATAGACTCACGATATCGCCGCCTCGTCCCGGTACGCCGATATATCAAGACTGCGCGACGCCCTATGGGAGAGATTTCCGTGAGGATGCAAAGGGTATTGTGGATGCAATGGGATGGGTAAGGAGGGAGGGGAGTGGAGAGAGGGAGGATTGCGAGAGTGTGGTGAGTGTGTAGATGGGGGTTGGTGTTTAGAAAAATGAGTGCTTCGGGGTTGGTGTTGTTATATTCATGATCTGGAGCAAGACGTGGAGAGCGCTGGCGGGTGTTGGCATGGGCGGAGACATGAGTGTATCCGTGGCTGAGAGATATATGAGAAAACAGGATATTGGAATAAGGTTACTCATGAGCGTAGATATCTGGCTATTGAAATATGTGTGGGTGCGGTTGCATGTATGTATAGGTGCTGTGGCTTTCTCATAGGATCGAGATATTCACATCCATGCGCTCTCCCCTTCCCTTCCGACGACAAGTATATGTCAATAAAAGGCACAATTTTATCACCCTGTAGATAATTGTAACGCCGTGCTTGCTGAGCAGGATGTGCTACATGACCTTGCTCCATTTAGTCTGAGTCTCACCTCCCCCCCCCCCCCCCCTAGTCTCGCCAGTCCCTATGCATGCGTTCGAACGTCGATTGCCCCTGATGTCACAAGTCCCCTTGTCGGTCCGCATGCAAACCCACTTGTCGAATGTACCAAAGACCGAGGCTCGGGTCGAAAAGATGTGGCCGCATTTTGCATGCAAGCTCCATGCCCATAATAAAATAATAGTGTTTAACTTAGCACCCATATAAAGTAATTTATACCTTAGTCTCAACTTCTCATAGTAGTAAATAAAATCTAACTATAATACTTGGTTACTTTATATACTATAGCTTATAGGTAATAGAGATGTAGGTGTACCTGGGTCATAAACAGCGGCCATGACTTATCTACCCGAGCCTCGGTCTTTGGTACATTTGACAAGTGGGTACGCATGATGCACTGTGCACATTGAGATCCGATACGGAGTATCGCTGCAGGACGCTCATTTCTATATGTAGTGAAAGTCAACATCGGAATCGTCTAGCTTGGAGGCTGAGTGGAGATCGTTGTTGAGCGTCCTCGGTACGGCGAAGGGGTCGCGACTAAAGTCCATCGCGAGCTTGAGAGAACAATGACACGGGTGTTATGACATCACGCTACTTGACTCCTGCTGCAATCTCGGATTGACACGCAAAAGCTTGTATGTATTTCCAAAGGAGAGCTTGAAAGAACACAAGCGTTACAAATGAATGCATATCTCAAAATCAGACATCTACTACACTGCATGATTGACCCGTATGTCGTCCGCCCAGCCGACCTCAAACGTCTGTGTGATTCTGATCTGATCCGTGCCCCTGTCTGCATCCGGCTTGATTATGAGCGTCTCACTATTCCCATCACTCAATGTCTCCGACCTTGAACCTCCTGACTCCTCCCCGGACCGTTGTGGTGACGAGCGCACCTCGAAGGTGTGCGCGGGATAGTATCTCGGCGCGACTGCTGCGATATGTTTGCTGTACGACCCTCTGGAGCCTTGATTGCCACTGCCAGTGCCGTAGCTGTGAATAGGTTCGCCTCGCACGAGCCTGTATAGAGGCTTAAGAGCGGGGATGGATCCACAGATGATGACGAGCGCGCCCTCGGTATTGGTCCAGATGAAGAGCTGGTATGTGGCCCAAGTGAAGTCGGAGCGTGCAGCGAGCGTTACGAGTTGGTTTATCTTGATGGCAGCGCAGACACCAGTACTATATATGCGTCGTTAGTTCATGCAATATAAGCTGTGGTATACAATGACCTACAAGATGCCCAGGCCAAGTAGAAGACAGAGCCCGATCTTCTTCTTCAGCTCCATGTGCAAGTCCTTCACAAGCGTCACGGGCAGAATTGCGAGCAGCATGTCGACAGCGCAGTTCCAGCCTGATGCAAGTTAGTCATTAGGCCGTGTAGACGGCCATTCATACCACTTACTGGCCGAGAAGGTCGAAAAGTTTTTCTGAGTCTCAGGCTTCCAGCACTTGGCAGTAGCCTTGGACTCTGGATCCCAAAGTGCTGTCGGGTCATTGCATTGGCCAAAAGTGAAGGCTACCGTCAAGATCGTAAATATGATAGTGAGCCAGATAACCACGTGTAGTAGCCATTTCCTCCAGGGTACGCCATTTCCTTGGATGCGCAGGATCAGAAGTGCGACTGCGACTTTGCCTAGCCCTAGTGCGGTAATGCCGGATGGTTGAGAGACCCAGTTGAGCTTTGTGAGCCATATAGCATGCTCTGGGTCTTGTTGCAGGTAGACGAGATGTCGAGTACCACCCTGTAGACCTAGCACAGCCGACATGACTGTGAAGACAAAGTGACAGACCTGTGATGTCAGCATCCATCGTCAAACGTCCCAATATCAGTACTCATCATGCGGACAGCCGCAAGTAGTGTCACCATAGCTGAGGAAACTTACCCAAGTTGCGAGCATCACCCAGTCATCAATGGCAATCTTTCGAATGCTCCATCTGGCCCAGAAACGAAGCACGACAACAACGGTCGTTAGCACACACTCCGAGATGAATATCGCAGCAAAGGCAACGCCTCTATCGAGGTCTGAGGGACGGTCAGATGACTCTGATGGCATTGAAGTAGTAGCGAGATTCGCACTATAGCTTGAATTTGCGAATGAGATGCATGATCATCATCGAGAGTGGGTGCCTGGCCCAATGTATACTTGCATTCCCGAGACGTATGTAACTGACTCGTCCGATCTTACATGGAATTATTGGCGTCCTGATGGGAGTGTAAGAGCAGCATGGTTAGCCGGAGCCAATGTCCGGGGTCCAACATGACCGCCTTGCGTTCATAGGCACGGTTCGCGCGGGATTGAGGCCTGAAAGAACAGATACACACGAAGCGTGGCACATGGGTGTGTTCAGTCCAACTGAGAGGCATTTTACTGGGCTGTTGGTGGTTGTGGGGCCTGAAGAATGTCGCTGCCAGCACCACCGTGTCCGTGATGGCATCATGGAGAATGCTGCCGAGAAGCAAGAAGGTGACGGTACTCCTGACTCGTGATCGATGCATTCCTGTGTGTGATCCAAGCAGGAGACGGGAAATACTGTCGTAATCTTTGCCAGCGGCTCTAGAAATAGACGTGGAATCATAGACGAGATGCTCGAGACCACAGGACGGAGCGCACTCCATGTCCCGTCAAATCCGCCATTACTACATCAACTGGGATGAGCGTTGTAGAAGTACGTGAAACTTGCGACCAGCACGGACAATCGGCCGTTTATAGTCCAGGACGGTGGAGCTCGCGTGGCAGCGCCGCATTCCTTAACCCCCTTGTCCCTGTCCCTGTCCCTGTCCCTGTCACTGTCCCTGCAGTCTAACCCGATGATAACAGCCGGCTCATCAGAGCCACAGTTGTGATGCGGTAGTTACTTCTTCAGTACCGCCAGCCGTTCTATCTAGCTCTTCATGCATTCCTTCCACGTTTCAATGCCCGCGTGTCCTCCACACGGTCCGGCTCTTCACCAACAAAGTATTGATGCCCGACCTATTTCGCGATATTCAAGTATCATCGTGTACTCAGTCTGTCGTGCGACTTGGAATACGAACGTTACGCAGATCCTAGTTACGCCACTACAGTGGTAGACCAAGAACGCTCATATGAGTTGCGGCATGGGCCGCTCATCATGAACCCTGAACAGCTACCGTCAGCTCGGAGCAAGGCTTCTCCATGCCAGTACGATTGCTTAAAGGCTGGGGATCCCCCAGTCAAACGCATTTCGTGTTACTGGTGCAACTCGGTCGAGATTCTATGTCACATAGTACGAGTCGCGGAGAACGAAAGATCGCTAGCGCAACGGATCGTCACTTTTGAGATGATGGATTCTAACTGTATCAGTAAGGCGACCACGGGAGCAAAGTTCGACACAGCAGACCTCGTCGTCGGGCATCTTGAAGGCGCTTTTGAAGTCCGCTACAAGGTTACAACTACCGGAGCCTCGACTATTGACCGCAGCTCGCGTGTCAGACTCGTATTCTGGTGATCAGAGGGTATCTAGACACAATAGTTACCAAACAATCGTTCGCTGACACAAATCGCATACTCGTCCGCTATTGTGGCTCTTCTGCAAAGTCTCAATTGAGCAGAGATGAGTGATTAATAGGCTGCTTGCTCAGCTGGAACGTCGGGACGATATTATGGGTCCGATCCACGCACTCAAGTACCGATCATGTAAATCACACATCTCATCTTTAAATGAGTGTCTTTGTGCTCTTAAGTAGTGATAGCTACTGATGTAGATGTGGTGATGAATGGGATATCGGACCTGCCATGGCGACGCTATGCCGCTCTCGGAGCTCACGCTCTGCTGCCTGAGGCAGAAACTGATCTGTATCTTGGCTTCCTCTCAACGTCTCAACGACCCGGCATTTCATGCATCAAAGTGTATTTGTACATCCTCTGGAAGTGTAGCACGCCGTTGGTGGCGTCGAAACCTCTTCGACGTCTTCCATGCGCCAGGCACTTCGATTGCGTCTTCTCCCAGACATCTCGTCGACGCGACCGCGTCTACCTAGTTCCAGGATACTTAAGTTAGGCCCCAGCACCGCCATTTTCGCCCCAATCATTAGCCCAGCTCGCTTTGCAAGTCGCGAGTATAAAGGCGGACCGACTACCCCCTTGAGTATGCAGTCAATACAGTTTGTTGAAGAGCATCCTGAGACCGACGTCGCTGCTGAGATGGCGACCGGAGATGCAAACGAGATCCAATTCGACAACTCGGGACTGAAACCAATACAGGTTCCCGCCTTCAATGGTGTGCCAATTGAGTACGAGCTTGTCCGAGAGGACGGTAAGCGATTTGCCCATGGTGCAAATGATTGGAAACTCCTACATCGACTCACCGTCCGGGAGGTCTCCATGATTCAAGTCATGGACGCCTTGACGGACAAGCCGGAATGGACTCGCAAGGTGTCTGACGACGCTATTGTGGACAAATGGCGTCAAGAAGCGAGACAAATGCCACATATGAGCGACAAGGCCTTTGACTGGTGTGTTCTCGAGCTACGTGACAAAGCGAAACTCCACGACGAAAAGAAGTTTGTACATACTCTCGACGGGGGTTCCAGATGCGTCAAGTCGGATAAACTTGTTGATGAATCCTTGCGCCAGCAGTTCGTCAGCCTGACACAGTCTCTCATTGATGCACCACAGAAGGATTGGCACCCTAACTCCAATGATCAGGTCCTGAACATGGTCCATCCGTCGCTTTATCCACTAGTGTATGGTCGTACTGCCGTAATGAATACCGGTCAGGTTGATCTAATCAAATCCCTTCAATTCTCGGGCAGGGGCGAGGTCGCACCGAGGCAAGGAGGCCCGACCGTGAATCCGGAAGATAGCAACATCGACTGGAGTGACATGAATAACTGGAACAGACGGCGAGTGCAGGAAGAGCTCGGTCGCAGGGCTCCTCTGTGGTCCAAGAAGTTCCAATGGCTGCCATGTGAAGTAAGATTCACTGGAGATGCTGGCGTTGATGCGGAAATCACATCGTACATCAACAATCTCCATCCGAACAAGAACAGGCCGTTATACAAGGTCATCGAGAAATTAATATCGCTCTCGATAGAGCCATGGAACGAGGTTCTGATGAAAGAGGAGCAGCGAGTGCCTCTGCGTATCTTGACTTTTGGATCGGAATTCGACACCGAGAAACCAGACTGGATCGACGCTCTTCCGTACCGCACGGATGATATGAAGCCAGAGGAGTACCAGAGGCTTGTCGACCAGGTCAAAGCCTATCTCGAAGAGCCCGACAATCCTGCCTTGGAGGAAGATAGTAACGACGAGCACGGGGAATGGATAAAGGAGTTCCCTGATGGCGAGACATGGAAAGACGAACTTGGCCTTGGGGGCGTTGCTGACTGGAAGTGGAAACGGGTACGAACAGTCAAGCACCCAGAGCCCTCATATACGTACGAAGATTGGAAGAAGGGCAAGCACGCAGGCTTCATGGGGATTTCAGATCACGAATTCAGTGAATTCAAGATCCAAGACGAGTTTCGCAAGAAAGGTCTGCAAGTAATTGTCAAGCTTGCCAGCATCGAACTCACGCCCGATAAGCCTAGCTATGACGGAGGAAGCTGGCACATTGAGGGCATGCTCAACGAGCATATCGTCGCTACATCGATATACTACTACGATGTTGAGAACACCACCGAATCCCGCATCAGCTTCAGACAAGAAGCGCTGCTCGAGGGCGGCGAAATGGACTACGAACAAGATGAGCACGAGCCCTTGGCTGAGATCTTCGGGACAGACAGTCTACGCGATGAACCTGCCGTTCAAGAGCTCGGAAGCATTGCCACGAAGCAGGGCCGCCTTCTCGCCTTCCCCAACACCCTGCAGCATTGCGTGGAGCCGTTCTCGCTGGAGGACAAGACCCGCCCAGGCCACCGACGCTTCATCGTCTTATGGCTCGTCGATCCAAACTACCGCGTCGTATCGACTGCCAACGTACCGCCACAACAGTACGAATGGGTTGCTGAGAAACAGCTAGAGCTCTCGCAAGTCAGCCATCGGCTTCCACGCGAGCTGGCTGATATGGTCTTTGAGGGCGTAATGGAGAATCTGATGAAGCTGGACGAGGCGAAACAACACCGGCTAGAACTGATGAGTGAGCGGACAAGCCAATCTGCCGCTATTGAACAAGGGTTTGAAGAGTACAATTTCTGCGAGCATTGATCTAGAAACGCTTTATCCGAGATGATTTTGTGTTCATATATACATATATACATAGGCATATACGACAAGACGCTACATAGAAAACAGAGCCTAGTATTCAAGCCTAGTATTCAACAACTGTCCTCCCTGTATATCATGCATCCACTCTTACAACTCCACTTCTTTATCACCCATTCCGCCTTAAACACATACCAGTTCTCAATACTCCCAACCTTCCAAGATTCGATAACCATCTACCAGCGTGCTTGAATTGACTAGATATGGCCTCTTCAAGCGGCTAAAACGCGTTACAGTACACTCACAGCAGAATACATTGACTTTCTCAGATGGACAAATCGCTGATAGACGCACCCGGAGCAGGACAATTGGGTCTTTACAGCTAAAGAAATCTCTGATGAGTACGTTTACTATAGAAATATAGACGATTCTCCGCTCATCAAACTTCCTTGAGGGGCTCTTGTGGTAAGTGGCTACGCGTTTATACACTGGAGAGATCTCATGAATGTGTTACGGCAACAAGTAGACATAGGAGATATAGGTGGACAAACTACTAATAAACACAAGTAGTATAGAAATATAAGCTCTTCTAAAGCGGAGAAATCGCTAATACTTATACTTGAAGTAAGATGTTGGGATCCTTCTAGCTAAAAAGGTCTCTATTAAGCACGTTTATAACAAGTATCTGTACAGTTATCTAGTGGAGAGGTCTCTTAAATTCCTCAGAGTAATGTATAGATATAAGCTGCCTAGATGAATAAACTCCTAACGAGCACATTTAGAGTATGAATTGACAGTCCTCCTACGCGGAGGAATCGCTATCACGCACACTTGAAGTGAGATAAAGGGGTCCTTCCACCGGATGAAGTCTCTAATAACTACATTTGCATCAAAAATATAGACGATTAACTGTTGAGCCGGTCTCCTAAAAGTCCTCTGGTAGTTAGTATACAGATGATTCTCTACTGAAGAAGTCTCTTGCGAGGCCTCTTCTCACGCCTTTATGTGGGCGACTCGTGCAACTAAACTACTGACAACCACGTTTCCAGCAGCTCTATGAGGCTTTCTTAGCCTAAGAACCTTCTAAGACATCGTTCAACGTATCTATACTACTTGTCACGCGTGAACTCAAGCTTTGTATTTTCGGTGGGGTACGGGATTATATATGTTTTTAAAGACGAGGATGTAAGAGACAGCTGGCTAGGGTAGCGATAATGCAGCTCTTAGGAATAAGTGTCTTGTGTAATACGCAGCTGTTAACTCCAAGGAGATAGTGCTTGCTATGTATCAGGGATAAAAAGTGTGGTTGGCACTATCTAGAATAGGCTCTGCTACGGGAGAGGGTTATAAAATATACTAAGTAGTATACATAGAAGGGGCTTGTCATAGCTTTAGTATTGCGGTATGAGTTGGCGTAGAGTGTTTAGCTGGGTAGGCCGTGTCTATGTGGCCTCAATAGCGGTAGTTCCAGTGTAATAATGATGTAGAGGTATATGAGGATGTTTTTCAAGACGTCTACATCGTAGGCATGGAAGACAAGGCGAAGGACTCCGTTAAGGAGACGGTCACGAAGTAATTGAAAGGAGCGACATCACGGCATAAGTCAAATGTACCATCGAGTAGTATAATATTAATTTATGTGCTTGATCTCTGTGGTGCAATGGGGAAGATGCTCCCACATTGCGACAAGCCAGGCTCATGCTCTGCTATTCAACCAGTTCAAGTTCAAAGACCCTCCATTTAGCAACCTCCCTCGCTTGCATGAATTCCCTTACCACAGTCTAATCCATCCCACGCAGAGATGGGTTTCTGCAAGGCAATTCAAGTCAAGCGCAAGCGGACTTTCAAATAATCCCTGTACTGCAAGCGCAATTGTGAAATCCCAGCCGCTTATCAAGCGTAAGCGTGCCTCCTCGATTGCTTGCGACTATTATAGACTATTATACCGATTAGCGATTATAGTGAGGTAGCTAATATTAGGCACGAGTTTGACTAGTATGACGTTCACGTGACTAAATCTAGTAATTATATAGTCACGTGTGTGGTCACGTGATCGGGCACGTGACTAGTCATGTGATATTCTTTGCCCTCCATAACCCCACTTTTTCTCTAATACTACTATACGGCAATCGGCAATCCTTAAGAATTCAATACAATTGTACGCTGACTATTGCAATCGTAAGCCTACCTAGGACGCTTGCCTTGGCGATTCAATACAATTGTACGCTGACTATTGCTTGCCTTGCAGAAACCCATGTCTGATCCCACGCTGTAGATTCCAACCGATATCCAGTGTTGTACGGACCCAAGAGTCAGGCTAGGGACTTGTAGCATGTGCCTTTCACGTGGACATGATACGCACAAGGGTCTCCGGGCATCCCCTGGCCCATTGGCCAAAATTTGGCGACCATGAACGCCTTGGCAAGCTCTGTTGGGAACTCCTCCGGAAGCTTCTTTAACAGTTCAAAGGGGTTGTAGGCTGAAGCCTTACTATGGACGATACAGTCAATGAAGTATCGCCGAAGTGGCGAATTCGTCATCGTACGTGCCCATACGCTTGGTATAAGCCCGAGCTGTGGGTCGCGATAGATACCCTCGTGTAGCTTCGTGATCGCGTCGAAGACTGTATCCATGAAGTGTATCGCTTTGTACTTGTCCCCGAAATGATGCGCGGCCAATAGTAGTCGGATCTCGCTGCTAGAAGAGACACCGGTATCGTAACATCGTTCCACGATGATTTTATGTCGGTATACCCACGTTTTGAAGACTTGGAAAGCTATGTAGGATTCCATGTCGTAGAGCTTCACTACACGCTCGCGTTTGTTGGCCCAATCATAAGCCATGGCATTATCAACGACCATGGATGCCTCTCTAAAGATAGTTTCATGTACAACATGTTCTTCTTGGAAACTTTTCTCGTCATGACTAGAATAGAGCTTGATAGTGATCATGTTATTGTCGAGGCTACCAATATAAGTCAGAAAGTATAGTAATACGAGAATGAGATTGAGCTTACGAAAGGGTTGGGCGTTCTTTCACGCGATCATTGTATCGATCGTACTTGACCACTCCTTCTGTAGCATATGATTAGCAAGCTGCGAAAGAAGTTATCAATGCTAGATACTTACTGGAAGACATGTTGGCTTGAGAGTTATATTAGAGGTCTAGAATAGTTGAAGAAGGGGAGTGAGAAGTAGTGGAAGAAGTAGAGAAAGGAAAGTAAGGGCAGATACCCTTAGCTTTATAGAAGATCCCGTAGACAAGTGAATGATACTTTCCGCATGTGAACACAACTCGCTTACTTCCCAACCCTGCCATATCCTGATGCACATACGGCACGCGCAAGCCGGCGCAGCCTCAATATCAAAAACCTCAATACCCGGAAGATGCTGTCACGGGCGATTATCCCTGACTGGATCCGCGTGCTCCACGGACTTTACTTCATCTGTGTGATATCGCTTACGAAGTAGAACACTGCAATCACAATCGTTTAGGAGGCACCGAGGCTTTTCAGGGTCTAGGCTACATGAATATGTGGTTAATGAGGCTATGGTGTGACTCGATAACGTAATGCAAGGTATGCGATAATAGAAGTCATTTCCAATGATAGCTATAGGGGTTCAGGTTATATGCGAGGAGTAAGGGGCAAGGTACAGGTATCTCCGAGGGTTTCGATGGGTCTTCGTGATGTTTGGAATTGGAAAATTGGTTATGGTCAAAGACAAGCTGATTCAGACGATGCAATGGTAGATCGAAATGTGATTTATTACCTAGTATGCATCTTACTGGCCAGAGGAACATACTCCAATGGCATAGTCTGCATATGCTTTGATACTTTGATATAACTGCTCCATATTTAGCTCCATGGCCATTGCAGACCGTCGTCCTTACTACTGCCGAAACGTGCTGACTCTTGTGTCCATTGAGTACTCTGTGTGCATCCTCAACCTAACTCCTTGTAGCATTTGCCTGAAATATACAGATGGTAACTGCATGGATCTGACGAAGGAAGAACTATGTGGGACTCGAGTCTTGCCTCCCAAAGTGCGTGAGCTGCATCTTCATAGAATCGGTAGGATATCTTAGCGGAGAGATCGAGTTAAGTAGGTCGCTATACGGGTTAGTATTATGTGCGATGTAATGTAGAATTAATGATTTACCATATAGCCACTGCTGTACAAGCTCAGGACTCCTACATGATAATACAATCCCTTGTATTCTTAGACTGCAGTACAGTGTCACAGGCAGATGGCCACAGAGACTCCCAGCGTATAGCAACTATCGCTCCTTGCGCAATGTAACACTCTGCTCTTGAGCACTACACCACCAAGTAGAGAGAACTTAAAATAGCTGTGTATTACAGTAACGTACTCTACTCTCAACCTTAAAGTAGCATTGGGACAGTTCCATAGACAGTCAAATTGATTCTTGCACTCATGGGCCGAGCATGAATAGGTAGGCTAATACATTGGTGACAGCACCTTAACGTATGGTGTAATCACAGGAGCTGGTAATACACTACTAGAGATCATTAAATAGAACATTGGAAGAAGTTTTTTACTTTCTACGAAGCATAAATTCCATCATTGTGCTAAGCGTCTCATTGCATTATACTACCATACGAGCTCTCTCTCCACGTGTCTACGCCGAGACTTCATATAGCCGTGATGTCTCTAGCCTACCAGTTCCATGCACAAGAAGTTACCGTTGAACTACCTCTTGACGATCCTCCAAGCTTTTGCCAGAGACCATAGCCTTGGGAAATCTTAGAAGAGACGAGCTTTGTAACAATTGTTCTCCTGCCCATGCTCATGGTAATGGCATGGATCGGGGTGCATGATGGGTTTGTGTCGAACTGCTTCGGGTCCAGGCTTGGAATATGTTTCTTGGGCTACTGCCCGAAGAAAGTCTTGCGAGAATAGCTCTACTTGTTCTTCACACAAGCTCGGTTCGCCGCCATTATAATTTATGCAGTCGAGTAGTAGTTCATGGATCTTCGAGGCTGGAGGAGTCTCACTCCAGACCCAACCAATCTGGATTGGAGGGCCAAGAATTATATAGTTCGAATATGGTTCAAACGAACGGCAAAACCAACAATAAGCGTCGAGTAGTGCGTCTTTGAAATCCATTGCATGAAGTTTTTCCCCGAGAGAGTATGCTGTCAGAACCAGGTCAAGGTCCTGCAACTGCGCACTAACATCACGCTGAGGTCCAAACGAAACCGGCAGCTGTTGGGTATGTACCCAGTTATAGAACACCGTAAATGGTTCAGTCTTGAACCCATATAGTTCCACAGTCTTCTCCTGCGTGTCAATCCAGGTATTTTCAATAGCGATTTCCAGAAAAGTCGATGAAGACCGGGCCAGGTTCTCGTGCATAACGAAGCTGCTCTTAGCTTCAGAGTCATCTTTAGACTCATATAGAAGGAAGGTGATAAGTGAAGGACTATCTCTATAGATGTTTATTAGTATCAATGTATAGTTATTCATAGATTTGATGCTGTCGGACGTACTCAATGACGACATCCATCAATGCTGGGTAAGGATGGTTATGGAAAGCATTAGGGTCGACGAGGGCCTGGTTGGCGGAAATTGCATCCATTGCTATATACGACAAGTTAGTGTGATTGCGGAGAGTAGATAATATCATGACTCACGGCTATTCATTTCGAAAGGGGAAGACGGATGCTAGGGTAGATAGTAGATTTATGGCGAGCGGTAGGAACCTCCTGTGCAGTTTGAGATAAATTCAAGCGTAGGTAGGGAGAGTATTGCTTGAGAAAGGATTCGATGGCACGTTTGGGAGACAGCTTGAGATAGAATTCAAGGGTAGGTAGAGGTACAGCTCAAGAGATCAGAGCAAGCCCAGAGAGCACAGACCTCTTACAAGGCTCATAGATGTGAAGAGTGTTGAACCTGTTCAACAATCCCAGTAAGGGACAGAGTGAGCATGGACCCGTGCCAGCACAATATCAGTGATTGGGCAAGATGGGAAACACTGAAGCTAGGTTGCTGGCTTATCTATCTGTTCATAGCATTAGTCATAGACTTGGAATAGTGTTTACATGCGTATGTGTATGTGATGTCTCTCTCCCGAGAAACTCAAAGGTTTCGAACAATGGCCACAATGAAGGGCGCAGTAAGGTTGCTGTAGGTAGACCACTACAATCGGGCGTCGCTACCGCAAAGCTCTATGGTGCTATAATGGAATATGATTAGACTTCCTTGTCTTATTATGCTATCTTCCAGCTTGTATTCATGTCGACTTTCTGAACCAACCAGCATACTAAACAATTATCTCGACATGGGCAAGTGAATATGATGAAAGGGAACGGTCTCTATGCTACCGCGGCAGGCTGACATATACGCATGACCGCTGTCCACGCCTCGCTTGATAGGCTTTCAGAGTAGCAATATACGAGCTAGTTGCATATCTGAATACAGAGTCATTTCAATTACTTCACAACACCCCAGTCTGGCTAATTCGACGCGTTTATGATGATATCCGGATGTCGGGCACCGATTGATATCCTTGTTCATACCGACTTGGCTTTCCGAGCGGCGAGAGCCAGAGACCGGTCCGGGAATCAACGTTAGCGTGCCAGGTCCAAAAAAACCATCTCCCCAGCAGAAATCTTCGCTCCCATCCTGCTTTGGAGGCGTAGCAAAATATCCAAGCCTTCATCAACACGCAGCATGTCTTCCTGGTAACCATACTGAAGCGCTCAACGTCGTTTCCGGCTGAATGAGGAAATGCCGATCGCCCTAGGGCCTTTTCCGCCCCTCGGTGGCAGCCACAGTGGCTTGCCTCGGCCTCGTATCCTCTACATCGACGCCTTTGATTCTTTCTCCAACAACATTGTCGGACTTCTTGAGCAGTCGATCAATGCCGTTGTTTCAGTTGCCCGCATCAATGATGTTGAGGTGTCCCGATGCCTACTTGACATCTTGAGAGCGTTCGATGCCGTTGTCATTGGACCGGGGCCTGGCCATCCAGCCAAACCAAAGGATGTCGGACTTATCAACCAGCTGTGGCAGCTACAGGAGGCTGACATACTGCCCATCTTTGGTGTATGCTTGGGGTTCCAGAGTCTATGCCTCAGTCATGGTGCAAGGATCGAGAGACTGCAGCGGGCTCGACATGGAACTGTAAGCAAAATTCAGCACATTGACATGGACATTTTTCAAGGCATTCGAAATCTGCATGCGACACAGTACCATTCGCTATATGCAGTGCTTGGGGAGGGCACTACCACATGGGACTCAACACCTCAGTGTCCACTGATGCTCCCTCTGGCATGGGACTCATCGGATGAGCTCAACGGTCCTATACTGATGGCTGCGAGGCATCTATACAAGCCATTCTGGGGCGTACAATTCCATCCTGAATCCATCTGCACGTCCAAAGAAGGAATGGACATGATACAGAACTGGTGGAGTCGTGCTCAAGCGTGGTCAATTTCAAGGCAACGGTCGGTTACCATAGCTGACCCTGATATGACAGCAAAAATCGACAGACTGAGCGCTGTTGCACCCCCTGGTGTAGATGGTATGCGTGCAACTCGAGATATATGTCTGAGCGATTCTATCGATGGGATGATTACAGATGTGAAATTTGACCTGGTTCGTAATGCAGGCACGTTTTTGTGGCGGAAAGTCCCGTGGCCATCAATCACTCCAGTAATGCTGTGCGAGAACTTGAACCTTGATCGCAGCAGGATCGTTATGCTGGACTCTCAAGGTCATGCGACAGGACGTTTCAGCATTATAGGAATCCCAACGTCTGGTCAGACACAGGCACCAGAAATCACGTACCGTTCAACAGATAAAGAGCTATGTTACACTTCGCGGAGAGGCGAACTACTTTCCGCCCAGGTTGATTCCATCAGCCGAATATGGCCGATTCTTCAAGACACGCTGGACAGGTGTGATCCACGCTCGTACGACAGATATTGTTTTACGTCTGGACTGAAAGGAACACTTCCCGAGTCGGTTCCATTCTGGGGTGGCTTCATGGGCTACATCTCGTATGAGGCAGGCCTCGAGACTATTGATGTCAAGCCTCACGAGTCATGTTATAATGACGGGAGACAAGATATCAAGTTTGCCTTTATTGAGCGGAGCATAGTCATCGACCATCGTGCAGGGGACGTGTATGTTCAAAGCCTTCTACCGGACGACGAATGCTGGATTCGGGAGATGAGAGCCAAGATCCGATCCAAAAGGTCAGTCAATACACGTCACCAGCCTCGATATAATGAGTCTCGCTTGGAACCTCGTCGTAAGCCCCTTGATTTGAGTCTTGGACTCGCGCAGATCAGGACGCCCGAGGAGACGAACTACCGTAGCAAGGTTCAATGCTGCCAGACTTCACTCGCGCAAGGCGAGTCATATGAGCTATGTTTGACAGACAATACTAGGATATGCCTACCCAAACTAGATGCACTATCAGTTTGGGATCTATACCAGCGACTCCGACTCAAGAATCCAGCTCCTCACGGTGCATATGTGTGTTTGGGCGACACCGTCATCCTTAGCAGCAGCCCCGAACGCTTTCTCCGATGGGACCGCAAAGGCCTTTGCCAGCTACGACCGATCAAAGGCACTGTCAAGAAAGGTCCAGACATGACACGCGACGAAGCCCACAAGATCTTGAACAGCAGCAAAGAGCGAGCAGAAAATCTCATGATCGTGGACCTAGTCCGCCATGACTTGAGTGGCGTAGTTGGAGCTGCAAACGTCCGCGTTCCGAAGTGCATGGTTGTCGAGGAGTACGAGACAGTGTATCAGCTCGTATCAGTAATTGAAGGCCAGCTACCAACAAGCGAAGATGGAAAGTCTACTGCACCAAAGGGTCTTGATGTCCTGAAGGCATCTCTACCCCCAGGATCTATGACAGGTGCTCCCAAGAAACGAAGCTGCGAGATCTTACGAGACATTGAAAAGCGACCTCGCGGCATCTACTCTGGTGTCCTGGGCTACATGGACGTTGGCGGAGGCGGTGACTTCTCCGTCGTCATACGTACCGCGATCAAAGGCTTAGACAAGGAACATGACACTTGCGACGTCTGGGATATTGGCGCTGGTGGTGCCATTACCATCCAGAGCGATGACAAAGCCGAGTTCCTGGAAATGGAAACAAAGGTCACGAGCGCGCTGAGGGCTTTTGAGGCAGAGAAGCAGGTGGACATTTGATATTCCAGCAATATTTGGTGTTGGAGTTTGGCCTTCGACCATCAACTGGTCATTTTATAGAAGGGGCATGGGTTGAAATCAGGTTTGCATATACCCACGGCGGCTTCATCACGCCTTTTTAAACTCAGTATAAACTCATAGAACTGTAAAATGGCTGTAGACAGTTATTCACGGCTTTCACGGAGCAATCAATGTTCGATATATCCAACGCAGCAGACTTCTCATTGTCATACTACATAGCAAAAGCAAAAACTCCCAGCGCCGCGTCACGGTCGCCGACTCCCATTCCCTTCGCGATCTCCAGCACACTTCTCCCCGCCAACCTTCTCAAAGACGCAAAAGACAAACAAAACCACCAAAGCTTCACCCAACCATTCCAGATCTCCCCCTCCCTCCCCTCATTTCTTCCAATACCTCAACCCAAGCGACGAGCCGTCACCGCCAGCTCCCTGCGCCAACGGCATCACCGTGATGACCTTCCCACTGAAGGTCCCACAGATCCGTCCCAGTGTGGCGCATCTGCCACAGGCTACAGTCCAGCCAGCGCCCCCATCGCAATGGCCGCCATCTGTGGCACATTCGAAGCAATCCATGTCCTCACGTGCTTCCAAAAAATCGTCACGCCTCTGTTGCAGGCCGTTCCGGAGGTCCGTCCGGACCTGGTCGCAAATCACATGCGTCGTGTTGCCGTTGCGTAGCTTTCCGAGCACCTTTGTGCCCCGTAGCTCACCTGTGAGACCCCTGAGGACTCCTGCGGTGTTTCCAGCGCGGCGAGCCCGGTCAGGGGCCGGAGGGGCAGAGACAGGGGGTGCGGTGGTGGTGAGGGTGGCAGCGGCGGGCGGAGCGGAGCGGACAGGGAGGGAGGGCAGGGGCGTGCTGATTGTCAGCGTGGCGGAAGCGGGTTGCAGGGCAGGTGTCGTGGTGGGAAGAGCAGCTGGCGCTGCTGCTTCGGTGTTGGCGGCGGCGGACTGCTCTTCGCAAGCGGCATCAGCGGCGTCTGATACCTTCATGGCGTGGAGAAGCATGGCGACGTTCTGGTCGAAGAGCTCCCTGTCGGCGGGGTCCTCGCCGTGTTCGTTCATGGTTGCGAGAGTTAGAAGGTGGTGTTATGGTGAGGTGTGCTTGAAAGGAGAGCAGCTGATGATGTGCGGGAGCTTGACTTGAAGTAGAGAGGGCTTGTGTGTAGAAGAAGAGCAGACTGGACGACGAATTGATACTCGAGAAGCTGAAGATCTTGTAGGAAAGAAGAAGTATGGAAGGGGCTATTCTTTATATACTTTTCCAACCCTCGATTCCTAAGCTGCTTTGGGCTGAGCAACACTGAGCTGCGTGAAGCTCTGGATCTAACCGAGTGTCTTGACACGTCCTAGATAGGGCTTTATGCTGTTCACTTCTCATCTGGAAAGTAGAACACCATGCTCTTGTACATGTTCGCCGGTCATCCGCCGATGCCAATATCAATCATCCTGGCTTGTGATGTGGGTCTCCAGATCACGGGCGTGATCCACGTACTGCTGTAAGGGATGACAACGAATAGGTCTTATCATGAGCTCATGAGAACAGCTATTGTGAAGTCTCAATGGGCATGATCTCGTGTAGCTTCGGCTAACATAGCACGATTGAGGATCCGTATATCGGAGTCAGGGATGAATCATGAGGAAGATTAGGTAATGGTAAGCCGCTTGTGGGAATAGCTATTGTAGGAGCTCAATCGGCCTAATATTATGCGAGTTCGGCGATTACAGCACAGTGGAAAGTTGCGCAGTGTTTCATTGTAGAATCACTTCGTGTGTACAGCTCACGCACGCGAGATGGAGGTGGCAAGAGGCCAGTGCTTTCTGTGACGGGTTTCTCATCATGAAGCTCTGTTCCTGATTTTCTATAGCCGAAATAGACGGGTAGTCGAACATAAGTAAGGGCATAACAGGGTTCATATTCAACGCATCGTGTTGACATGTCCCTGGACACTGGAAGTGACTCTTGGACTATGACAAATATATGGCTCTTGGCATATCGAGATTGTAATTGGTCAATGAGTATAGCAGAGTCCTAGGTCCGCCAGTTAGAGATCGCACGGGATCTCATCGGCGACGCATTCATTCATTTGTAGGCACAAGCCATTCCAGGCTAGTGCATCTGAAAGTGATCAAGGGTGTGTCTTTCAATAAGGCTCATGAAGCTGCTTGCTTAGGCTCTAGCGACGAGTGGTATATACTCGGGAGAAGGCTTTCGTATAGACTTGCCTCTTGTCCAAATACAGAGGTCTATATTAGTGCGTTCCCACAACGAATCGTAGATAGCAGAAATAGTCAAAGTAGGGAATTAAAATTTGTGCACTATCAATCTGTGTATTCATGATCATCACTGTCCCATGTTACCATGTAGTCAATGACCTGCCGAGGCTGATTTTCCCCATGAGATCTTGCGAGATCTAAGAAACGGCATGTCCAATGCAGGAGTATAGAGAGTCATGATCTCCTGTCCTTCTAGCATTGGCATCATCACTATTGCATCTACCTTTGTAGGAGAGCTTGCAATCAAGTAGCTAGATATTAACATAGAGGAGAAATATGTAACAAGTAGAATAATCCATTTTTACAATCTGACACCCTGCGATCAATTAGCATGTACAAGTCTCATAGATAAGTAGTGTACTCTAACAGTGTCGACTTAATCCTAAATTGGAGTTCCATAGATTTTGATCAAGGCTGGTCTGTGTCGTCGAATCTTGCTGGACAAGAATGAGATAGGAGTTGTTTCGCCCACCCTATGTCTCCCATGTTGATGTTTACGCTACCGCTCTCGGACGAGTTGATTATTGCCCGCTTCGTGTGAGCTTGAGAGCCTCGATATAGTACCAAACATCAAACTAGCCAACTCACAACCTTTACCGTCAAGCGATCTCTTACACATTGCATAGACGAATGTCGCCAAGTCCTCACTCTTCCTCCCACACCTGTGTGTATCGCATACGCAACCTGTCGTAATGAGCAATACTATATAGTGTCGACTTTGGCGCTACTAATTATCACTACAGCAGCGGCACGAATCCGAGAGAGAGATAATAGACACGACAACACACAAAAGAAACAGTACAGGTAATATATCGCCGGCAGCAACGAATTGAAAGAGATGACAGCTGACGTGAGTGCCAGATGGCGAACCTGATTGTTCTTTGCACGTCCCGTCTTTCCATTTACCTCCAGGCTTCCGTGTCGTGGAGATACTTTCTACAGTGATACCACAATGTACGTCACACTTCTATCTGCGATAACAGCGCATCGCAAACGCCAGGCGACGATAGGAAAGTCGCTACAACATAACGACTAGGTAGGCCAGCAAAATACCATACAACAGACTACAGTGCGGCAGAACGTGGGCATACCAGACTCATAACACCACGAGCAGACAAGAGACAGAGCAGCTACACAGTATATCAAAGCACTCAGTTCCGATAGCTCTACGGCTTTGCTAACATCTTATGTAGAACCTCGTATACAGCTTGAGATAACGGACACAGGTGCATAAGAAGAAACGGAAAGCAAGGCTCCAAAGGGGCGACAGTAAGAGATTGTACGATTATTAGAGATAAAACGATTGACACTTCGCAAGAGTTCATCGTTAGTCGCGATAATATCTGCTACAAGCGAACGACGAGACACATAACTTATAAGCGATACCTCATCACAGGGTTACATTGACGAGGCGAGCAAAATATGAAGGTGGCTACTATGCTAGAAAGAGAACATCTCTGGCACCCACAGCAAAAGATTAGAGTGCGGAGTAGTCATATACTTGCCAGTCCTGCCATGCGAGAAATACGCATAGGAGCGATACAATGTCTAGGCACATTCGGCGGAGCAAGGCACCATGGAGAGTCTAGCATATCTGGCGTCTCTGGGCTTGACCTGGACAGTTACCAGAAGGATCTAAAAGTAATAGCTAGTAGTGCTAGAAAGAGACATAGAGAGGCTGACGGAGTACAACTGTTAGGTATGTCTGGAAATGCTTGCCCTCAAATGGCGCAGTGTCGTTGCAGAGCAGTCTGCGTTCAGAGAACTTGACTGCTGACCATTGATACTGGAAGTTGCCGTCGTATCAGCACAGACACAAGAAAGAGAGGGATGAAAAGAGGAGTTGGGAGAGCCAAGACAGAGAGGGAAGACAAGACAGAGAGGGAAGACAAGACAGAGAGGGAAGACAAGACAGAGAGGGAAGACAAGACAGAGAGGGAAGACAAGACAGAGAAGGAAGACAAGATGAGGCAGCAGAGGTACTGGAGGTTCATCGGCAGAGAGAAGTATGAAGCGGTGCCACTTCAGTATCTACACATGCTTGAAGCGCGACACTCCTTGAGCTTGCGGCCGGTGCAAACTGGAATCTCATAAGAGCTCGAAGTTGCCTGGCGCTGTAGCATGGCTAGGAAGCGATGAAGAAAACACGATGAAGCTTCTGGAAACCCAGGCAAGCGGAATTTGGTCATGTACATCTTCGTCTCATAATAGACTATCACCGTCAATTCGAAACCAATGAGTGCTGTAGATACCATGATAATAAAATATCACTGCCACCGCCACAGCCCATCCAACCTCATATCTCCATGGCAAGGCCGTAGAAAGTACGGCCACGAGACCAAAGTTACAGGCACGCTTTCGCAGTCACAGTCTACCCATTTGCGCATGGCAAGTTTACACTGACACCCCTCTATGACCACATCATCGCGCAGAGACATACATCGTCATGATAGCAATGACATCTTGCAAGCACTCGAATTCGAATGCCCGGATTCATAGCCATTAAGCTCAACAATGCACAAAGACCATGACAAAAAAAGCTAAACATCATCCTGACAAGACACATATAGATATATTCCCTATCTCCTTCGCTCCCTCCCTCCTTTTTCCCCACAGACCCAAGATTACGTCCATCCGTCCCTTCGCAACAGTCTAGTCCACCACTCGCCTCATCCACACATTAACATAGTAGCCCTCAGTCTCATAGCAGCATCACCAGCCGACCACACTGTAATGAATCTCATCAACACCACCACACCAATCCTAGTCCCGAACCGAACCTCGAGTCCAACAATTTCTACCATGAACAAAAGTACAAGAGACTAGCAAACACCGCGTTTCGACTGTCAGCAATGATGCTGTCTGACTACCATCTAGCGACTGGTAGTAGTCGACATTGGGTGTCAAAGTACGCACGGGATGACGATGGACGGTGAGTTTTAGTTTGAGGTTGTGCTAATTTGTGTTTTGGTGCGGTCGTTTGTTCGTTTGTTGGTTTATGTCGATCGGTATTGTCGCTAGCATTGTCATGAACATCATCATCATCCTCACAATACGCACATATATACGCGTCCACCAGGTTCCTAGACCCGGCAACAACCTACAGCACTAAAGCACGCCAGTGCGCTCACACCCACAGCCATATCCCATGCCCAGAATCCCAACATCACCTACCCGCAACGGACACAAAAAGACTTAAACGTCAGTCTCAGACTGCACGTTCACATTCGCCAGTATCCACACACCTCCACAATACACCTCCACACTCACTCGCAACAGAACGAGGCATGAACCGTAAAGTCAAGCCAAATCAAGACCACCACAAACCATACTCTCGAACAACTTGAATAGCATGAGAAGAGTCAACTCAGACCGGGAAAAAAAACCACCCAAAATACCATAATTCCCATTCCACAAACCCCTCCCCCTATCCATCCCGAATCACAAATCTATATTTAGAAAACACCAGCAGAGTTTATACTTAAGCTTATGTTCCATGACTAGCCCGTCCCCGGTCCCGGTCCCCGGTCTTCTAATAACTAGTGCCGAAGTTTGGAATGTTCCATGCCCGGTGCATGGACACATGGGATGTGGGATGTGGGGTGGGGATGCGTGTTATTAGATGGGATGGGATAGGATAGGGTAGGATAGGGGGTTTAAATTGCGCTGTATGCATGCACGCGAGTCGTGGGTTGGATGGAGGGTTTAGGTAGGGAGTGCACGGGGCGGAATGCCAAGAATGTGAATCTGTGGTATTATGGGTCTTGAAATTGGGTTTGAAAGGTTGTGGGTTGTAATTACTGATGAGAGGAAAGAAAATTTGGTTTGTGTCTATTCGTGTGTGTATGTGTATACTGCAGTGCGCAATGCTAATTACATATTTTTCAATCAAATTTTCACACCCCCCAATGCCAAGACAAAGTAAAGTCAAAGTCACAGTACAGTCTACGACGAAGCCGCCCCAGCAGCCTGTTCCTCACGCTTCTTCTGCAACCGGCCCTTGCTATACCGATCGCCCAGCGCCACAACCCAGAACATGAACACGACCGTCGGCAGCACCCACGGACTGCCATTGAACTGGCGCAGGAACTCCTTCCACAGATTGCCCAGCATCAGCAGCATGGCCACGGTCATCACGACGCCGCTCCGCACGACCACACTGACCGTGCGCATCCTCGCGAGCCGGTGGCCCTCCTTGGCAAGCAGCGCCGACGCGGTTAGACAGGCGAGCAGAAGCAGGATGGCGCCCCAGTAGTAGTTGTAGACGACCTTGCGCGCGGACATGCTCTGTGCCAGACCGGACGCCTCGGCCTCGGGGATGTATTCGATGTTGAGCGACTGCACGACGCCGCCGGTGGCGCGCGAGATGTAGTCTACGAAGGCGCGTGGCACGCCGCCGAGCCCGGGCGCGACGTTGTCCGGGTTGGTTATGTTTGCGGCGCTGCATACGCCGGTGGAGTTGCCGAGGAGGGCGATCTGGTCGTAGATGAAGGGCAGGCTCTCGCGGCCGGGGCAGGAGGAGTCGAGCTTGAGGCTTTTGATTGTCTTGCTGAGACGTTCGGAGAGGGCGGTGCCGTCGAGGTGTTCGGTGTTGCAGGCGTTGGTTACGTCGCCGAGGACGAGGTCTTCGTGCTCGACGGCGAAGTAGGCGAGGATGATCTGGCGGGTGCCTTCGGCGACGCCGAGGATGGCGAGGTGCATGGGGAAGTGGAGGGCGGCCCAGAGCTGTTGTTTGATGGTGCCGAAGCGGTAGCGTGGGAGGTTGTCGTAGTAGAGTTGCCACATGAAGAGCTGTTGAGCGTGGTCAGCAGTGAGGATGGTAGAAATGACGCGAGATACTTACGAGGATCAAGACGTTGCAGAATATCAGCGCGTAGTAGAGATAGTCGGGACCTGTCCTGCCCATGGTGTTGATGATTGTTTTTGTCAGACCGATCACACCCTCGCCGATGATGATGATGCCGAGCAAGCCGAGTCGCTCGTTGAGATGTGTTGCACGGAAGGACAGTTTGCGCCATCGCATGCTGATTCCCAGAGTGGCCATCAACTCTATCGTCAGGGTCAGGTAGATGGCGGAGTAGAAACCGGCAATGTCGCCTTTCCTGTCATGGAAAGTCCCGGCGAGCGCACCGTAGACTCCGCCCGTGAGGAAGAATAGACCTGACTGAATCGCAAGCGGCAGAACAACGTCCTTTGGGTGATGGCCGGGTCTGGTGCTGTATATGGTGGTGACTAGATATTGTATGCCCAGCCAGGCGCGATTTATCAACATGGCGAAACACAGCGTTTGATGCACCCAATCTGGAATTTTCGGATCTACGAACGATGGCTCGGCCTTGTATCCGACCAACATAATGGAGATGAAGTAGAGACAATGCACGACTTTGCAGCCTCGCTCCCAGACCGAGTCGGCGGCGAATCTGACGTCGAACGTGGTGATTTGGAACCATGAGACCCAGAGGATGGCGAAGAAGGCAATATACGAGCCAAAGTTGTCCCAGTTCGTGATGGCATGGTAGTCGGTGAAAGTGGCGAGATTGGCGACGAAGAAGAGATCGAAGAAGAGCTCGATGGTGGAGGCTTCGTGTCGCGGCGAGAATGCTTCAGTCTCGCCATTCCATCTCAACATGGGCGAAGAGATCCATGGCGCGACGGGCTCCTCCGTGACCGGTACGCTACAAAAGGCCGTCAGAGGCGTGTATATGAGGGCGAGCGGACACCTAGATGGTGGAGAGTTGTCACTTACTCTGCGGCCTCAGTCTCGGACTTGTCCATCCTGGAGTACGAAGCCTTCGGAGTGAGTGTTTTGAGTGAAATCATACCTGAACCCCCTCTCGGATATTTTGTCTTTGGGCAGGGCCGCTACTTGATATAACTATGATATATGGGGCGGCCCGTCTGCTGATCACTGCCGCATATCACTGGAGCCAACACATCTTTCCTTATCGGGCCGTTAGAAAGCATCGTACCACCCTGTAATTTCCTCGAGCAAACTGGTATTTTACACTCTTACTACTTTATGAATGCACAAGTACGACGACATGTAGAGCCCAGAGATGCTGCTGGCTCGTAGGAGAGCATTACGTCTTGGCTATCTTGCCAAGTTCTCCATGCTCTTCATGTCAAGCAAGGGATTTACGACAGCTACGAGTCAGATATGCCCTAAGGCATCAAGCAAACCATTGGAGCAACACGTTGTTCTATCTTTGCATCTGGGTATGTATACATTTGCACAAGCAGTGTGTTTATAGAGACTATTTGTCGACTTAGCAATAAAGAATTCTGCGTGACAACTTGAGTGGACGCGTGAGCTTTATATTAATATTATTATCATTATTCTTCTCATGAGGATTATCGAATTCCTACATCGGGTTCGTATTCGGATTGTTCCGCCGCAGGGCTGCATGCTTTTCCGGGGGTAACGTAACGCGCATCTAGGCAAAACAAGGCTGAGTAAGCGCTTGCGTTCGGGAAATAAATACAAAAAGCCACTGCAGAAAAGCCACTGCTTTTCGAATTTGAAGTCTTTAAGATCGCCCGCTACGACGCATCAGTACTTAGTCGACAAGCTTTCTGAGAATGCGACTGGCGGTGTTGGCATTGCGACTGTGTCGTCATGGCGGTCTACAGCTGCGCCCCTATGCGTGGAATCAAGTGCCAAACCTTCTCTGTCTTGGCTAGCCTCAGCTCGATTGGGGAGAGGTTACGAAGCATACACAGCCTGTCGTGTCGCATAAGGGCGACGCGACACAGCCTCGGAGGGCATCAGATCAGCTCCTGCATAGAGCTATCATGATCAGTCGCAGCTCAGTCGCAGCTCAGTCGTAACTCTGTTTGGAAATTCAGTAACTAGATATATATAGCCACTCCATTAGTCTGACGAGTCCACGTACAAATGAGATGAATTTGACGCATCGTCATGGCGTGAGCGATGCACTGACGCTCTGCGTGAGGTCGAGACCGCGCAACACGGGGCCTGATGCAGCGACTCACAACCTTACTCTCCATTATATTGTATATTGCTGAGCATTGCTCCATGGTAGCGTTAGCGCATCTCTTTCGGTCTCTTCCGTAAATTTTCGATGACTAGTTCAAGGTTTCTCTGCTGCATGCGCGCCCTGGCGATATAATTGTTGGTGATGTTGATACTTAAGGCATTTCTCTTTACACAATGCGCCAGAATCTCAGGACCATCGCCACTGACTTAAATTCCAGTCGACAATGTGATGTGGTCACAGCTGAGATGGAAATGCTGTAAGAAGAGAATGATAACGAGTAATTAAGAAGAGTGATGGACTCTCTCATGACGGACACGTGCCACAACCATTCGCTGGTATGCCTCAGGCATCAGCATCGCCGTATCGAGCCTCCTCTTTCGGCGCGAGTCTGCTTACTCACTGTCGTCCCCACCGCTTATCAAGTCATCAACATCTACTGAGGTGTGAGACCGCCCGTGGTTTGTTGGCTGGAAACATCTTGGATACACTATGAGTCTATACAAGACTGCCCCAGCCCTGCGTAGACTTTTTCCTTCCTCTGCATCTGCTCTGAGGTCCACCGTCTCATCAACGCGATCATTCTCGTCAACCATGACTACACAGGAGAAAGAGAGCTTCGATGCCGCCGCGTTTGGCGAGGCACACATCACCAAAGGCATTGGCCGTCTCACCAAGCACGTCTTTGAGGAAGGGAAAGGAAGCTACATCACCACCGACAAAGGCGTCAAGCTTCTCGATCTAACCTCCGGCATTGGCGTCGTCAATCTAGGCCATTGTCACCCCAAGGTCAGCGAGGCCGCCGCGAAACAATGCATGAAGATCACCCATGCTCAAGTCAACATTGGCTTCAACAAGACCCAAGTCGAGCTCATCCAAGATATGCTCCCGATCATGCCGCACAAGTCGCTCGACACATTCTTCTTTTGGAACTCTGGCGCTGAAGCCGTCGAAGCCGCAGTCAAACTCGCACGTGCAGCTACAAAGAAGCCAAACATCATCGTCATGCAGGGCTCGTACCATGGCCGTACGAACGCCACAGCTTCATTAACACGCAGCAAGACCATATACGGCGAAGGCCATGGTCCGCTTATGAGTGGAGTCTTCGCAACCGCATTCCCGTATTATAGCCAATGGTGCGCAACGCCGGAGAACAGCACCGAGGAACTCGTCACTGAGGCTCTACATCAACTCAAACTGACCCTACAGCAACAAACAGCCCCGTCTGACACGGCAGCGATTCTCCTGGAGCCCGTCCTTGGCGAAGGCGGCTATGTGCCAGCACCGCCAGAGTTCCTCCACGGTCTACGCCGTATCTGTGACGAGAACAACATCCTACTCATCTGTGACGAGGTTCAATCCGGCTACGGCCGCACTGGCACCATGTTCTTCGTCGAAGAATCTGGTGTGCGTCCTGACGTGTTGATATTCGCAAAGGGCGTTGCGAACGGCTTCCCACTGTCTGGCATCGTGGCGAGTAAGGAACTAATGGATAAGCAGAAGCCTGGCAGTATGGGTGGGACGTATGCGGGCAATGCAGTGGCGTGTGCGGCAGCAAGGGCAGTGCTGCAGGTCTTCAAGGAGGAGAAGGTGCTCGACAATGTCGCAGCGCGGTCGAAGCAGCTTTTTGGTTTCCTGAACGAGCTCAAGGCGAGCGGTACCAAGGCTGGCAATCTCATCGAAGACGTTCGTGGGCGAGGGTTGATGGTCGGCTTGCAATTTGCACGCACGCCATCCAAAGCTGGATCGCAAAACGCTGCTGCAATGTTCGCGAAGCAGCAGCCCCAGATCGCACCAAAGGTGGTCCAGGAATGCTTGAAGCGGAATATGCTGCTGCTGAGTACAAGTGTGTTTGACGTACTACGTTTTATACCAGCGTTGAAGATATCGGAGGAGGAATTGAGCACGGCATGTTCAATTTTCAAGGAGAGTTTGGAAGCGGTTGCAGAAGAGATTAGCAAAGAATGATGACCATGGAGAGTAATCGTGAATACATGTCGCTGCTTGAAATGGTTGACGAGCATATGGGAAGCACATCACTTCCTACCTCTCTATGTATCCCAGATGTAGTCTTCAGCAACGCCATAGTAATCATGGCATCTTGTGCTGGTAGCTACACGTTCCACTGCAGTCAATTCCTAGCGTTAGGATGTCTCCTGAATGTGGAAAACGAAACCTCTGTTGTGTCCTTGGATCAGTCGTAAATAGAACTAAGCCTGATTGGAGCTAGACTCCTTTCTTCGCTCCGGACAGCTGTAACAAGCGCCGATATCGCCTGAACCGTCCCCGCCAACCCCGCCGGCATGCGGAAAGTCTTGGAGGCTTCGTGCTTTCGCGATAGTCGATATATTGACAGCCAACAAAAACGTTGACCTCCGCTCTGTATCATTTACCATGGGCGCTTTCAAGATTGTCGTCTTTGCAGGTACGCAGCTACATTTGTCCAACTGTTCAATTGACCAGAGTTAATATTTGCAGGCGACTATTGCGGACCTGAAGTAAGTTGCAGAGCTCAACCATTGGCAACTCGCGCTCACACCATGTAGGTCACAGCAGAAGCACTCAAGGTCAGTAAACCATCCAGAAACGCGGATAAGTGGGTTTTAACAGGGAGTTACTAGGTGCTCAAGACGATCGAAAAGTCAAGGCCTGACATCTCCTTTGAGATCGATAACCAGCTACTTGGAGGCGTAAGATAGCTTGCGCATCACAGCACCAGTTCGTCACTCACGGTCAGACAGTGTTCAATTGACGCGACGGGATCGCCTCTCACGGACGACGCGCTCACGGCCGCGAGCAATGCCAATGCGATTTTTCTCGGCGCTGTCGGAGGACCGGTAACAACTACCTGCACGCAGTGAGACTGTCATGCTAAAGCCATATAGAAATGGGGCACTGGTCAAGTCCGCCCAGAGCAAGGTATCCTGAAGCTTCGGAAAGAGCTCCAGCTTTTCGGCAACCTGCGACCCTGCTTCTTCGCATCCGAGAGCCTCGTCGAGAACTCCCCCTTGAAAGAGTCGGTATGCAAAGGTGTAAACTTCAACATCATCCGCGAGTTGACAGGCGGCATATACTTTGGAAAGAGGCAAGAGGTAGACGACAAGGGCTTCGCCTTCGACACTGAGGAATACACGCGCGACGAGATTGCTCGTGTGACACGACTGGCGGCGTACCTCGCTCTGCAAGAAAAACCTCCCTTGCCTGTGTTCAGCCTCGACAAGGCCAACGTCATGGCAACGAGTCGGCTCTGGCGTGCGACGGTGACGGACATAATGAAGAACGAGTTCCCGCAGCTGTCCATCACACACCACCTCATTGACTCTGCAGCTATGCTCATGGTCAGGAACCCGCGCGCACTGAACGGAATCGTCGTGACAAGTAATCTGTTTGGTGATATCATCAGTGACGAAGCTAGCGTCATTCCGGGTAGTCTTGGGCTGCTTCCAAGTGCCAGTCTTATGTCTATCCCTGACGGAAAGACAAGAGTCAATGGTGTTTACGAGCCAATTCATGGTGAGCCAGGATTATTCCTTGCAGTCGTGTAGTCACTGACCCATAACAGGCTCGGCACCCGACATTGCCGGACAAGGAATAGTGAATCCCGTCGCTGCAATCCTGTCAATAGGCATGATGCTGAAGTACTCGCTATGCCTACCCGACATCGCCAAGGCCGTGGACGAGGCAGTCCGAAGGGCTATTGAGAATGGAGTGAAGACTGCGGACATTGGAGGAAAGAACACAACCTCTGAGGTTGGTGACGCAGTCGTGAAGGAGCTCGCCGAGATATTGAGCAAGAATTAAGCCAATCCTACGTAAGAGGGTCAGCCCAGAAGTGAAATAAACAGTTTGCTCCTGTACAACAGTCACAACGGCCACCCCTGTATCGGACGGAGCCCTCTCCGTGATGCATCCCTGTAATCAGCTCTCTTTGTGACACGCAGAGAACAATAATATACTAAGATGTTAATAACAATTTAACATCTCCTGTCGCACCTGTCTGCCACATGGTAAGCGGACGGGTACCTGAGCTGAGCCCCATCCATCCGATAGACGCCCCACACCTGCCAGAGTTTAGCCTACTAAGGGGCGCTGTGACAGCCTCAGGCCGCCATAAAGCCAAAAATAGATCCGGTCCACTGTCTCTAGATTGCAAACATCCCTATGTAAACAATGAGCTCGTATGTAGCCTCCATCCCCAGTTCACTCGCGAATTCACCGCTGGAGAGATATACTTTGCGAACGGCACCCATCGAGCCGACGATGCCGGAGGTGCGAGCCTATTGTTTCACTCGTAGCGCGTGACGGGACGGTGCTTTCAATTCCATTCGTTAGCCGCGACTGTGATCGCCGTGGCTGACAGGCAGCACTTATTGGCCATCTATCTCCAGCTATTCATCAGCATTTAGCATTTAGGTACCAGTCTATTGTCCTTGGTCAACTGCAGCTGCCTGGGAGCATCGTGGACTTTGCTGGGGTTTTCTTTCCTCTCCAAGGTTCGTTGAATTCACACCTGCTTTGATCTTTGATCAATCGAGACGTATATCGTACATCATCATGGCTTTGGATCATGGGACTATCAGCACATTGGCAGTAGCCATACTTATCTCAGTACCGTTGCTCTTCGTATACTGGCTATCGACGCGGCCGCAGCAGGAGATGAAGCCCTTTCCGTTCCTCAACCTCCCCGCTGAGCTGCGAGATATGGTGTACGATGAGTTGCTGCCAGAGGAAGGAATATCCTACCCAACAAAGACACCGCAACGATCTCAGACACGACTAGATCGATTCAACAGCCTGTTCAACCGACGCTCAAGTCTCTCGAAGCATGCCGGCGTCATGATGGCGAACCACCAGCTCCACCGCGAGTTCCACGATGTCATGAGCGCAAAGTCCAAGTTCACACTCTACGTCGACGAGCACAACTACAAGGACGCCTCTCTCTGGACCATCAGCGCGCAGATGCTCAAGAGCATCCGCAGATGCGAGCTGCGCTTCGCCACCACGCCGGCCATGATGGGCACCCACGATCCGCGCTTCATGCCCTTGGAATGGGCGCTGTGCGACCGCGTGTGCGAGAAGCTGCGAAAATGTGAGCGGCTGGAGTCTGTCACGCTGCATATCCGGCCCATTAGCAATCCTCTCTGGAATCCGCTCTGGGTATGTCGTTCATAAACAAACTTGAGACAGCTACTTTTTGGACCTGTCTCCTTCCCTCCCCGTAATGGCCGAACTGACATCTGACTATAGGTATGGTACCACGCGAGCCAGGCGTTCAAGACTGCAGAAGGCGTCAAGTTTGACAGCATCCGCTTCAGCCTCGACTCGTGGACGCCCGGCGAGAACCAGCTGGGTAGATGGCTTGAGAATCGCCTGCGGAGGTCGAGTGTGGATGGGCTGTGGAAGTGGGAGTGTGTCAGGGGGCATTTCATCGCGGATGATTCGGACACCCGGCAGCCGATCCGTGACTTTTGTGGGATCATATATGAGGATTGCCATGTCTGTCATCCGCCGACGGAGACGGCTGATGCGGTCTAGGGAGGGGGATGGATGGTTTGGCGTAGGGATAAGGGATGTAAGTGCGGGATAGGATAAGAGTGACGCGCAGCGCTGTTTAACGCAACAGTTCAGTATAGCTTGTTATCATCGATTGTCCATACGTTTATGGCTGCAGTGCATGGATACCTGGGTATGTCTGCTGGCCAGTAGTTACATAAGTCTTTTTCCTCGGGAATTAAGTACCTACATGCTTCTGCTTGTGTAGGCTCCTTCTCGGGACATAATATGCCGCCTGGAGTGTGGATACCGTACATGTTGTGAACTCGGAAACTGACAGACACTGCATACTCTTCTCACACATGAGGGCATAAATATCAGTAATCTGTCTTGATCGACAGTGGGGAAGTGGTCTAGATGTCGGCACTAGGTCCGCGCACCGCCACACAATCAGGGTTCACTGGCCGTGCCACCCATACACAAACAGTGGCTGGGCCCCTCGTCGATTGGCGCTGATCCCTGCAACTCCCATGGGCCTCGTTTGCGGCCGCAAAGAAAACGACTGATATTACAATCCTGTACGAACCTCTCATGCCACAATATGACCAGCTTCCTTCTTCCTAGACTGCCCTCTCACACCATATCCACGCACATCTCATCTCCGCAGCTAGCTCCGTATGGACTGCGATAGCCGGCAACAGGCTGCTGCTGTGCAAGAGCCTGTGGTGGCAGACAACCATGGCATCCGCGCAAAGGTACGTGTCAGCTGGGCTACTCCAATCGCCCGGGGTTTCGAGAATAAAGTGCTGACGGGTGTCTCTGGACGTTCTAGGAGCTGTACAAGTATTTCAGACCGAACACTATTGGTGTCAAGCGCAGCTCCGAGCCAGACTCGGTCCTGACATCCCAGGCACAGCTGCTAGCCTACCGATTGAATTGCGACCGCGCCCTCGTCTCCCTCACAGATCGACAGACGCAGTATTTTGTTGCTGAGGGCGTTGGCGGGTTCGATGGTTCGGAGACGTATGACGAGACGGAATGGGCAGCTGTAAGCATTCTTCACATGGCTTTCAATGCGGCAAGATTGCTGACCAGTTGTGGTAGTGTACCAGTGTTCCCAGAGAAGGGCGATTGTGCGAGCAGACTCTACAACAGCAGCCCAAGAATCCTGGCGATCCAGCGTATTTTGAGATCCTCAACCTCGCCGAGGATCCCCGCTACAACCATCTCCCGTTCATTGCGGGGCCCCCGAGCTTTCGATACTACTGTGGAGTGCCAATCACTACGAAAAAAGGCATCAATATTGGCTCTCTATTCGCCGTCGATGTCGTGCCACGCAAGCCCATTGCTCCCAGGATGCTGCAATTCATGGCCGGCATCGCAAAGAACGTCATGACGCATCTAGAGCTGCTCCGGGACAAGGCGGACAAAAGAAGGGCTCTCAACATGAACATGTGTCTTGCGGCGTTTGTCGATCCAGAGTATGCAAGCAGAAAGCGGAAGAGAGGCATGTCTGCCACGAAGAACTCGATAATCCAGTCCTTGGCCAAGGAGTCGCTGGCATCGCCGACCATGCCGACCTACGACGATTACACCGAGCTCATAGACCCTGTGAGTCCTCGACGCATGTCCGTGGCTCGGATGGCCAGTGACGATGTGCTGGAATCGACGCATGTAAACACCAAGTCGCAGGCTGATCAGAATGTCAATGTCGAGGATACTGAGCATGTCAGCACGTACAAGAGAGCGGCCAGTCTGCTCTACGAGTCCATGTCGCTCGAGGGCGGAGGCGGTGTTGTGTTCATGCTTGATACATCAAGGGGCACGCATGCGAGCTTTTCTAACCAAAAACCTACGCCTGATCCCAGCCAGGCGCCAGACATACCGGATATTCCTACCAGTCCAGATCGCCGTGGAAGCATCAGCAGTATCATCGCCACACCGACGCAGTTCCTTTCAAACAAAGAGAGGGAGTCGTATTTTAGCAATTACAACGAAAAGCCGTGTGAGGTCCTTGGCGGAGCACATTCTCCGGCTACCTTGGCAAGCGCATATCCGTCTTACATACCCTTACCGCCTTCCGCCCTAGGAAAGATGATTCAGAAGTACCCCCGAGGGAAGCTCTTTACTCTTGACGCCGACCTGTACCTCGCTTCGACTCCATCTAGTGATGGGCAAACGCCAGGTACCGCGAATTCGCATGGCCGGCGTGATAGCATGCCCCAGGATCAACAGAGGGAAGACATGGATCAGCTGGCCTTTCACTTTCCAGGAGCAAGGCAGATCACATTCGTGCCGTTGTGGGACTCTATATCCGGACGATGGGCACCGTGCTTCATTTACAACTCGTCACAGTTCCGTACAATCTCCAGGGCCACGGACTTTCTCTACAGTATTGCGTTTTGCAATTGTGTGGCGACGGAGATCTCAAGGCTGGCGACGCTCAGTGCGGATCTGCAGAAGCAGAATTTCATCGGCTCGATATCTCATGAGCTTAGGTCTCCGCTTCATGGGATCCTTGGGTCTATGGAGTTTCTCAACGATACCGATTGCACGGCCTTTCAGCACTCCTTGATTGATACTGCCAACAGCTGTGCTGTGACCCTGCTTGATACCATATCGATGGTCCTGGACTACTCCAAGCTGAACAACTTTGAGCGAAATGCAGCTCGTATTGACAGAGACAGAAAGGGGAGGGGCGAGGGCAAGTCGAATTTCCCGAACCCTTCGCTGAACATATACGGCTTCGTCGATTTGTCCGTGATTACCGAGGAAGTGGTCGAGGGTGTTGCTACCGGAAAGGAGTTCAGGGACATTAGCAAATACGATACTGCCGATCTAGCCTTGCCAGCCCGCAGCAGGTCAATGAGGAGCAATGCTCCAAACAGTCGCTTCGCAATCCAACGGGCTGATGTTGAGATCATTATTGATATCGAGCGTCGCGAAAGCTGGTCTTTCTTGACGCAGCCCGGCGCGTTCCGCAGAATAGTCATGAATTTGTTTGGGAATGCGCTCAAGTACACACAGCGCGGTCATATCATAGTCGCATTGGACATTGTCGCCGATGACAGGGACAAGGGGAAGCCTGCCGAAGAGGCCACCATGGTACGGCTGCGAGTCAAAGATACAGGACAGGGCATCTCGCCACAATTTATGCGCTCGAAGCTGTTCACGCCGTTTAGCCAGGAGAATTCGCTGAACCCCGGGACTGGTCTTGGGCTGTCGCTCGTCAAGGAGATTATAGCGATGCTGAATGGCGACATCTCTATCCAGAGTGAGGTTGGCATTGGGACGGAAGTCACTGTCAAGCTACCGATGGCCAAAACCTCGCCTCCTGGGAGTAGTACAACTGCGTCTACGCCAACCTCTGTCACGAGTGTGCCGGACCGGGGGAAGTTTGACTGCATTGCTGCCTTGCAGACCCTTTGCCAGGATCGACTCGTTGCCCACTTCTGGACGGAGCACCGGGAGGAGGCGGCGCATCACGCGCAGAGCGCCGCGTCACTCAAGCAGTGTCTCACACAGTACTTTACTGAGTGGTACAAGTTTGGCGCGGTAGTCGACTGGACCTCGCAGCTGAATCCGGATGTCATTGTTGTAGACGAGATTGACCTACAGGCGCTTCTGTCTGCACAACGCAATGTAAGCTTGGCCTTTTACAAGACTTGGAATGCTGGCTGACTGACTTTACGCAGCTTTCATCCGCTGATAAGCACGCCCTCATTATTGTCTTATGCACCAACGCCTCCAGACATGCTACTGTGAAGGCGTTCTCTACCGCAGGGACTTTGGAGTTTGTCAGTCTACCTGTAGGTCCGTATAAGCTGGCCACGGCTCTGAAGCTTGGACTCGAGAAAGTGCATGCAATCACGAATGGCCATAGCGCTACATCTTCACACCGTAATTCGATCGCTGTGGAGACGATTGTGGAGGGCGTCGAGCGCGCAACACTTGCGCCGTCCAGCGCCGAACAGGCCGACGTCAACATCATTCAGGCTGGAAACACTCTTGCTCGCGAGGATAGCATGAATGCGCAGATGGCCATGAACACTGTAGAGACATTAAGTGATTCACGGCACCCGCATCATTCAGCAAATGCTGGTGCGGCGAACGGTGGCTTCCCCTTTCCCTCGGATGTTGCGCTCGCGCCCGTAAACAGCTCTACCAGCGGCACTACAACCACACCAGCATCTACTGATGCCGCGACTACACCGCGACCTCCCATCGTGTCGAGCCCTTCAACTCGACCGCCAGTACACAGACAGCTATCCGCAAGAAAGACCGAGCCAACATCCTACGAAAACATCGCCGTCTCACCCATGAGCACCACCGCAGCCCTCACAATCACACCCCCATCCCTCCGCACCCAACCCACCTCCCCCTCGGAAAAAATCATCCCCCGCCTCCTCCTCGTCGACGACAACAAAATCAACCTCCGCCTCCTCCAAACATACATGACCAAACGCGCAATCCCGTCCTCAAAAGTCTTCCTCGCCGACGACGGCAGCGTCGCCATCTCAACCTTTGAACGCCTCTTCTCCGCCGACCCCCCTACACCCCCGCAGATCATCTTTATGGATCTCAGCATGCCCACCGACGGCTTCACGGCTACCCGCCATATCCGCCATATCGAGGCCCAGGCTTGCGCTAGACTTGCGGCGGGGGATCGTCTTACGCAGCAGCAGCAACAGCCTCCGGCGCTGATTATTGCGCTGACGGGCCTGGCGAGTGAGCGTGATCAGAGCGAGGCGTTTCTGTGCGGGTTTGATTTGTATATGACTAAGCCGGTTAGTTTTAGGGAGGTGGGTAGGTTGTTGGATAATTGGACGGCGAATGGTGGGGGTGTGGGTGGTGGTGTTGGTGGTGGTGGTGGTGCGACGGGTGGTGCGACGCAGAGCAAGAAGGTGCAGATTGGTGGTGGTGGTGGTGGTGGTGATGTGTCTGGGTCTGTGTCTGTGCCGCATGGTGCGCTTACTGGGGCGGATGCGCCGGTGTTGAGTCGGGGGGCGCCGTAGGTAGGGGGGAGATGGGAGATGGGA